AATCCAAGCCTCTCGAACTTAAAGAGTGTTGGGGTCAATCTTCAATTCCGTTCAAGCCACACTAGGCCCAACCAAACCCGAATTCGGATGATCCTAGAACATTACTCCGAACCCCGTACCCAAGCTTAGCTCAAACCTCTTGTCATTTTTACTGCTCGGACCCACCATGATTCCTCTAGCAAGGACTTCATAGCCGACGAAAGCCCAGACAACAACCCCACCTAAAGTCTCGCCTAGGAGGAGATGTCCCCGATTGTGTTTTGCAGAAGGCGATCGAGGGCAACTGGAGTTCCTGAGGGGCATTTTATCTCATGTCCGGATTCGGTTACATAAATATATTATTATATTAGTTAGATAAGGGTTCCGTAACATGTAGCTGCTGGCCGACATAGGTACAAAGGTGATGAAAGCACTCTTTGCACAGTTCAAAGACGCCGGGGAAAATTGGCTGTCCTCTGAAATTTACCTGAGCCACCAGCAAAGCAATGAAACTTTGAGGACAGGAGAACATCACTACGTGACACTCAAGGACCTCCGAAAGGAACATGGCGACACCAGAGCCGAAGAACTTGCTACCGACAAGCAGCTGAAGCAACAGACCCTTGGAGACTATCTCCCTCGTGTGCCCTATGTGATGAGCCACCCGGATTGGCCAATGGACAAGGCCAGGAGGCTTAGCAACCGAGATTTTCGCACCGATAACCCTAAACCCTCAAGCCCTAAAGCTCAATGTGCAAAGGCTGCTTGATCACAAAACTTAAATAACCTAGGATGATAGGCCATATCACCTGTCTACATAGGGCTTGATATATAGTCCTGTAAACCCTTAATAATTAATCATATGCCCTGATTAACCCGAGCCCTTTAAAGGCAACCAGCCCGATAGCCAACCCCGGCAGGAGATGGTGATGTACCTGGTCTTTAAGGCGGGGTCGGTGAAGCAGAACGACAACGACATCAACACCAGCTCCATGCAAAGTGCAGGGAGTTTGAGTGCAAAGCAGACTCGCCAAGTGATGTCACTAGACTGATCATGATGATACAAAGGTTATCATATTTTATCTCCAAAACCCGAAGCCCCGAATACAATTGCACTATATGTGGAAGATTATCAATACTCAGGTCCGCCATGGAGAGCGGCATCCCCGGAGATGCCTTTGGTCGACCTGCCGCAACCCGAAACAATCCTTTGAACAGGCAGCTGTCTTTGGAAAGTCTAGGTGGTCGACCTGACAAACCAGAGAAGAAGGAGAAGAAGGAAAAGAAACCTAAGGCCCCCAACTTTGCCGCCAAGGGCCACTCCAAAATCAAGGAAGCACGGGCAATGGACACTGATGCAAAAGTGTGGACTAAGAAGATTGAGAGTGAGCAGACAAAAACTGGTGATGATGCGAAGCTGCTACTTGTCTAATCCGATAGCTAGACCCTAAACCCTCATCGAACCCTAATAACTTATAAGGGCCATGTGTCGGTATGTTGAAGTCCAAGCCGGTAGCCACGAAGCCGAGGTCGCCTGAGATGTGTTCTGGCTATCTGAGCCAGATTACCTTCATGCTTTCCGCAGTGCAAAGGCACACCGACATCTTGGAGACAAAGCTAGTGGATGGGGAGAAATCCCAAGAGATCCTTGAACCGCTTGTCAATGCTCTTGACAAGACAATGAACCAGTACCAGACCGGTATGCGAACCATCAAGAGCACTTTCGCGACTAGGTTGCAAACCTAAGCTACTAACCCTACTTACTGACCTGCCCGCCCCCCCTAAATTCTAAAATAACTTCAGGCCTGTAGGTTCATAGTCGCCTTCGGTCGGGGGCCAAAAGCGCGGGATGTAGGGGTTATGGGTTGCAGCTGGAAGCCTTGATGCATATGCCCAATAAGCCGTTATCCCACCCTCAACCTAAACCCTAAACCCCCTAAACCTTAAACCCCCCCCTCCCCAATAAGCCGATAACCCACCCCCAACCCAAACCCTAAACCCCTAAACCCCTAAACCTTAAACCCCCCCGGGCCCTAATAAGCCGTTAACCCACCCTCAACCTAAACCCTAAACCCCTAAACCCCTAAACCTTAAACCCCCTAATAAGCCGTTAACCCGTGCTAACCCTATATAGCGAAACAATCCAAGCCCAGGCTGCACCCGCGACCAAAAGCAAGGCGAAGGGCAAGGCCAAACCGACGGCTAAGCCGGCGGCGGCCGCCCCGTGATTTGTTGAATGCTGTCAGGGAGCATTCGATGCAGCTGCGGTGTCTCCAGTGCAGCAGTCCTTAGATGGCTGGGTTGGGCTCTTTTCATAGATAGCTAGGTTAAGATCTAGTCTTGCTTATATTGGTGGCCCTTCTACCGACGACTTAGACCCAATACCAAAACCTACCTATAGGTCTTTTCTGAGCTAGCTGGGTTGAGATCTTACTTGTTTTAGTGCAGCTTAATGCCGACCTAGACCCAGTAATATCTAAGCCTAGATCAGCCTGTTCGGACTGCCTTCTGGCTGGAACTTTTGACTGCAGCGGTGCAGTAGCATAGCAACTTGCGGATTTCAAGGTCTGTAGGCCCTCCGTTCCACTCACGGGCATGGGGATCCTGTGAAAGCACGGGCCTTCAAAAGCGGGTGAGAAATGATGTGGGATGTCGCTTGTGCACGTTGACTGGTGATTGCATGTAGGCCCTAGCTCTGATGATGGATAAAGCAGGATGCTGCACTAAGCGAGTCGTTTGGAGGCTTGACGGGGAGATCCCAGCTATGCGAAAAGCTCAAGTCCATGATCAGCTGTGGAGACACTGTGCTGCAGATCAGGCTGAAAACCGTGGCACTTACACATGTACTGTATCGTACAATATATACGTGTGTGTTCAGGCATGTATGTACATGCCTGCATGCCTCCATGCCTGCCAGGAATTATCCTATGCTGCTGCACGGAAGATTGCTGATGCTGCCGTCCAGGATGTCTTAGCTGTCTTAGCTGCAATAGGACATGTTCCCATTCGCATGATGGTTGTACGAATTGGAACTGGAATTGGAACCGAAGGAGATTCGCGGCCTCGGATGCCGACCCCGAGCTCCACTGTTGGATCTCGCGAGTGCTGGTGCTTTCGGTGCTCATGAGTCCAACATTGAGAGGGATGTTATGCGACGAGCTTTCAATGATGCAGCTGCTTCACAGCATGTATTACCACCGCGATCTAAGGGTAGTGTTGCTATCTCTATGCGGGTCTATGTTCGTTGCAATCCGAGGTGCCCATCCACTACGTTCCGGTCCCACTGCGGGTCCGCGATCCAGCCACCAAGAAGTATGGCAAGAAGATTAGGAGTCTTGATCGCATGCAGTTGCAATTGATCTTATACTACATCTAGATGTACGTATGCCATGCCATGTGCACAGTAGGCATGCTCAGCATTTTAAGTGTGAGGCTGATGCCCATGGTGTTACCTCATGATCTGCTGGCCTACTTGCACAACAAGTCTGGGGGGGAACACACACCTGCTGAAGAGTTGCGGGCCTTTTGGCAACATTTCCAGACTTGTACACATGAGAGCATCAAATGGCCGCATTGCTACGAAGATGACTGCACACCACTCGGCCTTCATGGCGACGATCTACGGTATACTGAAAGTGGCCAAAAGCTTCTTTGTGTTAGCTTAAACTTTCTTTTGGACGGTGCCCAAGAAAGATACCCCCTCTTTGTTGTCCGGATCGTGTCTCGGCCTAGTTAGTGGCTTTGGCAGTTATTACTGTTAGCCCTAAGCCCTATCTATAAACCCTAGCTAGGCCTAGCTATAACTACATAACCCTCAAGCCCTAAAAGCGCTAGGTAAGCCCCTAAAACCCGCACCATCCCAGGCACTGCATGCTGGCTTCGACACGAACGAGGCCTACATGAAACCGGTACTTTGGAAGCATGCAGTTACCGCATGTACAGATATGGCAGCAAGTATAGGAGATTCAATTTCGACTCGCATTGAACAACCAAGTTGGCATGCAGCTTGAACTATGCTCGATACGGTGTTTCGCCGCCTCGATTCTTGGAGCCCTGCCTGAACCCTGCCGATGTGGCAGAAGATATCCGAGCGAATGGATTTTCGAAAAGCTTTCCTCCAGCTGGACTGGTGGAAATCAGAGCCGACTGGAAGTTCATGAAAGAACTCTTCAATTTGAAAACCGGATACACCTCGGCCCAGATCTGTCACCACTGTTTCGCACATGATACGGACTACTGTTCTTTCCCGGCCGACTTGCACAACAAACCGATGCGAGATTTGCAATCCTTTATAAGCATCTGTGGGAAGGACAGTGCTGGGAATCGATGCGGCACGGAACCAATTTAGTACTCAAGATCTTTCGTTTTCAAGATGCATGTGCAGGTTCGGGGCTGCACATGGTACACATCCAAGGCAGCCTCTTGCTTGTCGAGGGGTTCGACCCTCGAATTTGCAAGTGGTGTAGCCTGCACACGTTGAACCTCGGTGTGGCTTTGTGGGCTTGCAGTTCGACGATCATTGAGCTCTTGCAGTTTGAGGCGGGTTAATTCCAACTCCCTCGCTTTTCGCAACATCGCGAGCATCATGTGCATCGCTCTATGCAGGACGTGTGGCCTGCAGTTGCTGGCACCCCGGCAAAAAACGTCCTGGATGTTCGGCTTCATGTGGCTTACACCGAATTTCAAGCATGGGCGAAACGGATGAAGATCGAGTCTGCTGCTGCAGTTTATCAGGCTTTTGTGGTGGTGAGATGTGCATGGATTTTTCGGTCAAGCGGTTGAGACCGCATCCGAGGCATTCGCAGCCTGAGTTTACTGCAAAGGGCCTTCGCGATCTGAAGACTGGTGTTGCCGAACTTTCTGCTAAGGGGCACAATGTCACTGGTCTAGGTCAGTATGTTGCTGTGAAATCTGCAGGTAGTCTATTTTGCTCGACTTTTGCAATTTCAACGACTGATCATGCTGAGGCTCGTGTGGTGGTCGGGTGGTTGAGCTACAAGGTTTGTTTGCTGCTGGGGGTCATGAAAAATGACCTCGCTGGGCCCGAGCTTGAGCACTTCAACAACATGGTGAAGTGTATGCACCCTGGGTTGCGATAATAAACAAGGCCATTTGCATGATTCAGTGCAAACGAACTAGCTTGGCAGGTATTGGTTGGGCGAATTTTTCAACCTCGTGGAAAAGTTTCCTCGCTTCTTAGACTGGGATCAGCGACGAGCCTTGATCGAGGCGTGTGTGGCTTGTCTTAATATCAATCAGGAGCTATGCTCTATGCAAGTCCATGATCCCGTCATGATTCATGATTGATCAAGGACAAATGCTGTGCACCCTATGCTATGCTTGCCCAGAGGGCCGCTCAGTCTGGGCAGCTTCTCTGGGTCTTGCGACCAAAGCATCATGAGCCTCTTCTTAACCGAATATTTGTGCTCAAAGCCACTAGCAGCGATACTTCAATGTGACTTCTTTCGTCCCAGGGGTGGCAAGAGATTGCCTTTGCGGCCTATCTGGACGGTCTCTTGTATGCATTTCTGGTTTGATGACATGTCAACCGAAGCCTTCAGCAGACAGCTTTGCAAGATCCTGGAACAAGGTCAGAACCCTCGCTATTCGCATACGTTTCGGGATGAGTCATTTATGTCCACGGCGAAAGCAATCGCTCAAGTTTGTCACAGAAAGACGCTTGAAAGCTCTTTCTTGAAACGTTACTACATCGAGAGCTGAAGCAAAATGGGCATCCGATTGCATGTGCTGTTTAACAACATCGTCAGAATGGAATTACGACACATGTTGATCTCCAGCCCGGTCTTTGGGGAAAGTGCCTTGTCTGAAGTACCTTTGGAGCCTCTGGGTGAGAGTACAGAGTTTTCCTTGAGAATCCCGCGCCGAGCTGAGCGTATCAATTAGCTAGAGTCTAAAGGTTTTCAGCCTGCAAAGGTTGCCTTCAGGCTTCGATACATATTCTGCTGAGCCCTTTTCCACCAAAGCATTGCGCAGGTCAGGCTTTACGACTTGCAGAGTTGTAAGCGCTTGGCGCACCTTAACCTGTAGTATCCCTTTGATACTGGACGATTAGGACATCTTTAATCCGGGAAACATGGCAGGCTACTGGATAGCCGACAAAACTGGCTGGGGCCGAGCTCTCATAGTGCAGAAGCATGCATCTGCTTCAAGGTTTAGGGTTGCATCTTCGAGAAGGGTGCAGAGACTTGAAAACTACGAGGGCATCTTGAGGTGGTGAGTGGGTCAAAAGACATGCATCTTTGCGGAGGGGGCAGGCCCAGAGACTCCAATATCCCTTGATTAAGGAATATCCCTTAAATCATATTAAGGATCCTACTATAATATAAGGTATATTCCTTAATTCCCCTATAGACCCCCTTATAGATCCCTTTAAGGAGTCCTTTAAGGAACCCTAGGTATTCCTTAATTAAGGGGTATTGGAGTCTTTGGGGGAGACTTATTATTGTTGAGGGCTTCCTGGAGCCAGGCATGCCTTGTCCAGGTGAGATGCTGTTTAGGGTGTTGGGCTCAGGGTTTAGGGTTTAGGGCTCAGGGTTACGGTTTAGGGTTTAGGGTTTACGGTTTGTTGTGGGGTCTTAGTCTTCGGGTGTGCGGGATTACGTGAGGTGCTGTAGACAAGAGCTGAATCAAGATAGCGATCGACTTGGTAATTATTTGGATTCCATTGACCCTGGTCTAAAGCCGACACAACTTGTATACGACTCTCTCCAGAAAATCTTGTGCAACACATTCCGACCAGAGCCCACTGGCTCCATATCCCACGCCTCGAAGTAAATTGTAGCCCCACTAAACCCAAAGACCCCAATACCCCTTAATTAAGGAATATACCTTAAATTATAGTAGGATCCTTAATATGATTTAAGGGATATTCCTTAATTAAGGGATATTGGAGTCTCTGGGACTAAAGTGAGCTCTAACTTGGCCATGGCCTTGCGCAGTGCACGCCAAGCTAGGTTCTTCGGTGGTCTTGTCGTTTTTTGGTGGCTTTTTATGGGCTCCTACTATCGTTTGAATATCTCTCACTGTTTGTAGTGTAGCTAATAAGTAACCCTGAACTTTAATTAAAGCCTAAATCTTGAATTTTAGACCCCGACGCCGGCAGGCCACAGCAAACGCCTCTTTCCAGAAATCCTGAACAGCCTTGCACGGGTAGCGGAATCCCGGAGAACCTTATCGCCGGAAAGAGGCTGTGTTTAGGGGCCCAAAACGGGCATAAGATTTTTAATTCAAAAGAGGCTTTACATGGGATATTCCTATCTTGCTTTTTGCTTATGTGCTTGTCTATTTATATTGTTAGAGACATGCGCTTTTCCGTCCTGGACGTGCGTGGAGTTGAGGGGCTTTAGCTTCTGCGGTTTGGGGTCTGTTTGTTTTTAGGATTTGGGGTTTTAGTTGAGTTGAGGGTTTAGGGTCCATGTTGCTGCAGTCGTCGTCGCCGCTACTGTGCCTGCCATCCTTTTCCTGGATTGACTACGGCTGTTCCTCTTCTTGCCCGTCGTCCTTGTTGTGCTCCAGGACACAGTTTAGGGTTTGGGGTTTGGTTTAGCTTTTGGGCTGCTAGGTTTGGATTAGTCTGGTGTCCATCGAGGCTTGGACGTGGCATCCGGCGCCAAGGTGGCTGGTGAGATCGAGGGCACGGAGCAGGCGGACGACCGTCAGATGTTTTCGAGGATTGGCTGATGGAGCCCTAAACCCGAAACGCTAAGCCCTAAACCCTATAAACCCTGAGCGCTAAACTCAATGATAACGAGGCATCTCCTAGTAGTAGAATATAGGTAACCTTTAACTTTGTTGGGTAGTATAGTCCCTACATAATCCCTATGGATCCAAAAAGGGTTCACCCTATACTTCCCCATGATACCCGACAAGTAGGTTATGGAACCGCATTGAAGCCCTATATAGTTTAAGCCATATTTCTTCATTAAGGGGTATTATCCCCTAAACCCTAAACCCTATAGATCCCCTAAAGGATCCCTTAAAGGAGCCCTAGCCATATTCCTTCATTAAGGGGTATTGGGCTCTCTGATAACGAGGCATCTTACAGGCGGCTAAGCTTGAGCACTAACCAAGCTAAGCCTGGAAGCACCCAGAGACTCCAATATCCCTGAATTAAGCAATATTCCTTAAATCATATTAAGGTTCCTACTGTAATTGAAGGTATTTTCCACAATCAAGGGGTATTGGAGTCTTTGGGCACTTGTTGTGCGATTGTGCGCCATGACCTGCACGGTCTAACTTCGGCAGGCTGATCTCTTTGGGGATAGCAGTAAGAACAAAAGCAAAGGTAAGTGCCGTAGTAACCATGATTATATTCAATAAAAGTTGAATCATGACAAGAACAACAATAATATCAATACTACTGATAACAGCCGTAATAACAATTCTGGAACGGTTTAGGACTAAGGCTTTAGTCGATTTCTTGGATGTAGGTTTGATGGAAGGGCGATTCAGGGCTGACTGCTTCATGACCATGGTGAACCCAAAGATCCCAAAGGCTTCGCGGTTACCATACTGGGCACTTTCATGACATCTTGCTGAAGGCTTGAGCGCGAACTAATCTTTTCGCGCACATTCCCCCCTTTGCAAGCAACCTTTATCAGATTCTGACAGAGGTCATCTGAGCAAGCCTCTTTTTTTCTCCGGCATCAACCCTAAGATTGCCCAAGATTAACAGTAGTGCAGGAACCTGATTAAGAAACCCTGGGGCTCATATAAGGAACCCTCGTACAGGCCCTAGTTTTTTAATCAGGTTCCTACATTAGGACCGCACACCAAAGCCTTAAAGCCGTGGCTTCGGTTTGTGGGTTTTGAGTTATTCTTCGGTTCTTGCGGGTGTTTTATGCTTATTGGCTGTAAACTCAACTTTTCAACTTCTGGGGTTCTTTTTAGGTAGTCGATTCTGAAAGTTTCAACCTTTGTTTCCTTGGGTTTTGTTCCAGTGAGTATGTGGGTTTAGGGTCGAGGGTTTGGGGTTTTTGGTCCAGCCACTTCGGATACGGTTTGCTTCAGGTTTCCCTTCATAGCTCGCCTGAAACCCTATCCTAGATAAGAGTGCTCGTTACATTTTAAACCCTAAACCCCTAAACCCTAAACCCGTTCCAGATATATATTGTCTTCAAACCAGGCCCCAACCACCGGCTCCTCCTAGTACGGGAATTCTAGTTGTTCTGCAGTTCCACAAGGGCCCATAAAAAAAAAAAAAAAAAAAAAAAAAAAAAAAAAAACGAAACCTATTCCAGTCATCGAGACCCCTGCATTGTGTGACTATTCGGTGCTCGAGCTCTCAGGACAAGCCGTGTTTCAGCCCTAATATAGAGGCCCCATAGTGCTTCCTTTGGGGGGGTTCATATATGGGAGTTTCCGAAAATTGGGGGGTGCATTATTTGGAGGTCCTTGTAATTTGGATCCTACTATTTGGGGTACTATATTAGGGTCCCCTATTTTCGGAAACTCCCATATAGCATCCCGTACGTAAGGTAATCCCAAAAAGGGACTACTCTAGAGGCCTTCTTCGATAGTTATTCAGTTACTGTAGAACCGGAGTATCGACTCCACATTCGTTAGCTGCACAGGCTGTCCCTGTGGTTCTTAGTGTCGCCTTTTGTTGGATTGTAGCCCCACAGAGTTTTGCGAGTCAGTGATGTCTCGTTTTTTTGCAGATCTTGGTCCCGTGTTGCCACGGCTATGCGACACAGTTTGGGGTTCGGGTCCTGAAATTTCAGGGTGTTAGTCACGGTAACTGCCGCGAAACCCGCGAATGCAAAAGCACGCTTGCAGCTTTATCTTTGGCTCGACATTGGGGGGAGCGTGGAAGGCCCGTATTGGGATGGGCCGGTAGTGTCTCAGAGCTCACCGCAGCTTGGAAGAAGGAGTCACGTGGTACAGTGCGTCTACGGATCCTTCAACAGCTCCTAAAACCTGATCCAGAAACCCGAACGCCCAGAACCGTGAACAACCTTGAACGGCTCTGCAGAGATTCATGTGGTGTTCCGAGTTTCCCAAAGACTCACTTGGGGTCGTACTCCTTGACTTAGTGTTGTTCGAGTCTCTGGCTAGCCTGATAAGCTTTGGAACTCCTGCGAAACGTTAGACGGCCATGTGAACCTTGTATCGCTGTCAAAAGATTACACAGAGGATCCATATATACTACCATTATGGAATTGGGCACCAAAAGACCATTCTCATTATGGTTTCGGGGGGCCTGATTCCATAATAGTAGTATAGATGGACCCTCTAGGTCAGATATCCCCGAGCTCTTCGAGGGTTGTGGTTGGAGGAGACGATAGGTTTTCCTAGATGAGCTGCTTCCAGTGATCTTTAGGGGTTCTAAACCCTAAACCCTTAAGTGGTTCCTTTGAGCTCCTCCTCGCCAAAAGTTCACTGGGACCCAGAGTAGGCCCTTATTCTTGTTTTTAGGGTTCAGGTCCCCTTGTAAGCCCCTTTAAACCAAAAACGGCACCCTTCTTATTCCTAGGTTACTCTTAGGTCTAGTTAAGCTTGCAATAACGTCCACACGCACTAGCAGTATGGAGCTGCGCAGCCAAAGACCATCCTTACATCGTTTCGAGGGGGGGGGGGGGGGAAGTCCACCATGGTAATGGAGTTATCTGAGCCGCGTAGAGGCTTGAACATTTCGCGAGCATTGTCGTGTGTGTACATACTGTCTGTCATAGATATACCTTTGTATATATAAATATATGTATATCGCAAACATTGCGTGTGTATATAAGATTAGTAGTGATATACATACATATATATATATATATATCTGTATAGAGAGAGAGGAGTTCGTTTGTATGTATGTATATATGTATATACATATACACATGTTATGTAGCCCTTACAAAACTGTATACTATAACATTCTCCAACGCGATGTTCTAAACATCCAACCTCCTGTATTGGGGCTTAGATTTGCCGCAGCTTCAACAATTGTCACAGGCACGAAGCCCTACACCCCAAAACCCTGCATTATAGGGTTCAGGGTACTATGCTTGTATAGGGACAGCGGCTTATAGGTATGAGTATCCGGTCTTGCGGGCTGGAGACTCCTGAAGCTGTACACCTGCAATATCTCTTCCCAAAGGGTCCTATGTACCGATATATTATAATGTAGGGTTTCCACACTAGGAATTATTATTATGACTTAGGGAGGTATCCCCCATAACAGTACATAGGACCCGTTGGGTTCTCATCCCTAAGACGTTAAAGCTTATAGGTTTTATGTCGCTGCCACGCTGAGGCAAGCATGGCGGTGACCGCAGCGCCGCCGCAGGAGTTGCCGATGGGGGACGTCGAAACCCTGGTGGTCTCCTGCAACAAGGACCTACTTGGAGGGTCGGGGGACTTAGTAGGTAGTAAGTAGACTTATAAGTACCCTAAAAGGGACCCTAATTGGGGTTATGGTACTTATAAGTCCCCAAAATAAGCAGTTACTAAGTCCCCCGACCCTCCGAGTATTGACCTAAGAGTTTAGGCTTCAGGGTAGGTTAGGGTGAAGGCAAGTGTGGTTCTACTAGGGCACCATAGGGGCTACCATGAGGGTTCCTAGAAGGTGTGTTGACAAACGGTACTGGAAGGGTTCTATACAGGTTCTTCGCGGGCTTGGCTACTTTGAAAGCGCTATAATTACGTACCATGTGGAGTTCTGCAGGGGCTTTATGGGCGTGCTGCTTAAGGGAGGTGGTATCGAGCGTTGTTCGTAAGTGAACAGCTGTATAACTCTAACACTAAACCTTCAACCCACTGGACCCTAAACCAAAAAAAGCCTAAATGGGCAACCCCTATTCTTGAACAACCTTAAATCCTTCAGTCCCTAGACCTTCACCGCTACACCCTGCTTCAGCTCCTGAACGCTTGAATTACGGTTGATGATATAAATCCTGCATTACCTTAATGACCCCAGACTGTGGGAATCTTGGTATATGGGAGTTTCCGGAAACTAAATAGTAGGATCCTTTTTATACCCCAAAATGAGGCACCCCTGTTATTTGTAAACTCCCAAATTCCTGATTATGGGTAATGCAAGGTTTATATCATCAACCCTAAACCCTAAACCCCCTATAGATCCCTTAAAGGAACCCCTTAAAGGTACCCCTATAGATCCCTTTAAAGGAAGCCTAGGGATTTATATCATCAACCATACCCCGGAAGGCATCAGATGACTTAAGCTCTCCCCGGTGTGAAGCACAAGACCCTTCAGAAAGCCAACACGACCTTAAACGGTGCACTCTTGTGAAGGCTTTAGCAACCGAAAGCCCTTCGAAACCTCCACCCTGTAACCTAAATCCCTCAAAAACCTAAACCCTAAGCCCTAAACCCCTCAAAACCTATATGGGTAGTTGTCAAAATTCTGGTCCCTTTGTGGGTACCCTAATAATAGGTGCCGTACTATAATAGGGACCATAATTTTGACCACCACCCAAAAAAAAAACAAACAGCCTCAACTCGGAATCGTCGCCAGTCCGGGGAAGAACTTAATCTTGAGGCCCAAAGCGGCGACAAAACCCTTTACAGTTTTTTGTTTGATAGCGTTTAGGGCTTAAGGGTTTAAGGTTTAAGGGTTTAAGGGTTTAGGGTTTGGGGTTTATGTAAGGGTTTAGGGTTTTGGGTTTAACGGTTTAGGGTTTAAGGGTTTAGAGTTTAGGACCGAGGCAAAACACGCGTAGAGAACCCTTGTGGAGCCCTCAGCCCGTTAACCTGAACCCATGGACTCTACACCCATAAGCCCAGCACTCTGCAGAGCCTAAGTAGGCCCTATGCCAGAAACCTTAGACGCAGAACACCGAAGCTCCTACCCATAAGCGAAAAAGCTTAAAACCCTAGGCCCCTAAACCCTAACACCCTACGTTCCCTTAACCCCGAACCCCTACGACCCTAAACCCCAAAACCCTACACCCTTAACCCACGCAGTGCCCTTTACAGTAAAACTTGTGTGGTAGCTTGTGTAGTGACCCTGTTTGCGACGCATATAGCAAACCCTTAACCCTTCATAGAAACCAAATTCTCCAAGACATTCCAAAATACGTTGGTTAAGGAATATACTTAAAATCTAGTAGGAAGCCTCATATGATCGAAGGTAAACTCCTTAATTAAGGGATTCTGAAGGTCTGCGCATCTTGCTGCAACCTCCGAAAGTGCGACTCATAAAACCTTGATTATCACTTTAACCCTGAATAACCTACCTTTTTAGGGTTCCGAAGCCATTATCCGCAAAACCCTTCAAGCACAGTTATAGGTTTTTTGAGCCCCATAAGATCCCTACAAGCCCCTTATAGAACACTTGTAGAACCCTAACACAAGAAAGACCTCATACAGAAGTGCTTAAAGAACCATTGTAGAACCCTTATAGAACCCAGTAGAAGTCTTATAGAACCAAAAAAAAACTCTCATGCAGAAAGTGCTTAAAGAACGCCTTAGAGAAGAGTCGCGAGGATGGCATGGATCGGCTGCGCCAGGGGGATGTGAAATCAGCCTTCGAGCAGTTCAAGCCGCTTTTCTGATTTGAGAGTTTCTAGGATGCCCAGTAGTACCCTTATTCCCTTTTTGTAGTCCTAGGTTCCTTATAAAGTTACCCAATACCAAAAAGAGATGCCTTTTTATTCTTAGGTTACTGGGTATCCTAGGTTTCCGAAAATAGGGGATCCTTTAAGGCTTCCTTTCAGGGATCTATAAGGGTTCCTAGAAGGGTGCTATATGGGAGATACGGGAGTTTCCGAAAATAGGGGACCCTAGCATAGTACCCTAAGTAGTAGGATCCTTGTTATCAGGACCCCAACATAAGGTTAAGATTTGAGAGCAAGCTGCAGCCTGTTAGCGCGGGCTTGTCTCCGCTTGCCATGTATATGCTTTTCAACATGTCGGATAGGCGAGCTTGGGTGTTGTTTGAGGGTTTCTGAGGGTTTGGTATTTGAGGGTTGTTGAGGGTTCGGTATTTGAGGGTTGATGCGGTGTTTGGGGTTGAGTGCAGGGTAGAGGGTCTGGGGGTTTGAGGGTTGGGTGCAGGGTATTTCTTTGGTTTGGGGTTGAGGGTGAAGGGTTTGGGGTTCGAGGGTTGGGTGCGGGTTATATGGTTTCGGATATGAGGTTGGAGTGCAGGGGAATACTTGGGTGTGGGGTTTAGTGGGGTTCGAGGGTTGAGAGCAGGGTATAATGTAGGGTTTAGAGTTTAGGGTGGAGGGTTTGGGGTTTGAGGGTTGAGGGCAGGGTGTAGGGTTTGGGGTGTGGTGTGGGGTTTAGTGTGGATCTTTGACGGTTTAGGTTTGAGGGTTTCGGGTTTGAGGTTTACGCGGTTTGGGATTTAGTAGAGTAGGTAACCTTGAAGAATTGTGGACGGATTCGGCACAGGACTTTTGCTGAAAACCACGCTCACGACCCGACGTGCATATCTACTTGCGGGTGCCAGAACCCAGCTATGATCCCAAAGCTTAGCATAAAGGCCCCTTTAAAGTTCGTCTAATGGTTGGAATTAAGGGCTCCGTCAATGGCTTTAAGGGCTCAGGTTAACCGAAAGCTCCCGTGTGAAATTGGGTAGGTAAGTTTGAAGGCCGGAGCGTCCTATAAAGCACTGCCTATTGTTAAGGGTGTGTTTAGGGTTGAGTTTTTGTTGAAAGGTGTTCGTAAAGTTTCTTAGTTCTCCAATGCCCAACGTTTAAACTTTTTGGGTTTTCCTATAGTTTAGTAGTAACCTGAAAGTTTAAACTTTTATTTCTGTGGCTTACCCAAAGGGTCCTTTGTACTGCTATGGGGGATACTTCCCTAAGTCATAATAGTAATTCCTAATATGGAAACCCTACATTCGACTATATCGGTACATAGGACCCTAAACCCTAAAGCCTATACCCTAAAAGGACCCTTTGGGGAAGTAAGCTTTTTGTGGCCCTCAAAGCCCAGCTGGGGCCGTAGAACGTTGAAGCCATCGACTCGGCTGGCCTCATCGATACGATGCAAGCCTTTGATCACAAAGAGGGTCCCCTAAACCCTAAACCCCTAAAGCCTAAACCCTAAACCCCTAAACTCTAAACCCTAAAATATGGGGGCCTAAATGATTACCAGTACGATTTTTTTTGGGGGGGAGGTTCTTTATTATAACTATCGTATAATGGGCCCCAACACCCTGTTCTAATTATTAAGGCCCCTACAGTACCTCCTTGGTCGAATTAAGCATCGAAAGCCTATCCTCGCGTTGGGTTGTTTGGATATGTCTGGAATCTAACTCAGAGGGTCCACATACCCTACTATTATGGAATTAGGCCCTGAAAGACCTTCCCCATCATGGTTTTGGGTGGGCCTAATTCCATAATAGTAGTGTATATGGACCCTCTAGGTAAACTCCATAACCGTCGTGTATCCGGATCCTTAAAGCCAATTCACCCAACAACCCCCGTAAAAGCAAGGAGGCTTTGCGGTTCATTAGCCAGTGCCTTGCGTTGATATAGGTCCCTATCTTAGCCGGAGAGTTAATAACCTCCAAACCTTTCGAGGTACTATACAGTCCCTATATAATCCCAAAAGGATAGCCTTTGTTTCGTCTAGGACGCTGGGCAAGTAATTCATATAAGGACACCCTCGAAAAGGGGTTGCCTCTTACACTCAAAGGGGAAAAAAAGGAGAGACCCTTAATGGGGACCCCTACCCTGTAATGGGCTATATAATGGGTATATAATAACTATATTAAGGTATATACTTAGGGGTCCTTATTAGGGGTCCTTCCTTTTGCCCTTTGATACACGCAAAACCGAGGTATGCAGAAGCGATTCTGCTGGCAAACCAGATGGAAGGTGCGACTTCTTCGGCTCAGCTATTGCCTAAAGGGTTTAGTCAGAGAGTCAGGGTTTGCAATTTCAGATTCGGGTTCAGGGTGTAGGGTTTAGGGCTTAAGGCTTCGGGTTTAGATTGTAGTGATTTCGGCACAAGCTTACCGTCAGCTGGTACTTTTAGAGTTTCGGGTTCTAGGGTTTAGGGTTGAGGGTGTTAGGGTTGGGGTGTTAGGGTTCAGGGTTTTAGGATGAGGATTTTTTGAGGATCATACCCTATCGTTTTATTGGGGTACCTACGTGTCTAGATAACAGATCCCACCACAAAACTAAGTATGACCCCAGAGATTCCAAGAGGAGCAGTGGGCTTAGCAAGTAAGCGTAGAAGTACTTCAGCTGGGGTTATGACTAACTCCAATTAGATATGGCGGACCTTCACAACTACTTACTCAGTCCCCTGCTCCCTTGAGAAATATGGCGCCTGAATAACGGGCTTCGGTAAAGGATACAGGGGTGTTAGGGTGTAGGGATTTGCATCAAGGAGCTTAGGGCTTAGGGTTTAGGGCCTATATAGGGAGTCTGCACACCCGTAGCCAGCATCCGGGACGGGAAGCATGATACAGCCGGGGCTGACACCTGTAGACCTAGAAACCTGAAGCCCGACCCAGAGAGCCCAATACCCCTTTGGTTAAGGAATATAGCTTAAATCATAATATGAAGCCCTGTATAATTTAAGCCATATTCCTTAATTAAGGGATATTGGGCTCTCTAGGGACCCCCAGACCCCAAACTGAAAGCACCAACCAACGAAGCCTTAAGCGCCCAAGCCCTAAAACGCGAAGCTCTAGGTCTAAAGGCTTCAGCAGATCTAACGTATGCCCCCAAGCCAGGCGACAGCACTTCCTTACTGGCCACAACCTGCAACAACTTGGGTTGCTACTACAAGAAGGCAGCTCTGAAATGGACAAGTCAGGGTTAGGGTTTGAGGCTTTCTGAGTAGTAGAGCAGGTATTTCGTGGTTGCATCCTCGGAATCACACCTCGTCCGTTGCTTGGCTTCCCACAAACCCTTCTGAGCCTAATTCGCGAATTCTCGAATCTCGTCTCACGCCTTTTGCTGGGGACGCAGCTTATTTCATGTCCGGGCTTTAACCTCTTTGGGGGCCTTCTACCCTCAATGTGACCGCAAATGTGAACCTTTGGTTTCCGTTGGATACTGGACAACTAAGGTTGAGAGCTTTGGGCTTGAGGATTCAGGGCTTAGCGTAAAGGGTCTGCAGGACTCGGTGTTTGATTTCGTGCTTAAGTTTGAAGTTGACTGTTTTGACGAAGAGTTAAGGCCATGAGCCATGAGGCTTTCGGGGAATTGGGTTCGTTGTTTATGTGGGCGTTTGCCAAAAATCGGGTCCTTTTTGGGATCCTTATTATAATACGGCACCTATTACTTAGTGCACCCCAAAAGGGACCACATTTTTGACAACCACCCATGCAGGACAAATCTGCAGGGATTTCGACTTAGGTGTGCTCTCGGTCTGGTCGAGTCAACTTGGGAGCTTCCGAACATAGGGGACCCTAATGTAGTACCCTAAATTCGAGGATCCTTATTTTAAGGACTCCAAAATGAGATACCCCCTAATTCTCGCAAACTCCCATTTTATGCACCCCAAATTCTCCAATAAACCAACTACTGCAGCTGTAAGGAAGTTTTCGAACCCTACGGGGCCCAGTACGTGAATATTCATTCGGACACGCCCAACTAGAAACCTACATACCTACATACCCAGGAGCTCAAACTAATAATCCAAACCTCATAGACTATGATCCTTGGGCCCAAATGCCTGAAATCAGGAGCCCTTAGAGCCCCAGGGTAAACCCAAGCACCGAAATCTTAGACCCTCTGAACCCTTGGGGACGTGGCCCGATATCTTTTGGTAAAAAACCTGTGATTCGAATGTCGGCTGAGGTTGGGGTCCCCAAAGAGCCGTAAGGTTGGGGTCTGGGTTTAGTGTTTGGGGATTAGGGTTCTGGGTTTATTTGGGTCTAACGATGTGTGGTACCGAGGGATGGATAAAGCCCTGCATGGCCATAGGTGTAGTATAGTACCAGAGTTCACATACTGCGGGAACATAGGCGACTGAAGGATTGTGTCCATCAGCAGTATACAGACAGTTTTCCTATGCGTTCCCCAGTAAATTGAGTTCACAGTGAGGGAACAGCGAAGAAGACTTCTGTCCCCGCTGAAGCCCTAGGCCCCAAGCCGTTCAGCAGTAGAGCCCAAAGCCAACAATCCCAAAGGCTCCATGTACCCATATAGTAGGTACGTACGTAGCCGTCACAGTACCTATATAGGGACCAATTTAAGGCCTAAGTACCTACTATATGGGCACATTTGACATGGAATCTTAGGGAATGTCGACACGTGTGCCACATCCGATCAATCTCGAAGGTCTCAACCCTCAACCTCCAGTAGCCCCAACAGGCTACTTTCTTGGGGATCGTTGGACATGTTAGACCCCTTCATATGGATATGAATCCCCTACAGAACAGAAAGTTGATATTTCTTGTGGGCTTGTGAGCTTAAGCAACTAAAAATTAAAACCCCTAAACTCTAAACTCTAAACCCTAAACTCTGGCTAAACCTCAAGCCCGAAACCCTCAATCCTAAACCTTAACCCCTAAGCCCGAAAGCCTCAAACCTCCTGAGAGAGGTTGGGAAGTTTCACGGCGCCTTGGGCTACCTCCGAAGGGCGCTGAAGCTCCTGAGCCTGAAGTTGCGCGGGGGATTTAGGGTGGGATTGGGTGCTGCCCCCCATTCAGCACCAGTTGAGCAACAGATATTGAATTATTTTCGTAGTATACATATATATATATATATATATACATACATACATACCTCTCTCTCTCTCTTCTTTATGAGGCCCTTAATGGTAGCCCTATTGTAGACTGTTACCTGTTACTGTGCGGGGGCCGTACAAACATCTCGGGCCTTTTGGGGTTTAGCGGTTTTGGCTCCTGAAAAGGATCATTTAGGCTTCCGGGCTATTAGTATATCCAGAGACTCCCAAACCATTAAATTAAGCACTATACCTCCAGTCCTGTTGGGGCTCCGTCCTAGTGTGGTGTAAGGCTTACTGTATTATTCCTTAATTCCCTTATTGAACCCTTATAGATCCCTTTAAGGAACCCTTTAAGGAACTAAGGTATATTCCTTAATTAAGGGGCATCGGAAGGTCTGGGTACGGGAAGGCCGTCGCTTCCGGAGTGTTCAAAGATGAGGACCCTTTGACACCTCAGAGGGTCCAGGCTTCTATGTGAGAACCAGAAACTTACACGCTTGTATGTATGTACTCTTGTATATACATATATGTATAAAAGAAGACACATATGCATATATATATATATATACATACATATATATATATATATATACATATATATGTGTGTATTTGTATATACAAATCATACCGTTCAAAGCCCCTAATTATGTATTAAAAAAAGACATGATCAAATCTCTGATCGCTAATACCCCTTCGCCCGCTTGAGGCAGAGACCCCTTACGGATCCCTTCAAGGAGCCCTTTTGGGAAGCTTTGAGGGAATCCCAGTAAAATAGGGTTTAGGAAGTAGTCGCAAATCCTAAACCCTAAACCAGTTAAGGGCAGTTTAGGGTGTAGGGGCTTCGGGCTTACGGTAACGACTAGTGGAGTCTTCTCCCGCCAAAGCCTGAAACCCTCACAAAGTCCCTAAACCCCGGGCAGCTGCAAGCCTAGATCCCCTAGCTTAGTTGCTGAGTTCATAAGCCCCCAAAAGTGTACACCTCTCAGTTTTGTAGTGGGTAATACTATTCCAAAAAGTGTAACGTGTATCCACTCACTGCCACCTGTGCCTTTGGCACCGCCTCTGCCACCGCCGGCAGCACCTACTCTGCCTTTCCAGCTCCGCGGTTTTGGCTTCGTGTAGGGGGCGCTCATACTTGGACTTCAGCCTTAACCCTGGAAATCGTGAGGACGATTCAGCTTGAAATCCATTCTTTTTGCCAGCAGCCCCCAGCTACCCCGTGTTAGAGCGCTGGTCGACCCCTGAACAGCTCCCTAAAGCCCAAAACGCTAAACCCTAATCCCTAAAGCCCCAAACCCTACACCCTGGAACCCTGAAACGCAAAACCCTAAGCCCTAAAAGCCCTGTGTCAACCCTAATGCCTTAAACCTTACACCCCAAAACCCAAACTCTAAAACGCTAACCCCGCAGCCCTAAAACCCAAAACCCTAAAACCATTAATCCTAAAGCCCTACAACCCCTAAACTTCACACCCCGAAAACCCTAAAGCGCAGAACCCTAAGCCCTGAAACCCCATGTAGACCCTAGAGCCCTATAACCTAAGCCCTAAGGCCCTTTAACCCTAAACCCCAAAGCCCTGTAACCTAAACTCTAAAAACCTAAGCCCGAAAGCCTTATACCCATAAACAATGAAGCCCTGTAACCCTAACCCCAAGAAGAGTCCCTACAGCCCCAAAGCCAAAACCCTTAAGCCCTGAAAGCCTAAACCCTAAAACCCCAAACCCCACGGCCCTTATTCCCTTTTTTTAGGGGTCAGGTTCCCTTATAAGCTCCTTTAAGCAACAAAGGGCACCCTTTTCATTCCTAGGTTACTCTTAGGTCTAGATGGGTGGTTTTCAAAATTACGGCCCTTTTTTTGGTGCCCTCAATATTAGGTGCTGTACTATAGTAGTGACCCAAAAAGGGACTACAATTTTGGCAACCACCCAGATAGGGACTACTACAGAGATCCATTCCTCCATTCCCTACTAAGAACCAGACAGGGGCTATATATACCCTAAGACCCCTTATAGAATCCTTATAGTAACCCTTTGCAGGACCCCTTAAAGGAACCCCTGACCCCAAGAAGAATTTCGAAGCTCTCAGGCTCGAGGTCGAGCTGAAGACCGACGAGGCCCGGCAGGACGAGGTTATGCTTTCTAAAGGGGGGTGTAGGGTTTAGAGTTTAGGGTTTGTAAGCTTACGGAATTTAGGGCTTAGGGAGTTTAGGGTTTGTAAGTTTAAGGAATTTTAGGCTTAGGGAGTTTAGGGAATTTTGGGGCCCTTTGAAGGGTGCTATAAGGGTTCCTTGAAGGGATCTATAGGGTTTAGGGTTTGGGGAGTTTAGCGGTTTAGGGTTTAGGGTTTTAGGTTTAGGGAGTTTAGAGTTTAGGGCGTAGGGCTTATGGGTTTAGGAATTTAGGGTTTAGGCTTTAGGGAAAGTTTAACCCTGAACCTAAAACCTGGACCCTCAAACCTGAATCCAAAGCCCTTCCAGTAGAAGCCAGACTGTTGGAGAATGATGATTTTCCGAAGTAGTGGGAATCCCAGCGGCTATCATCTAATTCCCAGAAGCCAACCTTGTTGGGTTTCACGCTATATTATCCTCCACCCGTAAGGTGCAGGTTACCCTAAGCTCCTAGCCCTAAAACCCCACAATCCTGAACTCATCGAACCCGAAACAGCGATCTCCAAAACCCTTAAAACTCTTAGATGCAGGTGACCTTGGCGGGTACTCATCTCAACCTTTGTGCTGTGCTCTCCAAATTGGAGAAGCACGACAAGGCACGACCTCGGTCATGTAGGTGCCTTTAAAGGCATCTACGTCCACAAGGGGATCCCGAAATATTCTACGAAGGATCTAGCAGGATCTAGAAGGAATCCATGGGGTTAAATTTAAATTGGGTTCCATACGGGGTTTCCTTTAGGCTGAAGTCTGAGGGAGCCGAATCGCACGTTTTGTTCTCCCCCTGAAGGACAGTCCAGTAAATATGGGGCCCAAACCTAAACCCCGGTTCTGGCTTCAATCCCTACTTATGCTAAGTCACCTGATGCTTTAACAATACGTTGAAACGCTGTGTAAGTAGATTCCTGATCATCGCTATGCCACTATACCATATACCTCAACCCCCCGAATTGTCATGCTCCCTCGTACAAGAACGTCTTGAGAAGCCTGAAGGAACCCTTGTAGAACTGTGAAGGAACTGAGACGCTGGAAAACCCTGGTGTATGCCGGTGCGTAGTTGGGATGTCGGATGTGGAAAGAGGGTTTTGGAGGCTTCTGGGATTTCAGAGGACTGTGATGTATGGCCTTTGACATGTAGAGTTCACTGAACCTGCCAAGACCTAGTGTTGCATAGGGTCCCTACAAATTCTATGTCACCATGCTACGACTCATACTCGCAACCTACGAAAAGTAGTTATGGTACGTCGGATCCTGTAGGTTTGAAGACATCAGTTACAGGCACATGGCTTAATGAATGGGGTGTGGTCTCCTGAGGGTTTGCATCTACAGCCTCGAGACATTCATGGGCTTGGACGCAGACCAATCCCACACCCCTGCAGGTAACTTGACGGGTCCCTCCACGCAGTCCACTTGTCATTGTCGCTACGGCTGATGATATAAATCCTGCATTACCTTAAGGACCCTTATTATGGGTAGTGCTGGATTTATATCCCAAAACCCCAAAACCCTATAGATCCCTTAGAGGAACCCCTTAAAGGTACCCTTATAGCTCCCTTTAAAGGAACCCTAGGATTTGCATCATCAACCGTTGCAACTTTGGATCGGACTGTTTACTCGTGGGACTTTGCTCAACGAGCGCGGAGACAGTGACAATGAGACATCATACCCTAAGGGTCCATGTACTCATATAGTATATGGATCCTTTTCGGGTACCATAAGGGATCCTTTAAGGGATCTATAAGGGCTCAGGGTATAAGGGTCCATGTACTCATATGGTATATACACATTGGCGTCATATATTAGAAGCTGCCCCCACCCTGTAATAGTGGTATAATGAGAATATAATAGGGCCCTAATATAATGCTATATAATTTTTATAGTCACTATTACAGGGTGGGGGCAGCTTCCAAGTCATATAGTATATATACATTGGCGTTAATGTAGTCCCCATATAGGTACATTGGGGCCCATGGACCTCTATATGGGTACATGGACCCTTAGGCTCCATGGTAGTTCTTTTTTTGGGACTACCTTATCGGATCCTAAATATGAACCACAAAAAGGAACCACAGTGGAGTCTGTGGGTAGAGCAGCGTGCAAACCGAACCCCGACTGACAAAACCTTTCTCAGGAGCCCAGTCACCTGCGAAATTTCTATAAGGGTTCCTATAAGGGGATCTATGAGGGTTCTTTAAAGGGTTTAGGGTTTAGGGTTGTTTATGATGAAATGACAGTAAACCCCAGAAAGTTGGAAACCGGATTGAGGCCAAATAGTGCTAGGATTCCCCATAACTGACCCTTCAGGATTGAGACTATGGGGTTTCCAACTTTTGGGCTTCGAATGTATTTCGGTGCCTTGTAAGCAATCACCAAATACTAGTTTGGGGTTTTTTTGATTATAAGCATAGTATGATGGGCTTCAAAACCCTATCTTTAGTTATTTAGGCCGCTATGATTATGAAGTGGGGTACTGTCCCGTAAACTCTGTATAGAGCTTCTAGTATCCATGACCTATAGACAGTATCTTGCAACTGGGCTTTTGAGGCCTAGCGCCTAAAGCCAATGGGTGCTTAGGAAAATTGGAGAAATTCAAGCTGTAGCGTTAGGCTCCAACTTATGCGTTGCATACATGGAGTCTCGGGTACAGCGGGAGCGCTGTATAAGAAAATACTTTCTGGGACGAGGGTGGTCTGGTTTTCTTATTTTGATAGCGGCTGGTTTTATGGGAATATTTAATCTGGGATGGGTCAGGGTAGTCTGGTTTTCCTAAGGCCGTTTTCTTATATAGCCTTAGCTATGTCCAGGGCCCAAGACCCCAAGATGAACAAGCGAAGACTTGCCCCAAACATCAAACCCAACAGGCCCAAGATCTCGAAATGAAGGCATAAATCTTCAAACACAGTCATAATGCAGCACCGTATCCCGTTCTACAGTCGTTCAAACAGTTTTCCCCCAAACGAGGCTGTATCAGGCGCGCAATGGAGGCCCCAGGATCAGCCATCGTTCCAGAACCCACCTAAATAAGAAAACGAGACTCTGGCATTTTCTTATTCTCCTTCGTTCCAGAACCCACCTAAATAAGAAAACGAGACTCTGGCATTTTCTTATTCTCCTTCGTTCCAGAACCCAGCTAAATAAGAAAACGAGACTCTGGCATTTTCTTATTCTCCTTCGTTCCAGAACCCACCCAAATAAGAAACGAGACTCTTGCATTTTCTTATTCTCCTTCGTTCCAGAACCCACCTAAATAAGAAAACGAGACTCCGGCATTTTCTTATTGGCCTTCGTTCCAGAACCCACCTAAATAAGACAACGAGACTCTGGCATTTTCTTATTCTCCTTCGTTCCAGAACCCAGCTAAATAAGAAAACGAGACTCTGGCATTTTCTTATTCTCCTTCGTTCCAGAACCCACCTAAATAAGAAAACGAGACTCTGGCATTTTCTTATTCTCCTTCGTTCCAGAACCCACCTAAATAAGAAAACGAGACTCTGGCATTTTCTTATTCTCCTTCGTTCCAGAACCCACCTAAATAAGAAAACGAGACTCTGGCATTTTCTTATTCTCCTTCGTTCCAGAACCCACCTAAATAAGAAAACGAGACTCTTGCATTTTCTTATTCTCCTTCGTTCCAGAACCCACCTAAACAAGAAAACGAGACTCTGGCATGTTCTTATTCTCCTTCGTTCAAGAACCCAGCTAAAGACCACGAGTATGGCAGAACGAAATAAGAAAATGAAACTCGCGGACGAGGGTACCCTGGTTTTCTTATTTTAACAGTGCTTGGTATTTTATGTAGTAGAGCCCTATCAATCGCAAAATCCAGAGTCTCATATTATTAATCCAATGTTTTCTTAAGTAGTGCTGTCGCTGTAATGAAGTTTTGAAGCCTGCGCAGGCACTTCAGCATGCCCTCGTCGCTTTGGACATGTTGTGCTTTGGTCTGCACCGTCATAAGACTTGTTCTTTTGGGCGGGCTTGCCACAAACCCTATAGACCTTCAAATGCTAAACTCTCGAACCCAGCCATAAACCTTTTCACCCTGGAGCCCTAAAGCCCAAGCTCTTTAGGTTTTTAGGTTCCGTATGGCATCATCGGACGAAGGGTTCGTGTGTGTGTAGGGACCCCAAAAAGCACATAAGCATAAGCATTATATGGGGATGTCCCTACCTTATTGGGCTTCATTATGAGGGGGTTTATATGGGATATCCCTATCCTAAGTTTTGCTTATGTGCTTTTTTGGGGCCCTAGTGTGTGTTGTGGCATACGCTGTTGGGTTGCAATTTTCGGACCTTGCATATTGGGGTGAGCTATTTAGTAAGGGTCTTTATAACTGCATAGAGGATTTCGGATGCCGGTGTGGGACTTAGGCCATTAGGCTTGTTTTGCACAGGGTCAATAAAGGTTTTGGGATTTGAGGGCTGAAGGTTCGCCAGTTTTCGGATGTTCGAAACTTGGACTTAAGGTGTTGGACCTTGTACCGGTTTCAGGGCTTTTTGGAGTTGGGGTCTGTGGTTTACGGCATTCGGTATATTTACTCGTTAGAGTCACTACAGAGGTCCAATGTATTTGTAATGGTCCTCCCTCATATATCCCCAAGGGTCCAAGTACCTAATAAGCATATACTCTCCAAAATCCTAACCTACATAACTACTATCCTAAAACCAAGTACCCTAATTATTCGGTCCTTTGGACCCTTGGGGTATTCATTTTCTCAGCACACGAGATCAGATCCCCAAAGCCTAAACCCCAAAACCCTCAACCCATGAACCCTTAGCCCTAGACCTTATCTAGTCTTTCAGACTCCTGGCCCTTGAAGCCCTCCTTTCAGGAGCTTGGAGGCCCTATTGAAACTACGCCAATCGCAAACCTTAAACCGTAAAGAGCCTATACCTTAAGGACATATATACGGAAACCATGATAGGGAACCCTCAAAGGTACGTAGTTTCTTCAGGAGGGTCTAGGTAAACCTTAAACCGTGAAACCAACTGAAGCGTTCAACCCCGAACTCTAAGACGTGCAGCTGTTTCAGGGCGTAGGAGTCTTACGCCACATTCCTTTTCAGGGTTTGGGCCTTTAGGCGTCGAAGGCCTTAAGCTTTCTGGATTTGAGGTTTTGAGAGTTTTCTGTGTTTCTGTTGGTGGGTTTCAGGGCTTAGGAGAAGACCTATGTTCTCCAGTGTTTCTCAACGTAACCACACAGAAGTCATATAAAAGCCCAATGAATGGTTTTTAGTAGCAGATCAGACAAAAGTATGCAATCAATGTCTCCACTTTCGGCAATAGTGTCCCTATATACACCAAGAGCTTTTTCTATGATGATTAACGGTTCCTATCCTACGCCGTAATTCCAGTTTGTATGTAGGTTTGAATACTGCAGATTTGGTGGAGAGGGCTTAGTCATATTACAAGACCCGTCAGGGCTTAGGTACTTAGGACACCTTGGACATGTCATGGGCTCTGTGACTGAGGAACAAGAAGATTGACAAAGTAGACACGCAGGTGGGAAGAGTAAAGGAACCTTAGTTGCTAAGTCCCCTCTCCAAGAATCCCGAATCCCCCCTTATAGAAGCCTTATAGAACCTCTTTAGGGAACCCTTTAAGGAACCTTAGTTACTAAGTCCCCGGGGCCTCTAAGTAACCCTCATCCCCCCTTATAGAAGCCTGATAGACTCCTTTAAGGAATCCTTTAAGGAACCTTAGTTACTAAGTCCCCTTGGCCTCTAAGCAAGGCAGTACAGGGAAGCCTCAAAGGCTGGGTAGGATTCGGCCCTTATGGTCCCTATGTTACAGTCGGCTGTGCCCCCTAACCCCTGGTCGATTTACTCTAACTTGAAGCGCTTATAGTAGGGTTGATGAGAGAGAAGCGGAGGAGTACGGGCTGACAGCATTCGATGTACCAGCATCACAGAGACTCCTTCGTTTTGCAAATTAACACACACACATGCACCAAAACCCTAGTGTAAGTCGTCAGGCCCTTGTGTTAGCAATTTTCAACTTGAGAGGGAAACCGGAAGGGTTCAAGAGCTTGGGGGTTCACGGATTAGGAATTAGGGTAATGATATAACGATTCCTCAACTGTAAAGCTGTTTTTGTCAAGGACGTTAGGCAAAGGACCCTGAATACGTACTGATGCATGTAAACCCTAAACCCTAAACCCCTAAACCCTAAACCCCTAAACCCCTAAACCCCTAAACCCCTAAACCTCTAAACCCCAAACCCGTGCACTGGGTAGACCGTGAGCTGGAGCTGGTGTGTGAGACACTGTACCCTAAAAATAGGGGCCCTAATGATTAGACTAGGGTTCCCTTAAAGGGATCCTTAAAGGTATCTATGGTAGGGCTCGGTTCTATTACCCTAAGGGTCCATGTACCCATATAGAGATACATGGGCCCCAATGTACCTATATAGGGACGACATTTAGGCCAATGTATATACTATATGAGTACATAGACTCTTAGGGTGTATTTCATCCTGCAGTTCCGCTCGTTTGGCAAGCGGGACGTGCTCGCCAAGTGTATCGGCGTGCTGGGGTGCCTGCGGTCGATGTGGGAGCAGCTGTTCGCGACAGGTGCCAGCCTTGCCGCTGCGGGCTCGAGTGCGAGAGCTTCGCTTGTGCCTTGTGGTATCACCATCGACAAAAAAATGGTGTCCACAGACCCCGCATCCCGGATTTCCCCAGGTGGGTGCAGTCCCGGGGCGCGTATAAGACGTACTGGGTGGAGGTGCACCCCAACCGCCTCAAACATGGCATCCTGCCGCACTACTTCGGCCGCAGACTGGGCACGGAATGGGACCCGAACTTCTCCACGGCGAGTCTTGAGGCCGCCAATGTGCTGCAAAGCATTCAGGTGGAAGTTTCACCACATTTCCAGCCACCCGTGTGCAGGCATCTCTGCCGAGCCCCGGGAGGTATGGGGTGTCCACCCTTCCCACACAGTGCAAAATGTAGGTGACGAGAGCAGACAGAAGCTTGGACAGCCGTGATAAGCCCGAATACCATAAAGAAATTGCAGAACCTCAGCTCTGAAAACCGAAACGCCAGAATGTCCGCAATGCACTGGAGGAGTAGGAGTATTCGTTGATAATGTCCCCCCTATAATGCCCAAACCGTTTATCATAGCGGTGTCTGGGTACTTTCTAGTGTAGAACATCCGTTTCTGGCTCCTGATTCAAACATACTGCAATTGGTTGCGAAACCCTATCCTAACTATATACTAGATGGTTCCTATATTCGACTGCCATCCTGAACCCTGGCGCCCAAACCCTAGAGCTAGAAGTGTGTTCCCCCAAACCTTATATATACCCAAAACCCATGATCCATGACAGTAACCTGAAAACCCAAACCCAACAGTACTGCCTTTTTTGCACGGACAGGCCAGCCAGGACGATTACACGATCCTGTCTATCGCGTACCACAACGTGGGCTTAGAGCGTGAGCACATGCAGCAGTGGGACCAGGCAATGCACTGCCGGTTTGCAAAACCCTAAACCCCCTAAACCCTAAACCCTGAAACTTACCCTAAACCCTCAACCCTAAGCAATTAACCCTAAGCCCAAAACCCTGAAGCTAGTTCAGACCCCCTCTCTGATTACGCAGAGTCCCATATCATACTGTTTTGGTGTGCGTATGTAAGGCTCCGTAGGGTGTGTTGTTCGGTGTTTTTCCTTGAAGGTGTTCTTTCGGGAGAGCCTTCTGTCCCAAACCTGAAACAGTACGCCCAAATACAACAGGCGGTAAACAGCCTACCCTAAACCCTAAACCTCAAAACCCTAAACCTCTAAACCCTAAACCCTAAACCTCAACCAAACCAAAGAGCCCCTAAACCCTAAGCCCCCAGGCGACCATCGCTTTCCGAACGGGCTACGAAGTGGCGAAGCGTTTCTTAGGCCGGGCGGTTCAGGATCGCGGTTTGGTTTTACCAGGACCCCCCAATGGCCCTTCAATGGAGCCCTTTATATTTTAGGGTAGATGAGGGGGTCTAGGTAGGGTTTGCTGGTTTGGGGGATAGGGTTTTGGGGTTAAGAGTTTGGGTTTCGGGTTTAGGGTTTGGGGTTTAAGGCTTTTTGGGTTTCGGGTCTTTGGGTTTAGGGTTTAAGGTTTATGGTTAGGGTTTTAGGGTTTAGGCTTTTTGAGGTGCACCGCGGGAAATTAGAAAGGATACCAAAAGGGTGCGAAGTACCTAAATAGGGGGAAACTTACCCAATGCATAGTAATTCCTAGTACCCTAAGCCACTTTAGTCAACCCGAAATCCTCAACCCCCTCCACACGTTAAGCCCTAGTTCCCAAGCCCTCATCTTTAAGATCTCCCAAGCCTCAGCCCAAAGACCGGAAGTCCTTAGTTCCGACAGCATGCAATGATTACCCCTCATGTTTCCCGCATATAGGTACACCATAATAATGTTCCGAAGCCCTCATTCCTAGCCCTACCGCACAAACTAAAACAGAAACAAGCGCACCTAATACCTGAACCAAGTTTGAAGCCCCACCTTCTAACAAAAAGCCAACAGCAACCCAAAGGCTAGTTCATTTATCTTGGTTGTGCTTTGGGAGAACTTTTTAATTTCCCTTGTTTCCTTATACAGGGAACCTTTTCATAAATAATTCTCAAAGGGTTTAAAGCACAGGCAAGTAATTTTGTCCCTGTATACTCCCTGTGCTCATGATCATACACCCCTAAAGCCCGGCACAATCTTATCCACTTGCGGCCCCTCCTCTAAGCCTATAATCTCTAAACCTCTGAGAACCTTGTCACAGCCTTCACGACCTTTGCTCAAGAGCAACTGAAAATATATCCTGGTTTAAACCACATCCCCAAACCCCAAACGGGAAATCCTTAATCTCCGAACCCCGAACCCGATGCCTTTAAACCCTAAACCCTAAGCCCCCTAGTTTAAAGAACCCAGACTTCAATTTCAAGGTGAGAGCCATGCCCTAACGGTGACGCTGCTGAATAACTCCAACGCCGTGCTGAAGAAGTCGAAGGAAGTTGAGGGCTGCATGTGTGTGTGTGTGTGTTTTTTTTTTTGCGGGGGGGTGGGTGGGAAGTTAAGGTTGCCGGATGTGTAGTTTTTGCTCGGAGGTTTAGGTAGGAGTTCAGGATGTAGGCTGTTCATGGGGTTTAGAGCTTCCGGCTTAGGGAAGAAACTTCAATTGTCAAATGTGGTTTTGGAGAGTTAGAGGGGGTTCCGCAGGGTTCTATTGCAAAGGATTCGAGTGTTTTTGGGCCCCCAGGGGCATGGAGTTAGGGCCTACCTTAACCCTGACCTGAAGAACCTACCTTTCTTAAGGACTTTTTTAGGGAGTCATAATAGGGAACCCAAAAAAGGCAGGTTCTTCCGGGTTAGGGCCTAGGGTTGGGCTTGGGCATTATCGAGTTTCGGGTTTCGTGTGTTGGTGGGGATTGCAGGCTCTGGTGGAGTATAGGGATCTATGGTCTATAGTAAATAACATGGGTTTCCTTATTATGGTAAGTTAAATCAGGCCCCTTAACAATAGGGATCTATAGTAAACAGCACGGGTTTCCTTATTGTGGTAACTTAAACCCTTAAACCGCAAAGCCTTAAAGGAACCCTTGTAGATCCCTCAAAGGAGCCCTTATGGTTTCCTTATTATGGTAACTTAAGTTAAGCCCCTTATAGCAAGAGCCCAGTTTGGGTCCGAGTGTGCAGGGCGCAGCTTGAACCCAGAGACTCCAATACCCCTTAATTAAGGAATATTCCTTAAACCATATTAAGGATCCTACTATAATTTAAGGTATATTCCTTACTTAAGGTGTATTGGAGAGTTCGGAAACTGCAATCCAGAACTCCACGAACTGAGCCACTTCGGGGTTTAGGGTTTAGGGGCTTAGGGTTTGGGGTTTTCGGGTTTAGGGTGTACAGGTTTCCCGCTTCTAGTTCTCGGAGGCCCATTGCAGTCGAATAAACCTCAACCCAAGAACGTCGTGAACCAGCCTTCTGTGGCTTTGGGCTCAGAATTTGGAAGGTTCATCTTCTTCTGCAAGTATGTTGTAGCCAGCATTGGGGTCAGTATAGTATCACCCTAAGCAAAATCCTGCATGACCCTAAGGACTCTAAACTATGGGAATTATTGTATCTTCCTTATAATGGGTAATGCAGGATTCTGTCCATCAACAGTATGCTGTCATCAGCCATTAGTCAGGGTGTGACTGACGAGAGAGGGAAGGCACGAGTTCCGGATATGACTGGAAGACTGTCGTTAGAGTCGCAACTAATATCGGGGCTTTGATAGTTAGAATAAGTTTTGGGGTATCTTGTACTACAATGGTAATGAGGAACCCCCCAAAACAACATTGGTAATTGTTTAGGCACCTATATTATACACAGTTTTGGGGCATCTCCCTAGTTGAGCCTCCATCTGCAAGATGCTCCACGTCTGGAAGATGTCTGGGGAAGAGTTGGCTGCCTTTCCGGTAGAGGAGCTGAGTGATGTGATGAGTCTGAAGCACCGACTGCGAGCAACGCACCAAATACCAGTCAGCTTAATTCGGCTCCTCTATGACGGCCGCAGATTGGATGATGCCTTCAGACTGTGCGAGCCTATGGACGTTCAGCTCGTGGTGAAATCCCGTGCAGACAAGTTCATAGTTTCCAACGAGCTGCTCGAAGCAGCTGCCGACGGTGAGGCAGAGGTTGTGCGTTTGCTGCTCCCGGCGGGGGCGGCCAAGGACTTCGAGGACCAACATGGGAAGACAGCCCTTATCTTGGCAACCAACAAGGGCCGTGAGGAGGTCGTGCGAGTCCTCTTGGAAGCCGGGGTTGCTCAGGACCTGACCGATGCAGTGGGCAAAACGGCTCTAATCTACGCATGCTCTGACGGAGACCTTCGCATGGCGCGTTTGCTGTTGGAGGCCGGTGCAGCCACGAACGTGCGAGATGGACAAAGGAAAACAGCTCTAGCCTACTCCGCTTCCCTAGGTCACGTTGAGATAGCGCGCTTACTGCTGGAAGCTTTTGCGGACCCAAGATTGGTTGATGGATTTGACCAGACACCGCTTCATTCGGCAAGCTCGAACGGCTGTGCGGAGGTCGTGCGCTTGCTGTTGAAGGCCACTGCAAATGCGGTGCTACCAGACCGGAAGGGCAGAAGAGCTCTGAGCTATGCATCCGAGAACGGCCATGTTGAGACAGTGCGCTTGCTGCTTGAAGTTGACTGGGCTGGGGAGTTGACGGACAGGGGCGGACGGATGGCCCTCAGCTATGCTTCCGCTGGCGGCCACTTTGAGATCGCGCAGATGCTTCTTGAGCACAGGGCGGCCGTGGACTCCATGGATCAGACCGACAGAACTGCTCTTGCGTGGGCATCTTCTTGTGGTCACCTTGAGGTGGCTCGCATACTGTTGGAGAAGGGTGCATCCGCAGACTTGTGCGGTCAAAATGGCAGGTCAGCTCTTATCGAGGCTGCTGAGATCGGCCATGTTCAGATGGTGCAGTTGCTGCTGCTAGTGGGCGCCGCTAAAGACGCTACAGATGGCTATGGCAAGACAGCTCTAATATATGCATCTGACAATGGCCACCTTGATGTCGTCCGCTTGCTCGCAGAGGCTTCCGCTGCTACGGACGTGATTGACCGGAGTGGCAAGACAGCCCTCCTGCGGGCCGCCATCAAAGGCCACACTTCTGTCCTTCAGTCGCTGCTGGTGGCCGGTGCTGCTCCGGACTATACAGACGGATATGGCAAGACGGCTCTCAGCTTTGCATCCGAAACAGGCGAGGTTGATGTTGTTCGCTTGCTCTTGGAGGCCCGTGCTGCTGCGGATGCGATGGATCGAAGTGGCAAGACAGCTCTCATGCGTGCCTCTGCCAAAGGCCATGCGCATGTCGTGCGGTTACTGCTGGACATCGGCGTTTGCACAGACCTTTCAGATCGGATGGGGAAGACAGCCCTTATGCGGGCCTCTGCAAACGGCCACGATGAGATCATGGGCTTGCTGGCAGGTACAGACATGCCTGGCAAAGGCCCAAAAGCGCGAGCTCAGTAGGATTATTAGTGAAGCAAGAGTACTAGCTTGTATGTGCTCAAACCCACAGGTAGGGCACTGGTAATCCCACCCGTAACCCCGCATCAACCCCCCAACATTTTATTTGCGGGCATCACCTACTTGCTTAAGGCTGAATGCCGATCTGATGCATTGCCCTGCGCTTAGGGGTCCAGGAGCTAGGAGTTTTTAGGAAATTCATTGGGGCCGAAGACTTTGTTAGTTCAGGGCTTAAAGCGTGTGGTCTTTCGATTTCGGTAGTGCAATCAGAAAAAACATGGGGAATTTCGCAAAATCGTACCCGAAATAGTAGGATCCTTATTTCAGGACCCCAAAATACGGTACGGGCCTAAAAGACCATCCTCATTATGGCCTTCGGGACCTAATTCCATAGTAGTAGTGTATATGGACCCTCTTGTTAAGTTACCATATTAAGGAAACCATATTGTTGAATATAGGTCCCTGTTATGGTAACTTAAATTAATTTCCTCAACAAGAACCCAGTCTTCCAGGTTGGGTGGGAGTCTCCCAGATCCCAAACTCACGCCCAACTCAGATTGCTCCAAGGCTTTGCCCTTGTTTTTGTTTGCACCATGGGGGTTCCTTCAAGGCAGCCATTAAGCCATTAAGCCTGTCAGTTGCAAGCCTCCTTGTTTGATGCTGTACCCCCTTAGGCCGCCATATGATATCTATCCCTCATGCAGCGCTCAGAAACAACTTAACCACTGTAAGCTCCTCAACCCCAATCTCTAAAAGCACCTCAACGGAAGCTTCCATAGCAAGATGGCCCTCCTTCAAGCATGTTAACACACACGCTGACTCATACAACAAAAGTAACCCTCATCAGTACGATCAGTCGCATATGGGAGTTTCCGAAAATAGGGACCCCAATAAGATAAGGTATCCCTAATTTTCGGAAACTCCCATATAGTTCTTCGGGCTTCTGCAGGGGGGCTGTAAATCCCCAGCACGATCCTTTGAACGGCTTCTGCCAGCCTGCAGTAAACCAAGTAAACCCTGGTATTTGGTACTTGGACCAGTAAACAACTCCCCGACCCCTTGAACAAAACGACACCGCAACAACAAACGAGCCCTAAGCCCTGCGAAGGACAACTCTAGACTCTAAACTTCAACCCTCAACGAACAACTCGACAATCTGGAACCGGGCATGTGTCGCACGCATCCTAAGCCCAACAAAGGTATTCCATCAAAACAGAATAAGCTATCAACAGTTCAATAGAAGTGCAACCGGCAATGCACGACCCAAATTCCACCTTAAACCCTCAACCCTCAACATCCCTTAACCTAAACCTCACACCTGCCTAAGCCCGAATCCCCTACACCCGAAAGAGGTCCGCACAGTAACCCTGAGCAGCGCCCTGAACCCTAAACCCTGCAAAACCATGAACCCCTACGTGAACCCTGAACCCCTATACCCCTAAACCCCTAAGCCCTTTAAACCCCTGAACCCACAAACCCAACCAATATAGTAGCTACTTAGTATATAATATAGGTATTCGGGCACCTCTAAAACTGTATACCATACCACTGCCTGGACCCTTTGAGAAACCCAAAAGCTAAACTCCCTAAACGTCGAAACCGTAAACCCAAAAGCCCTAAACCCCTAAATCCCTCTACCCCTAAACCCTGAACCCCTAAACCCCTGAACCCCTGAACCCCTGAACTGCTGAACCCCTGAACCTCAAAGGACTTGCAGGAACAGCCAGGATGCACTGGACCAAAGGCCCGAAGTCTCCAGGCGACGCAGCCCCGGGGGGGAATCTGGGTTGGTGCTAAGGATTTTTTGTTTAAAGAAACGATTTTATTCACTATATTTTTTGTTTAAAGGCAAAATGTTAGTTTGCTATAGATCCTTAATGATGGTAGCTTAAATTATAGACCTGTGTTTAGCAAGATCCCAAGATTTTTTGTTCAAAGGGGAAATGATGGGCTATTCAATGGGTATATAATGGCTATATTATGGGTATAAACTTAGGGGTCCTGATTAGGGGTCCCTCCTTTTACCCTTTGATGTGCTCAAAGAAACTATATTATTCACTATAGATCCTTATGATGGTAGCTTAAATTATCAAACGGTGTTTAGCAAGATCCCAAGATTTTTTAAGGATGTTTCCTTAGTAGCTGAGTGGCTACCCCTGACAATTTTTGGCACTACCCCATAGAACTGAAAGTTTACCCCTTGTTGGGACCCCCGAACTTCAGCAAACTGAGTTTCTTTTGTTGTAGGTGAGGGCGAGGGCTGGGTTAGGATTTGGGGTTTGCAGCTTTAAGGGCTTCGGGCCTGTTTTGGATTTGTTGCACGGTTTAGGGTTTAGGGTTTGTTGAGCTGGCTGATACTTGGTCTAACAAGCTTAAAGACTTAAAGCTTTGAGGTTTCAGCTTCTTCTGTGGTGTTACCTGGACCCTGAGGAACCTGCCTTTTTAGGGTTCCTTAATATGACTTCTTTATATAATTCCTTAAAAAGGTGGGTTACGTGGGGTTAAGGTAAGCCTTCTTAGGCTTCCTTTAACAGGGACCTGCCCGGGTGTGGTTTAGGGACTGTAAGTGCTTGTGAAGGGCTTGGGGAGGGTTTAGGGTTTAGGGTTTTTTGGTCGTTTCAATCGCAGATACTGCTGATGGACAAAATCCTGCATGACCCTAAGGACTCTAAACTATGGGGACTATGGTATATTCCTCATAGTGAGTACTGCAGGATTTTGTCATTATCTCAGCTGTATGTAATTGTATGATTGCTTTCGGGTCCCCTGAAGGTCCAGCTTTCTTGAATTAGGAGGGTGATGTACGGTGATTCGTACGGCTGTCGAGTCCACATCTACGGTGCCCTTGCGCATAACTCCACTTATCGGAACCCTAAGCCCTGAACCCGAAACCCCCAGCTGAATCCAGAATCCCAAACACCAGACCTCAAGCGTGAAGCCTGTCCACCTCCTCATAGCACCACCGAAAGCACCGAATAACCCGGAGACAAAACAGGATTCCTCAAGCCAAGGGGCTTAGTAAGTAAAGAACCCTTGTAGATCCCTTTAAAAAGAACCCTTATAGAGCCCCCTTTAGTAACCCTTACTCTACACCAAAGCCACAGCGCAGGCACCCGAAAGTCCCGGCAACACCCAGGAGAAGGTCCCATGGCCACCGAGTGACGCAGGGCCTTTGGGGGTCTTTTTAGGCTCTTCAATTGGATCCTCTTGAAGGGTTTTAAAGGGATCCTTTGAGGTTTCTTTAAGGGCTTTGAAAAGGGATCCTTGAAGCGTTCTTTGAAGGGTTACTGTAAGGGGTTCAATGAGCATTTAAAAGGTTTAGGCTTCAGGGGCAGAGTGCACAGGAGTTCGCCTCCTAGTGAGGCTGATTATACCTTCGAATGAGCCTAATTATACTTGTGCACTTTGTCTCCTTGGGTCGGGATTTCTGGGCTCATCACAAGTATCATGCCAATCATTTTTGACCTCATGTTGACGTCCTTACCCGAGGTGTATTTTCCGGGGATCTACATTTTTCTGCGGGCTTTCTTTGAGAGGATCACCGCTTTGGAGATCGACAGATCGGATTGGGTTATCGAGGGATTAGTAAAGAAGCCTGAACAAAGAGTAATCTACTTCCTCGCGTTCCTTGTTACAAACATCTTCCAATGTTTAAGACACCTTGGTTAGACTAGAATACTGTGGTGGCATGTTTGGGCACTGTCGTCCGTTTCCGCTAGAAGGAACCTCAGCAGAATGACTTGACCTAGAGCATACCCACGGTCCTAAAGCTCAGAACCTCAAACAGCGCTAAGCCCTCCATGGTGGAAGGGAAGCCCTCAAGCGATAAACCGTTGTCATGAAATCCGAAGCACCTGCGGCTTCGGAGCAATTAGCGCTGCAAGCAGATTCCCAACCCCAAAAACCCTAAGGGTCCATGTACCTAAATAGTATACACATTGGCCTTAAGTAGTAGTCCCTATATAGGTACATTGGTGCCAATGTATATACTGTTTGGGTACTTACGGTTGATGATATAAATCCTGCATGACCCATAATAAGGAAGATACCAAAATTCCCATAGTTTAGAGTCCTTAAGGTCATGCAGGATTTGTATCATCAACCGTTAGACCCCTAGGAAAAGAGGTGCTAACCCTCAGAGCCCTTCAAGGTTCCCATAGACCAACATGGGATGCTTGAGCCAGAAAGCCCTAATCCCGAAGACTCGGCTCCTCTTAAGGAGCTTGTGGTTTGAATTTCCCATGATAGTTAAGGCCATCATAGAAATGAATTATGTACTTCAGATCATAAGCCCTAAACCTTCAACCTCAAACCTTAAATCCCTTAACAAGAACCCAGAACAAGAGCCCTCAACCACGAAGCCGAGCCCGAGACCGTTTAACGCACCCCCAAGCCGTCAGAGCCGGAACCGAGCCTTCTTAGGGCTTAGGATCACCACTACCGCTTGCTAACTTATTGGCTGCAAACTCAACTTTTCAGCTTTCGGGGTTCTTACAAGGTAGTCGATTCTGAAAGTTTTAACTTCTGTTTTCTTGGGTTTTGGGCCAATGAGCTAAGAACAGCGGTAAACAACAGACGGCAAGCATTGAAGAACAGCCGTAAGAATTAGATTTGACAAGAAAACGAGCGTTGCTTTACAAGACATGCTATACTATGCTATGCTACACTATGCTATGCTACACTATGCGATGCTAATGCCTAATGCTAATGCCATGCTGGCCTTGCTATGCAATACTGGATACCGTACTATACTGTGCTCTACCTTCATGGACTTTGCTATGCTATGACATACGAAAACCATCATTACTGCTTGGACTTTTGTTAAGACTAGCAGTAATACTGAGCGCTCATGCCCTAAACCGTAAGCCCATCTAAACCCTCAACCTAGCATGACACGACGGCATATTGATGCTCATGCTAATCCTCTAAGCCCTGTGTCCTAAAGCTAACATGAAAGCTAAATTCATCAAGCCAATGCTAGTACCCTAAACCCTAAAGCGAACATGAAAGAACATGCAAATAAGCATACTAATGCTAATGCAAAAACCCTAAGCCCCACAACTAAAAATGGAAACAAGCACACCTAATGATGTTAATGCTAGTAGCTTCAGCCCTAAAACTAACATCCCTGAAAACCCTAAACCCTAAACCCTAAAGATCCTAAACCCTAAAGATCCTAAACCCTAAACCCTAAAGATCCTAAACCCTAAAGATCCTAAACCCTAAACCCTAAACCCTAAAGATCCTAAACCCTAAAGCCCTAAACCCTAAACCCTAAACCCTATACCCTAAACCCTAAAGATCCTAAACCCTAAAGCCCTAAACCCTAAACCCTAAACGCGTTCACATGTGAAGGCTCTGGAAAGCACCCTGGGCGTCACGCTGCCTCCTCTCGTGCCCAAGGAGAAGGAACTCTAAGGGTTCAGGGTTCCGTTTGCCAAGGGTTCGTGTATTTAGGGTTTAGGGTTTAGGGTTCTTTTTGGTAAGGCTTTCTTTCAAGGGTTCAGGATTTACTGTAGGGTTCAGGGTTGCGTTTGTCAAGGGTTCCTTTAGTCCCTTGTTGGTAAGGGTTTCTTTCAAGGGTTCAGGATTTAGGGTTCAGGATTCCATTTGTCAAGGGTTCCTTTAGAGGGTTCAGGGCATTGGTTTTAAGGAGGAGGGCCCCTTAGGTTTAGGCTAACCCTTTTGTTATGTTAAGGGTTCCTTAGCAAGACTTCCTTGAAGGGTGCCGCTGGGTTTAGGGGTTAGGAGTTTACAATTAAGGATAGGTTTTAGGGTGTAGGGTTTCAGGGGTTAAGATTCAAGGGAATATGGGTCACAGAAGTTCTTGTAAATCGGAAACTCGTTATGCTCTTGTTTCGAGAGCGAGATAGAGGGACCACCAGCACTAAATTCCAAATCGTAAACGTAAGCCCCAAAAGCCCTATATCCCTAGCACACAGTTAACCTCTAAGCTCTGAACACCCTCTTGCCAGAGTCGAACTTCACTGTAGGTAGCCCGAAGGGTCCATGTACCCAACTAGTATATACTTTCGGCCGCAAGCACCTATACAGGGACTACCGTACGAGAGTCTAGGGTTTGGTGTTTAGGGTCTAGGGTTTAGGGTGTGGGCGTAGGGTCTAGGGTTTAGGGTTTGGGCTTCGAGGTGTGGGCGATTACCCTAGGGGTCCCTTTTTGGGGCTCCTTTCAGGGCTCTATGATTTATTTAGGGGTCCGAAGTACACGCTAGTCAGGTAAGGATAGTCGTAATGTCTAATGTAGGAACCTGATTAAGAAACTCTGGGCCTATAACCCCAAAATAGTGGGGTTCATATAAGGAAACCTAACAACGCCCCAAGGTTTCTTCATCAGGTTCCTACATTATTGATTTTGAGGTACTTAAGCCCCGAGGGATGCGGCTCGGGTAGGTGAATCTTGGCGCACGGAGGGTTTAGTAAATAGGGTCCGGATACTTACCTTTGGTTAGTAGGGAATGGAAGAATGGTAGCAATAGTAGTTATGATTGTGCCCCATTCCGCCTTTCCCTACTAACCCAAGGTAAGGGTAAGGTTTACGGAGCCTGCTTTGCGACCTCCGGGCAAGGGAGTTCTTACACTGGGCCCAAGCAGCTGGTAGTGGTTTTGTTACATATTAATGTGTCGAACTTTGAGATGTGTTTTGAGACAGTGCAATAAGCCAACAGAGGCCATTTTGTGTTATTTTTTGTACACAAATAACAGAGTACCCCTAAGTCGGGTCGCCCACATCCTGGCTGAGCGAAACTCTGCCGTGGGTAAGATGACACTTCCGGCACAATCGTGGCATGCACACCCCTAAGACTCCAGGTGCCCGTATAGTAGGCACTTAGGCCTTAAAGAGGTCCCTGTATAGGTACTTGAAGGGTTAAGTATCTACTGTACTATATGGGTACATGGAGCCTTTGGGCACAAGAAGAGGACATCCGGTCTTGGTCCAGGGACGCACCATAGCGTTGTGGTGTATGAGGTTCTCTTGTCTTTGGAGACCAAGACGAAACCAGGGCTGTCGAAGACGGAGATCCTTGCAAATGGGATCGGAAAGTCCCCTGTTCCCCAGCAGGCTAGCTGCATGCAGATTGTTTTCAGGGACTTCTGCGAGGTTTCAGGTGTTGGTGGAAGACAAACCCTAAACCCTAAACCCTAAACCCTAAACCGTTTCCTTGTGCAGCCCGATGGCCCTGCTGGCAAGGTTGCACGGATTGTGGCTCGTAGATAAAGTGTGGGGGTCAGAACCAAGATGAAGGCACGGTCCTGTGCTTTGGACCCGCGCTCCAGATGCAATTATGTCTCTATCTTGCCGATTCTTTCTTTGAGAAGCATCCTGAACATGCCAATATCTTGATGGGTCACAGTACGTGTTCTCGCAGGGAACACATTGTCTTCGAAGGCAGGAGTCACAATTCTCCACCTTGCAACCCGCTCGAAGCTTGGAGCTTGCTGGTTACAAGTGTTGGCGCCAGGTGCGGCGTGCTTTCGGCGACCAGACCGACTCGTTCTAAGCTGTGGTCGCAAAGCATCTACAAGTGCATGTGGTGTCGTCATGATGGAAGGTTACCGGTATATGTTACTTTTTCGGATAGAAAATAGGTTCATAAAAGCCAGCCTTTGTAGAGCCCGTCTAGAATCTTTCAAGGATCCTTCAGGGAGTTATCGTATCCCCAATAGTCCCTGCAAGAAACGATGATACACACAACGACAACCCTATTCAACTAATCCCCCTACTGTTGATGGACAAAATCCTGCATTACCCATTATAAGGAATATACCATAGTTCCCATAGTTTAGAGTCCTTAGGGTCAGGCAGGATTTTGTCCATCAGCCGTATCACAACCCGAAGGCCCCTTTTCTTGCAAAGTACCTAGATTTTAGAAACATCAACCCCGAGACCCATGAAACTCCACACCTAAGCCGTCTCCAAGCGAACCCCTAAACCCTAAACCCCTGCACCCTAAGCCCCTAAACCCCTAAACACCTAAACCCCTAGACCCTAAACCCTACCTTAACATCAAGAACCCGCCCTCTTTCAGGGCTTCTATAAGGACATCATAATAGGGGAACCCTATGAATGTAGGTTATTCAGGGTTAAGGTAAACCCTAAGCCCCTAAACCCTAAACCCCTAACATCCTAAACCCGGAAATCCCAATGCACCCTTACAAAAAAGCCTAAATCCCTAGACCCTCAACCCTAAACCCTAAACAAGTTTCGCAGGCGCCTAGCAAACGCGGCAATGCGGACGCAGCAGACTTCCTCAAAAACGAGGTCTGCAGAGCTTGAGGGTTCATGGGAGTTCGGACTTTGCTCCCCTTAAGCAGTTCTATGAGGGGGATCAGGGTTCCTTTAAAGGGTTCCTTTCCGGGTTTGTGCGATAAGGATCCTATAAGGGTTCTACTAGGGCTTGGGGGTTCATGGGAGTTCGGGGCTTACCTGGGGCCCCATAAAGGTGCCTACTTAATAATTAAGTTAGCAGATACCATTTCCATTTTGTAACCATGGCCACCCCCCTATACCACCCGAAGACCCAAAACCATAACAACCTATGCCTCAACCTTCAACCTACCCAAGACCCATAGGTAGAACCAGAGGAAAAACCCACCTGAAGACCCAACACCATAACAACCTATACCTCAATCCCCAACTCACCAAAATTCCCAGAGTAAGACCCACACGATGGAACCACCAGAAGACCCATAGGAAGACCCCCATAGAAAAAACCCATAACATCCACCCGAAATCCCTAACCCTGGAAAACGGAAATCGTCTCAGCCTATGTACGGCTGGAGTGAGAGCTTACGCTCTCCGTCTCCTTAAATAAGATTTCTTTTTTGGGAAAAAGGTTTAGGATTCAGGCCGTATCGACTAGAACGATACAAATAGGATAGCAATAACTACTTGTCAAGATTCCCGTGTTTCAGCTTCAACCGTGGAGGAAGTATTGCTTCCTACATCCATCTCTCAATGGCCATGAAAGCCGGCCTGGCACTTGGCATACTCTTCTGGACACACCATCCTGGCTCGTGGTTTGTTCCCACGCTAGGTCAGTCACGTTTCGTGCGGCCACGGCTTCAACATGTCGGGTGCTTGTCCAGCAAAATGCAGATTTCCGCATCCTGTGACGTGCCACCAGATCTGGGACCAGTTTCGGCAGTCTCAGTGGGCGATCATCATACTTGTGCAATTCGGGCAGATGGTCAGCTCGTCTGCTTTGGAAAGAACAAATATCATGACTATGGGCAGTCCGACGTGCCGGCAGATTTGGGACCAGTTGTAGCAGTCTCTGCGGGCGCTTCTCATACTTGCGCAGTGCGGACAGATGGTCAGCTCGTCTGCTTTGGACAGAACGAGTATTATGGGCAGTGTGACGTGCCAGCAGATTTGGGACCAGTTTTGGCAGTCTCAGCGGGCGAGCATACTTGTGCAGTGCGGACAGATGGTCAGCTCGTCTGCTTTGGATGTGCAGTAGTGCGGACGGATGAGCAAATCGTCCTTTTGCCAAACGACGATTGTGGGCAGTGTGACGTGTCAGCAGATTTGGGACCAGTTTTTGCAGTCTCAGCGGGCGCAACTCATACTTGTGCAATTCGGGCAGATAGTCAGCTCGTCTGTTTTGGGGCCGACCATCTTGACGTGCCAGCAGATTTGGGACCAGTTTTAGCAGTCTCAGCGAGCCCTTATCATACTTGCGCGGTGCGGACAGATGGTCAGCTCGTATGCTTTGGAGAGAACGATGCTGGGCAGTGTGAGGTGCCAGCAGGTTTGGGACCGGTTGTGGCAGTCTCAGCAGGCAATTTTCATACTTGTGCAGTGCGGACAGATGGTCAGCTCGTCTGCTTTGGATGTGCAGTAGTGCGGACGGATGAGCAAATCGTCCTTTTGCCAAACGACGATTATGGGCAGTGTGACGTGCCAGCAGACTTGGGACCGGTTTTGGCAGTCTCGACGGGCGCATATCATACTTGCGCAGTTCGGGTGGATGGTCAGCTCGTGTGTTTTGGCTACAACTCAAGGTCTGGCTAGTGCGGGCAGATGGTCAGCTCGTTTGCTTTGGAGACTGTCATGGGAAGCGTGATGTGCCATGATGTGCCCCAGTCCTGTCATGCAGAAAACGCGGGTGCGTCGCGCGCTCAGTGATTACCTTATTCCTAAACCTTATTCCTATTATCGTAAAATTATTTAAGAAGACCATTTCCATTTTCTAAGGTTAGGGATTTCGGGTTGATACTATCGGGTTTTCTATCGGGGTATTGGTGTATAGGTTTGAGGTTGGGTTTTTTTCTATGTGGTGGTGTATGGGTCTTCTAATGGTTCCATCTTGTGGGTATTGGGTATAGGTTGTTATGGTTTTGGGTCTTCGGGTGAGCTATTCCTAGGGTTCTACCTATGGATGTTGGGTGGGTTGAAGGTTGAGGTATAGGTTGTTATGGTTTTGGTGCTAGGGTGTGGGGCATGGTTAGAAAATGGACATGGTATATGCTAACTAGTTAGAATGGAGTTTTGGGATATATTACACGATAACACGCTACAATACGGAACCCGCAGAATAGTATTGGTAATGGGAGTTGAGGGTTTACCTGGGCCCTATCCAAATCCGTCAATTAAGGATTATATTTTAAAGTTTCGTAGGATCCAGAATATGATTTAAGGTTTTTTCCTTAATCAAGGGGTTTTGGAGGCTCTGGGTACCTGGGCACAATAAAACCTACATCTTTACACACCTGTTGTATAAAGACTCATCGAAATCAGGAACCTTACAAAGGTCGGTTATTGGGGTGGAGGGTTTTAAAACCTCTAGACTCTAGAACCACCAAGGCTTTGGTGGATTTCAGGGTATTCCCCAAACGCCAAACCCGAAGCCCCTGGAAGGGTCCAACAAGTACATTCCCTAACAGGGTCCCTATAAGTTCCGTTTAGCACTTTAGGTTTCCATATTCGAGGTCTACTGTTTTCCTAAACCCTAAACCCTAAGCCGTTCTAGATCCGGTTTCTCGAGCACCTCTGGGCCGCCCTCCCTCGACAAAGGTTATACCAGGAATCCCAGATCCCACGGTTGATGTCCACAGAGACTCTTCATTACGGTTGATGATATAAATCCTGCATGACTCATAACAAGTGATAAGCACCATACTTCCCATAGTTTAGGGCCCTTAAGGTAATGCAGGATTTATATCATCAGCAGCAGTACGAAGGTCCACAGAGACTCTTCATTAGGGGTCTACATAAACTGCATAAGATCTTATGACAATCCAAGGCACATCACTTGCTTACTTGAGTCTCTGTGTCCCAAACCTACAATCCACTGCAAGTGCGGTCGCTGCTTGAGTGTTAGGGCTTAGGGTTCAGGGTTTAGTGCATGTCCTGAGTCCCAATTACCTGGGGATCAAAATAGCCCAAAAGCCTTATATACAGTAGTATGGTCTCTGGGTCCAAAAGCTTCAAATATGAGTCCTTAGATCCCTAAACTTGCACCTTCAACTTGAATTCGAGCAGCTCGAAAAGAGTTCTGATCCTCCAACTGGGCCGAAAGCGCCGCCAACGCAGTCCCTCACGACCTTGACCCTAAGGGTCCACGTACCCATATAGTAGGTGCTTAGGCCTTAAAGGGGTCCCTATATAGGTACTTTAAGGCCTAAGTACCTACTATATGGGTACATGGAGCCTTTGGGCTTGAGAAAGCTATTATTCAAGACCTTCCACGAAACTCGTAGACATTGCATCTCCCAAGACCCCGAACCCCCAAGGCGGTTGTCGGTTTTGGGTGCAACATAGGGTTTTATGCACATTTGCTAATACTGTTGTTTAGAGTTTCTTAATACAATGCTGTTCTGACTGCCCCCATACTAAATTTTGGTTCTTAGATGGAGGAAATGCTTTGGGCCAACTTTGCAGCCAAGACGCTCCACAGCTGCTGGAACGACAGGATGTGGTCGCAGATTGTTGAAGTAAGGCATTGGCTTCCAAGAGTTTCTGAAATTCACTGTTCTTTCGGGATCAAGGGTTGCATATGCGGGTTTGGGGTCTCGGCTTTGGGGTTTGGGATTCCCTGAGTTCGAGGAGCCAAGCCACAGCAGGCCATGGCGCTTTCGTGCAGGCAAGTGAGTTAGCTTAAGCTACCATAACAGGGGTCTATATACATTGGTTTTATTGTAGTAACCTTATAAGCTAAATTCCTGAGTGTCTGTGCCCTAAACACCTCAACCCTGCAGCTTAACGTCGTTCAAACCCTAATCAGACCCCCGGCAAAGCCCAATAACCCCACCGTATACCATGTAAACTTTGTGCCACTGAAACCCAAACACCGGACCTTCCAACCTAAGAACCGTGACTTAAAGGACTTGCAGGGCTGCAGGTTATGAGTCTCTACCATTGGACCCTTATTCAGGAGTTTATTTCAACTTTTCATAAATCAATATTATGGGTGGTTGTCGAAATTATGGTCCCGATTATGATACGGCACCTATTATTTAGGGTACCGCAGAAGGGGCCATAATTTTGACAACTACCCATATGGTTGCCTTGTTATGGGAACTTGGAGGGAGCTCCTTCGCCAGAGCCCTGCTTCTTGGTATCAGAGACTCAGTTTAGGGTTTGGGGCATAGGGAGTTTAGTGGGGTTAGGGTATTTGAGGGTGCTTATACTGTAGCTTGTAACCACTCACCAAGGGTCCCTGTAACCCGGCACAATTATTACTATCCAGTGTCTGCATTGCGGTCCCCTTCTGTCTGAGTGCCCTGTCTACACAGTGGTCATCACAGACGTATCTATACTCCTTCGACGGAGATGCTTCACTCGGTTGCCTGGTTTCTGGATACTACGGTTCTGAAAAAATGCTTAACCCTCGACCCCCATAAACCTTAAACCCCGAGCAACTAAACCAACTCTATTATAATATCCTAAACCCTACCTTAACCCTGAAGAACCTACCATTTTAAGGACTTATATAAGGAAATCATAATAAGGAGCCCTAAAAAAAAGGTAGGTTATTCAGGGTTAAGGTAAACCCTAAAGCCTTAGGTTCTGGGCCGGCCATCGAAGACGATCTGCCCAAGGAGGGAGCTGAGGAGGAGGACCTCTGGGGAGCTCCCTTTTTCGAAGGTCCGAAGGCGTTCACATAAGCTCTGGGGCATTAGGGCTTACCTTAACCCTGAAGGACCTACCTTGTTTAGGGTTCCCTATTACGATTTCCTTTTTTGTAAGTCCTTCAAAAGGTAGGTTCTTCAGGGTTAAGGTAGGGTTTAGGATGGTTTAGGGCTCTATGGGTTTAGGGATCTAGAGGTTTTTGGTGTTTAGGGCTTTAGGGTTTAGGGATTTAGGGTTTTGGAGCTGTAGGGTTTGGGTTTCATGTAAGTTTTGCGAAACGGGAGAAGCAATATACTAAGGCCAATGGCTCCATGTACCCGTATCGTAGATACTTAGCCCTTGAAGTATCTTTTTAGGGACCCCTCTACAGCCTAAGTACCCAATATATGGGCACATGGACCCTTGGGATAAGGCTCTTAGAAAGGGCTACGGCTGGGAGTTGTGACGCTGTGAGGGTTTAGGGACGAGGGGCCGGATATCTTTAAGGTTTGAGCGAGGTCTTGATTTAGGATTTAAGGTTTTGGGTTTGGTTTAGGGTTCAGGTTGTAAGGTTTAGGGTTTGTGGTGATCTCCTGTCCAACTACGTATTGCTGGCCTGCCGTGTATGGTTGCAGCTTTCAGTTTCTACTTTCCGTGTGCTTCTTGGGGGACATCCCCAGGCGGTTGAGGGTTTAGGGGAGTGAGGGCTTTAGGGCTGCCTATTTTTGCAGGTCCAATGCTTGCAACTGGGGGAGAGGCATTTTCCGGTTTGTTGGGTAGCTGCAGCTTGTGGGTGTTGAGGGTTTGAAACTTAAGGTGCCGGTGTCGGTTGTTGAATTTATGCTGCAAGGGTTTAGAGTTTCAAGGTTCCTGGATTGTTAGGATAGGGACTGGGTTGGAGTTTTTGATTTGGAGGTTCGATGCTTTATACCCAAAGGCTCCATAGTAGCTCCTTTTTGGGATTACCTTATAGGGTTCTAAATAGCTACTATGGAGCCTTTGGGTACAGGGTGTAGCGAAGATACCGAGATGCTCACATCCAACTTCACACAACAGCCTGTTGTAACTGCCATTCCAAGCTTTTCGGAACGTTGGACAGCCGTTGGCGCAGTTTCGTTTAATATTGGGGCCTAAATAATTTCCAATACTATTTTTGCGTTTCCTTATTGTAATTGTAGTATCATGGCCCCCAAACCCTATTCTAATTAGTAAAGCCCTTTTTCTGGGGCCAGTGAGCCTTTTGGCCTCTGGGCTTTGATGAAACAAAGACACTTGGAGGCAGGGGACTTAGTAAGGCGGTTATATGTAGGGTTATCATTGGGGTTTTGTTATGTGGGGGACGTACAACTCTACTTATAACCTACTTACTAGATAAGAAGTGGGTAAGCGCAGGTATCAAGGTATGCAGTAGGGTACTTACACCCCACGATGACAAGCTGTGATGAGCCGTTGTCAGGTAAACCCCAGTCCCTCTACCCTTTAGGCAACAGCCGCTAGAAGCACGATATGAACTTCGTAGACCCCGAAGCGACGCACAATGCGCACTTCAAGCAGTGTGCGCCCCAAGTTGCGGCTTCAGCTCCCACAGCTCCTAAACCGGGTTTAGGGTTTAGGGCCGTAGGATTTCATACAGCACGAGACCCCGCAACCCAATCGCCATGGTTCGACGTTTCAGATCCAAAGAACTCTTTTGCAGTTTCAGGTATGGCCAAGGCGATTCCTTGGGTACGGCCCCCACTCAGTAATAGTTGAATACTAATTTTCATAGTATAGATACATTAGGATCTTAGCAGTAGGCCTAGATAGACTCTTACTGTATGGGGGCAGTACCTAAGGGATTCCTACATACATCCTTCAAAAAAAAAGCGTATGAAGACCACAAGAGGATCCTTTGGACAACGACGATGCCATAGCCCGGCATCCGCTAAACAAAGCGGCGCTGGTGTCCATGCAAGATCTTGGCATCTCGTTGCAATGGAGGGCTCCCTCGAAGAGATTCCCAGAAACGTTCGGCAAGGGCTCCTGCGAGTGTTTGATGTAGGGGCCTGAATAGTACCTAGACTATTTTGGGGTTCCTTGTTGCAATTCTGGTATAATGGGCCCCCAAGCCCCATTCTAATTGTTAAGGCCCCTGTAGTAGGACTCAGGAACCATGAGTTGGGAGCTTCAGGTTCCAGGACCTAGCACCTCAAACCCCTTAATTAAGGAATATACCGTAAAGTATAGTGGCATCCATAATATGACTTAAGGTATACCTAGACCCCCAAAAGTAGGTAAAATAACGGCCCAAACCCTATAAACGGCCATTATTCTACATACTTCTGGGGTCCAGGTATTCCCTAGTTAAACCCTAAACCCTAAACCTTAGTTAAGGGGTTTTGGAGGCTCTGGCGATTTCGGATTGTGCAAGGAGGAGATGGCGGCTGCAAGGGGTTTTAAGAAGCGGTTTAGGCTTCAGGGTTTAGGGCTTTTTAGGGTTTAGGGTTTTTAGGGTTTTTTCTGTTTTTTTAGGGCGTTTAGGGCTTTTTAGGGTTTAGGGTTTTTTAGGGTTTAGGGTGTTTAGGGTTTGGGTTTTTAGGGCTTTTGGTTTTTGTTTTATGGTTTTTAGGGTTTAGGGTTGTATATTAGGCAGTGCAGTGATACGGTTGATGATATAAACCGTGCATGACCTTAATGACCCTAGACTATGGGAATTATTGTAATTACAGTTCTTAGTATGGGTAATGCAGGGTGTATATCATCAACCGTACTTCATGTGGTGGTCGAAAAAGTCTAGGTAATTAGACTGCAGTTCCTGGTACTCTCTTCATAATACTCTATGCTATAATGCGTGTGCATTAAGCCCCTATTGTCATTTTTGGAGGTCCGATATTACTCATCCTCAATATCATCAGAGCATTTTTCAAATCGTATGGAAGACTGGATGGTAAATGGATTTGTGCATGAGGTATGCTTTTGCGAGGCAGAACTCGGTGTCCCCTAGTAACTTATAAGTCTTCTCCGAACACCTGGAATTTTTAAATCATTGTTGCTACTGCTACAGGCCCTTTGGAGTTCAACTAGGTGCTAAATAGCTAATTCCCAGAGCATATGCCCCAAGCCGTGAGCCCTATACTCGTAGGCCTGGAAACGCATGCCTTAATAATTACCTATACTGTTTGAAGGGTTCCTTATTGTAATTATAGTATCATGGGCCCCCAAACCCTATTCTAATTAGTAAGGCCCTTCTTCCCCCACCCGAAGGGTTCCTTATTAGGTCTTTGGCAAAAATGGACCCCAAAAGCTTATTCTAATTATTCAGGCCCCCATATTAGGCTGAACCCTGAGACCCCAACCCGAGCAATATAGAAGGCTGAAGAATTCGCCGACTGGCCCCCCCCCCCCCCCGCCCCCCGCGACTAGTCCCTACTACAACCGGAAGCCCGCTACTACAACCAGACGCCCTATACTGCAACTGGGCCTGGGTTTGTGCAAAACCCGAAACCACCATATCACAACCAGCCAACAAGCTTACATTTTGCATTGTTTCCAATCTGATGGTCAGCCTTCAAGGAAACACATTCATGTTTAGAAACAGTTCAGTTGCAGTAAGTACCTTTCTTCGCCCGGTGCTACGATCTACTAAATCTTCGTAACGAACAACTATCACCGGACCTCATGCTAAAGGGCCTCTATGTTATTGAAGGTTCGACTTCAAGCTGTAGACCAAACCCTGTACTACCACGAAAGCTTCAAACTTGTAAAACCCGAAGGTTTGCTACCCCAAAGGCTTTAAACCTTTGAATCCCGAAAGTTTTACAGCTTGAAGCATGTAAACCCCCAGGGTGTACTACCCCAAAAGCGCTAAAACCTAGGCTTCAAACCTGTGAAACCCGAATGCTTGGTGGTGTTGCTGGTGTTTGGTGGTGGTGCTGGTGTTGGTGGGCTTGGTGTTGTTAACCCCATCGGTCCCTGAACCAACACACATGTCCTACGTCAGACAGGGTACCCTCCCTGAATTCCGAAGGGGTTTGGGGGTCGGGACTATTTCCCCCCCCCCCCCCCCCCCCCCCCCCCCAATTTGGGCATCTTTTCGCTTTCGCACTCACCCCACCCCCGTACCTCGCTGCAAAGCTTGTAGTGAGAAGTGTAATACGTTTTTTACAGTCACGTCCAGAGGAGAATGCAGGGAATGTGCCACCTTTCGGGTGCGATTGTTGCTCAGAGCCTCAGCATGACAACAGTTACTGACGTTAAAAGCACATTGAAGCCATCGCGCTCATTCACGCAAGACCTCACCTGTTTGAGATACTTGTTGCTTTCCGAACACCGAGGCAGACGACGCGAAGCATTCAAAACTAGGAATACTATTTTTCAGGGCTCCTTAACATAGCCACACCAAAACATGGCCCCGGAACAATGTTCCACGTATTATGTTCCTTTCCTAAAGCCATAAAACTTATAAGCCCCTAAACAGCATTATGTTCTTTTTCAGAACAGCAGGGAAGGGCATCCAGCTCGATTCAGGTCTGATCCTCCCTTCCGCCTACGACCAAGGGCTGTTCCGCTTTCAGGACCGACCGAATTAGTGCCCAGAGGGTCCAAGTTCCCCAATAATAGGGTTTTAGGTCCCAAGATCCATACTGAATGGCTTTTTGCACCTTGAAACCCCACTATTTGAGTATTTGGACCGTGAGGGGCACACAGCTTTGGAGGGTTGTCATAACGGTTGATGAGGTTTGCGTGTTCAGTGCTTTTTAGCTTCGAACAAGCGTTGTTTCCACGTTTGAGCAGGAAGGGTCTGTAAGGGCGTCAAAGTGCTGCTCAGAAGGCAAGAAAGGTTTACACGCTTGTAGATAGGTCTTCCTTTTGGAATAGGGTTTCGGTATATCCTTCAGCCTTTCTCGGGTGTCCCGAGGCATTTGGTGTACAAAGCGCCCTGAACTTAGTCTGGTCATCCAAGCCGTATGGTATAAGGCATCCTCAAACTCAGGTATCAGAGCAGTCCCTTTTTAATGCATTCAGAATTCAGAACCCCCTGATTAGAGCTTGCCTGCAGAATCCCTAAACTAAACCGCGAAGCTTTAAACGTCAAGCTCGCAAAACTTCCTTCCGTAAAGCAGACCTGTGTGGTTGTCCTAATTATGGCCCCTTTTTTGGGTACCCTAAATATTAGGGTGCCGTATTATAATAGGCCCTTTTTGGGTTCCCTAAATACTAGGTGGCGTACTATAATAGGGACCCCAAAAGGGACCATAATTAGGTGCCGTAATATAATAGGGACCCAACAAGGGACCATAATTTCAACAACTACCCGTGTAGACCATCCCGAAATGTCTCAACCACACCGCAAACCCCGCCTTCACCAACCGGACCCTACTGTTTTGGAGGATCCCTAGAAATTCTGTTTGATTCACGGTTTAGACTAGAACCCTGCAACAAGGCAGGTTTGGGGTGAGGTATACTCTACATTCTAGACACATGCTGCGGAAGGAGAACCGAGGAATGAACACGAACCACAACGCATTGGCCCAGGTGCTGGGGCTTCACGCATAAACCCCGTATATAACCGGTATTTTTCCTTCAGCCCTGAACCCGAAATCATGCTTCGTTGGCAGTGTGCTTCTATTGCTATCCGATGCAGGTAGGTTTTGGTTAGTTCAAGGTATTCCCAATTAAGGCCCCCAGCATCCGAGCTCAGCTCCCAGAGAAAGGCTCAGGGGACTTAGTCAGTACCCTAACCCCATTCGGATACTACTTAGAGGGCCAGTGGACTTAGTAAGTAGGTTATAAGTAGAGTTATAAGTACTCTAAATGGAGTTACCCCAATTGTAACCCCGCTTATAACCGACTTACTAAGTCCCCTGGGCCTCTATGTACTGCTATACAACTCTCTAAAAGTCACTACTTACTAAGTCCCCTGACCCTCCTAGAAGGGCTGCAAGTCAGGATAGTTCTGCTTCGGTCATTGGTAACGCCAACTATAACCCTACTTGCTAAGTCCCAAACTCTATACCTATACCCTTCTGCAAGATCTCGGGTGGTTCTTGTGAAATGGTTTGCGATCTTGACGGAGGTGGGATGTGGATTCACCACTTCAGGGTGTTCAGGCCTCTCGTTAAGGAGTTTATTCTAAGTTACCACTACTTGCTGTAGATGTTATGGTAGCTTGAAGCAAGTTCCCCACCAAAGAGCAAGTTTGGGGCGGTTCGGGATTTGCGGCATCGGACTCAAGCCGATCCAAGCCTAATAGTAAAGAAGAGCGCTGAGTTGGGAGCAGTACGGTTGTATGCTTGTGTATTGGGGAGTGTATACGAGCAATGGGACACCTAGGGGGTTGGTGCAGACTGCCAGACTTGGAAATTTAATTACAGTAAGCTCCATAAAGTTGGAAACCAACAAGTTGGGATTCCCTATACATTACTCTTCAGGATTGAGGCTATGGGGTTTCCAACTTTTGAGGCCTCTACTGTAGAGCTGAGATATCTGTGACTCAAGTCTCAAAGTCCCAAAAATGCTAAACCCTAAACCGCCAAACTTGGAATTTCGGACGCAAGTGCAGACGGAAAAGGACCCATAGCAAAAAAACCTTAAACCGTATGACGCCAAGATGCAGAATCCCCTAAACCCTGGAGTACCCTTATTGTACCCTTAAAGGAACCCTGTAGTACCCGTATAGGTCCCTTACAGGAATTCATTTCACGCCAAGATTCAGAATTCCAGGCGATGAACGACCATCCCAAGGCCTTGATGGACATCATCGATGCCGAGGTGGACTCTTGACAGGCCTACTTAGAGGCGCAGGGGACTTAGTAGGGACTTGTAAGGGTTCCTTAAACGGTTCCTTAAATAAAGGGATCTATGGGGTTTAGGGTTTAGGGTCTACTTAGAGGCCCAGGGGACTCTTTTAAAGGGCTCCTTAAAGGAATCTATAGGGTTCCTTACAGGGATCTATGGGGTTTAGGGTCTACTTAGAGGCCCAGGGGATAGATCCCTTATAGACCCCTTTAAGGACCCCTTTAAGGGAACTTTATTCTACTTAGTAAGGCCCCTACTTAGAGGCCCAGGGGACTTAGTAAGTAGGTTATAAGTAGAGATATAAGTCCCCTAAATGGAGCTACCCCAATTAAAACCCTACTTATAACCGACTTACTAAGTCCCCTCCTGGGCCTCCAAGTAGAAGTCTCGGAAGTCAACTTACTAGTATAGGGACCGGAATAAGTACGAAAAATATTTTGGGGGTTCCCTATTATAATTATAGTATCATGGGCCCCAAAGCCATTCCAATTATTAAGGCCCCTAAATTACGTGTTTGTTAGTTGTCGGTTTTTGGACTCGGGCTAGTTCGGGTTCACGCTTTCGGTTCTTGCGGCATAGTTTTGTTTTTCCCTGGCATAGGGCGAACCCTCACCTAAAACCAGAACTGCTAAGTCCTAAACCTTCAGGGGCTTGGTATTTGTTTTTTCACAGGGCTTCATAACGATGGTTTGGCCTGTGCCCTCGGTGCTCTCGGAATCAGCAGCGTCCTGCCCCTTGCTGACGTTAAGCTCTAAACCCTAAAGCCTGGCCGTTTTTCTATTGCTTGAGACTCCGAGCTTGTGAAGTTCGGGTTTAGCTTGAAGGCCCTTGCCCCCCATATCCTAAACCCATCCTAACCCTTCAGCCCAGCACCCAGACCCCCCCAACTGTTGTAGTAGCCGCCTTGGAGTTTCTGAGAGCCTAAACCCCTAAACCCCTAAACCCCTAAACCCCTAAACCCTGAAACCCTAAACCCTAAACCCCTAAACCCTTAAACCCTTAAACCCTACACCCTAAACCCCTAAACCGTTTTGTCGCAGCCAGCTGTTTCTTCACTGAAACTCGCGGCCCTGAGCCCGAAACCCACGCAAAGAAACAGTGACTGTGGATTCTCGGGGGGATTGTCGGGTACTATTTGGGAGTTTCCGAAAATTAGGGGTACCTTATTTTGGGGTCCTTATAAAAAGGATCCTATTATTTAGGGTACGACATTAGGGTCCCCGGGTACTATCCCAAAGGGTCCTATATAGTAGAATGTAGGGTTTCCATATTAGGAATTATTAGAGGTATTCCCCATAACAGTATAAGGGCCTTATATAGTACTTGGGTGGTTGCCAAAATTATGGTCCTTTTTTGGGCCCCTAATATAGTGCGGCGCCTATTATTTAGGGTACCCCAAAAGAGGCCATGATTTTGACAACCACCCATATAGGGCTATTATATAGTAATTAGATTTGGGTTTTGGGGCCCATTATATAGACTCTAATTATATTAAGGAGCCCCCAAAATAGGATTGGTAATTACTGAGGCCCCTACAGCATCTTTTCGGCCCCTATAGCATCTTAGGCTGCTCACACCTTCACGGGTGTTAGTGACTGTTACCTGGAGGCCCAGGGGACTTAGCAAGTCGTTTGTAAGTAGGGTTATAATTGGGGTATCTCCATTTAAGGTACTTATAACTCTGCTTCTAACCTACTTACTAGGTCCCCTGCCCCTCCAAGTAGTGGCTGAGGACTGCGAGCCCTAAGCCCTAAACCCTAAACCCTATAAGCCTTAAACCCTATACCCTATAAACCCCATACACCCTAAACCCCTAAGCCCTAAACCCTAAACCCTAAACCCTAAACCCCTAAACCCTAAACCCCTAAACCCCTAAACCCTAAACCCTAAGCCCTAAACCCTAAGGACTGCGAGCCCTCGATGTCAGCGCCCAACGACTTCCGCCCGAATCGCAGCATGAAGCGATCCACGCGAACGGCGAAGGCACTTGGGGGGATGTAAACCCTAAACTCCTAAACCCCTACTTAAAGGATCCTAGTAACTAGGGTTCCTTTAAGGGTCCCTTTAAAGCGGTCTATAGGGGTTCCTTAAAGGGATCTATAGGGTTTAGGGTTCAGGGTCTACTTAAAGGATCATGGGACTTAGTAACTAGGGTTATTATCAAAGTAACTATACTTCTAACTACTTGTAACCCCAATTAAGGTACTTATAACCTTACTTACTAAGTCCCATGATCCTTTAAGCAACCTCCCACACCCCTAAACCCTAAACTCCTAGACCCCCTAAAGTCCTATTAGTTTTGGGTTTCTTAATCAGGCTCCTGCATAGGGGTACCTTATTTGGGTGGTCCCTATATAGGGATCCTATTATGTAGGTAGGGTAATTAGTACATTAGAGTCCCCTCTTTTCGGAAACTCCCATAGACCTCGGGGGTCGAGGAGCTTTCTTCAGGCCCAGGTCTAAGAGTCTTTCCCGATGTGCTCGCAGTTAAAGTGCCTACTTTGGCCTACTTGGAGGGTCATGGGACTTAGTTTGTAAGGATATAAGTACCTTAATTGGGGTTAAAAGCAGCTATACCTCAACGCCAGCCTTCGTTCAGTGGGGTGGTTGTCGAAATTAGGGTCCCTTTTTGGGTCCTTATTATAATACGGCACCTAATATTTAAGGTACCCAAAAAGCCACCCAGTGATGAACGATGCAGAGTGCCCATATATACTACTACTAAGGAAGTAGGGCCCAAAAGACCATTCCTGTTATGGTTTTGGGAGCCTAATTCCATTATAGTAGTATGTGTGTGGAACCTCTTGGCGAGGGTTTAGGGGTTTAGGTTTAGGGTTCAGGGTCCAGTAATTCGCAATAGAGGGTTCCACAATACCATGACATAGAGCCCACCACCGCCACCACCACCACCACCACCACCACCACCACCACCACCACCACCACCACCACCACCACCACCACCACCACCACCACCACCACCACCACCACCACCACCACCCGCAAAAAGAAGTAGTCTAAGTGTATAGGTTCTAGTATTCTGGATGTTCAAGCAGATTTCAGCTCGATCGGTTCCGGGGCTAAACGTCTTGGGGGTATATGGGTAGTTGTCAAAATTATTGCCGTTTTGGGGGTATCCTAAAAACTTGGTGCCGTATTATGAGAAGGACCCAAAAAGGGACCATAATTTCGACAACCGCCCATACAGACCATTTCAACTTCTTGAGATGGGGTAGGGGATCGTGTGCCAATAGCAGCAGGTTTGGGGTTTAGGTTTAAGACTTGAAAATAAAAACCCTAAACCCTACACCGTTTTGGGTGACGGATTTGGATTCTGTGCATTCGGGCGTAGGTATTTCTGGTGAGACTCGCCGACTCAGCTGTTTTCCGAGAAAGGAGTCCGGGCTATATTGTTTAGGGTTTACAGCGCGGACCATATGGCCTTTGTTTACGTTATTCACATCCATGGCATGCTTCATCTAAGTGAGCATGTGGCATTTAATCACCAAGAATGAATACCCAAAGGGTCCTATGTACCGATATAGTAGAATGTAGGGTTCCGATATTAGGAATTGCTGTTATGACTTAGGGAAGTATCCCCCCATAACAGTACAAAGGATCCTTTGGGATAGACTTTCTGGTGCTTGGGGCCGGTGTGTTAGTTTCATGCGATTCTCAGTTCGGAGCCCTTGAGCGCTGTTTTCCTACACATCACGCAATGCGTCAGGTCGTTCGGAGAACTGGTGTGTTCAACTCCACCACCTTCCGGGACAAGGCACTGTGCACGTTAAACTATCAGTGACGTTTACGAGTTTCCGACGAGTACCACTGCTGCCGTTGCTGCGGTTGCTGTGCCTACTGCCAGTACAACTTATTACTGGTGTTGCTACTGCTACTATCGTTCCTATCGTCCTCCTCCACCACCACCACCACCACCTGACACTACTGCTGCTGCTGCTGCTACTACTAATTACTACTACTACTACTACTACTACTACTACTACTACTACTACTACTACTACTACTACTACTACTACTACTACTACTTCTACTACCCACTACGCACTACCCACTTCCCTCTACCCACTACCGACCACCACTATCACTACCACTACTACTACCACCACCACCACCACCACCACCACTACTACTACTCCTACTGCTACTGCGACTGCGACTGCCACTGCTACTGCTACTGCTACTACTACTACTACTACTACTACTACTCCTACTACTACTACTACTACTACTACTACTACTACTACTACTACTACTACTACTACTGCCGTCTCCGGGTCTATAGGGATTCGATGGCTTCGTGTTCTTTCACTACTTGGGATCTACGGCAGCATGAGTTGATTGCTGGGGTTTACGGTTTAGGGTTGTGTTGGAGAAGTTGGTGTCGATCTAGCTGCTGAGCCCCCAAGCCCAACGTAGGCCCTGACGTTAGACCCGAAATATTGCAAACCTTGGCCCAATTTCTAAACGTAAGTCCAAACTCGAGCACCCGATCCTCTACCTAGACCCCCAAAAGTACGTAAAATAATGGACCCAACCCTATAGAAGGCCATTTTTTCTGCATGCTTTTGGGGTCCCGGTAAACTCTTGTCGGAGAGCTAACGCTATAAAACCCTGAGACTAGGATGCCCTGTAGTACCCTTATTCCCTTTTTGTCGTCCTAGGTTCCTTAAAGGGATCTATAACGGTTCTATGAAGGGTTTGGGGATTAGGGACTTTAACCCCATAGGATGCCCAGTGGTACCCCTATTCCCTTTTTGTAGTCCTAGGTTCCTTATAAAGTTACCCAATACCAAAAGGGAGCCCTGTTCATTCCTAGGTTACTGGGCATCCTAGAAGAAGCTCTATACAATTCGGGTTTCCAGGTAATGAACGATCGGGAACGGCTTGCCCTCGGGGGCAAAACGGCCACACCCCAGGTGCGAGACGTGAAAACGGGCAGGGCCCCCTCTAAATCAGTTTGTGACTAAGCTGGCACCGCGTCACCTTCACTTTTGGGGTTTCCATAGGTTTTTGTTATCTTCAACTGTTACACTGTTATCAGAGTCGAGTGACACCAGAACCTCAAAGACTTCATCCACTTTTTGGGGATCCGACAAGCCCAAGACAGATAGTTTCGGGCTCTAGGGCAGAAGGGTTTAGTCAAAGGGTAACAGGAGGGACTCCTAGGTATATACCCATAATATAGCCATTATATACCCATTATATACCCAGAATATAGCCATTATATACCCATTATATAGCCCATTGTAGTGTAGGGGTCCCCATTAAGGGTACTTCCTTTCCCCCTTTGGTTTAGGGCTCCAGGCTCCACAGTTCGGGCTGAGGGTTCGCAGGGTTTAAAGTTTAAAGGGGCTCGAGTTTCTAGGACCCAGAGTAGGCCCTTATTCCCTTTTTAGGGTTTTGATTCCCTTATAAACCCCCTTTAAGCCAAAAAGGGCACCCTTTTTATTCATAGGTTACTCTTAGGTCTAGGTTTAGTGTTCAAGGGGAGAGTCCTGCCAGGGTCGTCTAAGGCTCCAAGGGTTGTGTACAGGTTTTGCAGGGTCGCAAGGGCTTGCACTATGTACCGTGGTAGCCAAGATACATACATTTCATAAATCAGGAAATGATCCCGAGGTGCATGTAGTTTATTTCAGATGCCTTGGCCACTCCAGCTAGGTGTTGGGACACAGGGTGGAGGGTCTACTAAAGGGGCCTTAATAATTAGAGTAGGGTTTTCTAGTATTAGAAATATAATACCGAACCACCAAAATAGTATAGTAGATTATGAGGCCTCTGCAGTAGGGTGGATTTGGGACGGTTCGGATTGGGGGTGTTACTATCCCCTGGGCCCTGCACTACAAAGCTTGCTTGCATCGCCCTAAGGGTCTAGGTAGTCCTTATTCAGGGTTTTTTGGAGATGAATCTATGACTACTTTTGAGGACCTAAAAAAGTAACAGTACTATTTTGGGGTTCCTTATCATATCTATATCAAATTATACACCAACACCCTATTCTGATTATTGAGGCCCCCGAATTAAGTTTCTGCATCATGACAGGGCTTTTTATGCAGGTTTCAGTTGAAGTTGGTATGCAGCACTCGTGTCTGTTCGGTGTTTGGATTGGTAGGGGCTTGAGGTTGTTTGTTCTGGGTTGCAGTTCCCGGCCCCGAAGGCTCCATGTACCCATATAGTAGGTACTTAGCCCTTACCTTAACCCCGAAGAACCCACCTTTTTAAGGACCTATATACGGAAATCATAAAAGGGAACCCTGAAAAGGTAGGTTATTCAGGGTTAAGGTAAAGTACCTATATAGGGACCCCTTTAAGGCTTAGGTACCTACTATATGGCCCCATGGAGTCCCAGGGGATTTCTAGAGAGCGTCACCTGTGCGAGGCCGTACTTCCCTGCTACTACTACCCAGACCTCCGGGAGGATCTAGAAAGTAGAACCCCTACTTTGGGACCTTATACTACCAAGTACCGAAAGTGTAAAGCCAGAAACATGGAGCAGACCGGCCATAAGGGGCCTTAACTCGCAGAATAGGGGGCTTGTGGATCTAATATAGGGGCCTAAATAAGTATATCAATACTGTTTGGGGGTTCCTTATGATAATGGGCCTCCAAACCCTATTCCAATGGTTAAAGCCCTTATATGAAGCGCCCTAGATCTTCAAGGTCTATGCTCTCATTTTGGGGCCCTGGGCTCTCTGAAATGCCAGAGTCCCTGTAGCATAGTCTTTCCTATATGCGAGTCTCCGAAAATTAGATTGTGGGCGCGCGGTTGAAAATTAGGGATACCTTGTTTTGGGGTCCTCATAATAAGGATCCCATCATTTAGGGTACTGCATTAAGATCCCCTGTTTTTCGGAAACCCCCACATAGGTACGTACTTCAAGATTTGGGTAATTATATGCTATAAAGGTACATGAAGCCCCAGGTTGTATCCAAAACTCAGACTTGTCTCCCCTGCGCTCGGAGGAGCAGAATGCGGCTGCTTCCATCATTCAAATCACCTGGCGCAACTGGCACAAGTACCTCCAGGCACTTTCTCAAAGGTCCTGGCATTCGTAGTATTTTAAATTTTTCGCAGCTTTTCGAGAACATGAATCTTAGAGGAGCAATATGGCCCCACGACCTACCAAGTTTACACGATGTATGGTCACCATTCCGCAACCGTTATAGTATAGCCGTATGATCAGGATTACCGTGGACTAGGGGAAGCCCCCTGAGGCGTCACTAGAAGCCCTTAGCCTGAGATTTGCCACGGGGTTTTGGGAGACGCTAAATCCTGAACCTCACACCTTAAGTTCGTAGAGTAAGCCCTATAAAGTTGGAAACCGGATTAAGGCCAAATAGTGCCGGGATTCCCTATGCATCACTCTTAAGGATTGAGGCTATTGGGTTTCCAACTTCTAGGCTTCTACTGTAAACCTTCCTGACAGGGTGTCGGAGTAGGGGCAATGAATCCAGACTTCAGGGTCCAAGGAAACTCCTGGCACCCGGAAGGAGAACTCGGAGTGGATAACGGTCACCTGGATCTGTGCTACAATGATCCAGTGCCTGCGCTGGAATTTTTTGGTGTCGGTTCAGAGTATATATAGGGAGATATGAGAGTTGTTTGGACATCAGGGGGCGAGAGTTCGAAATTTCAGGTTTACAGTGGGTCAGGATCACTGGATGGATTCTAGCAAGACGAGTCCCTGTCTTCCCTGCACCTGAACCGGCTAATCCTTGTTTCAGAGCGTGACATAGAGGTCCGGATATCACGCAAGAAGCTTCCGTTCTGCTGGTATGTACCCCCAACACCGCCCAACACCCACCCTAGCTATTAAACTTTAGAGTCTTCTCAGTCTAGAGTGTAGAAATTGAACCTGTATGGTAGGCCCCCAGTGTAGAATCTCGAAAAGAACCTAAACCAGACCTGAAAACCTGGAACACTGAACCCTAAACCCCTAAACCCTACAAAACACTTATGAAATCCTCAACCCCGAACCCAGGATTTCCCTAATGGTGAACGAGGTCTCATTGGCGCTCCTACCACGTACGTCGCGTGAAACTGGACTGCTCCTGATTTGCGGGCTTTGGGGGGGGGTTTAGAGGCGACCTGCAGCCCTGAACCCTAAACCTTACAGTAGAAGCCAGAAAGTTGGAATATCATTAATTATGGTAACCCCTTTAAGGTAAATTATAGGGGATCCTACCATTAATCCATATTCCAACTTTCTGGAGTTCCCTTTAAACCCTACCTTAACCCTGAAGGACCTACCTTTTTAAGAACTTATATAAGGAAATCATAATAAGGAACCTTAAAAAGGTATGTTATTCCGGCTTAAGGTAGACCTTAAACCCTAAACCCAACCTAAGACTCCCACATTTTGGAGAGACCTGCAGCCCTAAACCCTAAACCAAACCTAAGACCCCCCACATTTTGGAGGGGAGCTCTTTTCATGGTGAGAGCTTCAGGGCTTGGGGCTTGGGCTTCACGGGTTCTGGGGTATAGGCGGATTGGGATGTAACTGGTAGTACGGTAGTTTAGGCTTTGGGTTAGTTGAGGCTCAAGCCAGGCAGCTTCACTTGAACTTCGCAGATCGTTTCATCATCTAATGGCGAACTGCCGACATGTGTTCTGCTTCGGGCCTGGGCAGGGACTAGCCCAGAGGGTCCATGTATGCTGCCAGTATGGTTTCAGGTCCCCAAAGACCACCCCCCATTATGGTTTTTAGGACCTGATTCCATGATAGTAGTGTATATGAACCCTCTGGGTAACCAGCCAGATATGCCAAGCTTGGGCCCCTCGCAGGCCCTGGGCTACGTGTTTGGCCCAACTCGCAATTCCTAATATCCCAACTTGATCTTGTTACAATGTTCCCCTGAAACCTCAGATTACACTACAATCCTAAACCCCACATAAAGCTAAGCCACCAGAACCGACAGTGTAGGTTTTGTTATAAGCCCTGACAGGGAAATTTTTAAAGATCCTGCAAGAAATGGGAAGGCTAGGATGCCCAGTAGTACCCTTATTCCCTTTTTGTAGTCCTAGGTTCCTTATAAAGTTACCCAATACCAAAAAGAGAGGCCTTTTTATTCTCAGGTTACTGGGTATCCTAGAAAGGGATCCTGAACCCTAAACCCCTAAACCCCAAACCCTAAACCGCTCCTGCAAGCAATTGAAGCCCTAAACCCTAAACCCTTAACCCTAAACCCTAGACCCTTAACCCTAAACCCTAAGCCCTAAACGGGAAGGACAAAATGGTAACCAACATCCAGAAGATCGTCCGGGGAGTTCTGGTGCGAAGAGTGGGATGCTCAGAGCACTGCCAGGGTTTAGGGGATTCCTTAAAGGGATCTATAGAGGTCCCTTTAAAGGGATCTATAGGGGTTCCTTAAAAGGATCTATAGGGTTTAGGGTTTAGCGGTCCGGGGGCCTTATAGTGCCAGGGTTTAAAGGGAGCTCCAGAAAAGTTGGAATATGGTTTCAGGGTAGGATACCCTATAATTTTACCATAGAAGGGTTTCGGATAATCATATTCCAACTTTCTGGCTTTTACTATAACCAAACATATAATTAGGATTCTAAAAGGTAACCCCAAAAAAGGAACTGCAATGGTTACTGTTGGGGAGTAGAGTTTCGGGTCAGAAGTTCAGAGTTTAGGGACCTCCCTAAAGGCCAGTCAGGCTTTAGGGCTTTGGCTTTGGGGTTTAAGGTTTATAGGGTTTAGGGCTTTGGGGTTTATGTAGGGCTTTAGGGTTTAGGGCTTTGGCTCTGGGGTTTAAGGGTTTGGAGTTTTAGATTTCGGGCTTGTTTTTTGCGGTTGAGGGTGCATGGGCTACTGGAGCCCGCTGATGAACAAGCCCCTTGCCCCAGGCAAGCCTTAAGGGTTTCGAGTTTTAGGGTTTTGGGTTTAGGGCTTCAGGGTTTTGAGCTCCAGGATTTTAGGGTGCAGGTTACGGTTGGGGTTCGGGGATTCGGGCTTCGTGATTTGTGGTCATGCCAGGCTTAACTGTTGAGGATTGTACACGTTTAGGGTCTGAGGAGACCTTCCACATGTTCAGTCGTGCTTTTTACCTTGTAGCTTTCGGGGTTCATGGAACCCTCCCCTCCCCAAGCCCCATGTAGCCACGGCCCCTATAAACACCCCATATCCTGCTGCTCTCTGCAGTCCCTGTAATACTGCCGGACCCTGCAAAAGCCAGGTCATGGCAACTGCAGGTGCGCCCTACACAGCTCCCAGCATGTGGCCACTAAATATACATTTCTGCATAAGGGCCTTGAAAGTAAGATCCCTCATACGGTCCTTAAAGCCCGGAGGCCATGCGTCAGCATCGCGCTGCAGTGACGATACAGAAGCGAATGGTTGGCATCCTCACGCGGTCCCTTGGTTTGGGGTTTAGAGCTGAGGGTTTTGGGCCACATGTACGCTCATTGGGTTTAAGATTAAATTGATTGCCATACAGGAACATAGAGGGGTATATGCCGGTTCTGCCCTCTAATCATAACCTACTGTTTTGTAGGGTTTGGTGTCAGAGCTAAAGGGTGCTGAAGCGGCTCCGTCAAGGGTTCAATTAGGACTAGATGGGTTCCTTTTAGGGTTCTGTCGGGGTTCTATTAGGATTCAGGGCCTTTCTTTCGGGTTTTGGCACTCGTTCCCTACGGGTCCATGTGCCCAAACAGTATATACTGTTACTTGGGGGCCAAGGTACCTGTATAGGGAGTACTTCGAGGCCAGAGTATATACTGTTGGAGCACATGGACCCTTAAACCCTAAACCCTTATGGTACCCTTGTAGTTTAGGAATATAGAAACCTTAAACGAACCCTTGAAGGATCCCCCTAATCGGGTACATGGACACTTCGGGAACCAAAGCGACTCTTCTTCAGGAGCCTGGTATTAGGGACCCAAAAACACATATAAGCATAAGCATTTTACCGAGATATCCCTACCTTATTGGGCTTCATTATAAGGGGGTCTATATGGGATATCCCTATCCTCATGTTTCCTTATGTGCTTTTTTGTGGGCCCTATGGTAGAATCCTTCAGTGCAAAGGGTCGCAAGTACCTGTATGGGGATACTTGCCCAGACCATAATTGTAATTCCTATTATAGAAATCCTACATTCTACCATATAGGTACTTAGGACACTGTATGTATCGATGTAGATGCAGATGTAGATGTGGTAGCGATATGGTAGCACACATACATATGTACCCATACCCTAGATGGGAGTTTCGAACATTAGGGGTACCTTATTTTGGGGTCCTTACAATAAGGATCCTACTATTTGGAGTACTTTTTAGGGGGAAACTCCTAAGCCCTAAACCCTAAGCCTTAAACCCTAAGCCCTAAACCCTAAGCCTTAAACCCTGAGCCCTGAACCCTAAGCCCCCAAATACCCAACCCTAAACTGCGCCGCGGTTGATCCGAGGATGCGCATGAAGCGACTCGCGGAGGCGGCGACGAACATGTCGCTCGGATGAAACACTCAGAGGTCCAGGGGCCTTTAAGGGTCCCTTTAAAGCGAGCTATAGGGGTTCCCTGAAGATCCGAAACCCTACCGTTTTAAGGGTTCTACCCTTTAATTAAGGGGTCATAACCTACTAATTTCTTGGCGTTCTTCTGGTTGGCTCTTTAGACTTTAACTTTTTTGGGTTTCTATATGAACTATAGTAAGGAGGCTAAAAGTTTAACTTTTAGGAGGGGTTCAGAAGTCTGCCAAGATTTGTAGGGTTTGGGGTCACAGGTCCTTAAAGGGATCTATAGGGTTTAGGGTTTAGCGGTCCGGGGGCCTTATAGTGCTCCTTTGAAAAGGGCTCCTGTATGGGTTTCAGAGTTCTTAGCGGTCCAGGGGCCTTAGTGCTCCTTGCAAGGCTAAGATGCCCAGTAGTATCCTTATTCCCTTTTTGTACTCCTAGGTTCCTTATAAAGTTACCCAATACCAAAAAGAGAGGCCTTTTTATTCTTAGGTTACTCGGTAAGGTCTCATTTGAAGGTTTCTATATAAGGATTCTGTCAGAGTTCTTACAGGTCCAGGGGCCTTCTTCAAGGATCATGGGCCTTAGTAACTAGGGTTCCTTAGGGATCTATAGCTATTATAAGAGGGGATTTGGTGTCTACTTAAAGGATCATGGGACTTAGTAGCTAGGGTTATAATTAGGGTAACTATACTTCTAACTACTTACAACGCCAATTAAGGTACTTATATCCTTACTTACTAAGTCCCATGATCCTCAAAGTTATAGTGCTCCTTTAAAAAGGGCTCCTATATGGGTTTCTATAAGGATTCTGTCAGAGTTCTTAGAGGTCCAAGGGACTTATAGTGCTCCTTTAATAAGGGCTCCTTTAAGGGTTTCTAGAAGGATTCTGTCACTCCTTGACTTGTTTCTATAAGGATTCTGTCACTCCTTTAAGGGTTTCTATACAGAATCTGTCAGAGTTCCAGTGATTATAACCCTCCTTACAACCGACTTACTAAATCCACTGGGCCTCTAAGCATTACCAGACCTTCCTCAAAGGGAGCCCAAGAAACCCCTTAAAAGGAAACCCTGGATGGAGCCCTAGAATAACTCTTAAGGACACCCTAAACGTTATGAAACCCTTATCCCAAACTGAAAAGGAACCGTAAACCCTTCTAGAGAGCCCAGGATAAACCTTCAAAGCAACCCTATAAACCATTATAAAAACTCGATGAGACCTTGTTAAAGAAACCCTATAAACCCTTACAGGAACTGTTTGAAACCCTGTTAAGACACTCTTAAAAGAATCCTTTAAGAAAGCCTATACACCCCATCTAAACCCCTTCAAAGGGGAGCCCTATAAACCCTTAAAGAAACCCTTTGACACCCTATGAAACCCTAAGAAATCACTTTAAAGGGAACCCTGCAAGCCCCCAAAAGGAAACCCCTAGGAAATCCCTCACCCTATAAACCCGAAAAGGAACCCCTCATAGAAATCCTTTGAACCCTTCAAAGTTTTAAAGGAAATCTCCCTCAACCCTCAACCCTAATGTACGGGCCTAAATGATTACCTATACTATTTTGGTGGTCCTAGTATAATGGTCCCCAAGAACCGTATTCTAATCATTAAGGCTCCTGTATTAAACCCCTAAACCCCCTAAGCCCCTAAACCCCCTAAACCCTAAACCCCTAAATCCCTAAACCCCCTAAACCCTAAACCCCGAAACCCCTAAACCCTAAACCGGAGACCCTTCGAACCCGTTGAGCCCTTAAGGGAAAGCTCCCAAGAGATCGCTTGAGGCAGCGCTTGGCCCGGGGTTTCCTTGCCCGGCGCCGATTCCAGCGCTTCTACACCTTCAAGGCGGCTTGGGAAAATTATAAGGATTATGGCTTAAACTATATAGGGATTCATATTATGATTTAAGCTATATTCCTTCACCTAAACCCTAAACCCTAAACCCTAAACCCTAAACCCTAAACCCTAAACCCAAGCTATATTCCTTCATTCTATTATGGAACGCTTAGGCGGTTCGGGGCCCTTTAGGGCTCCCATGATTAATACGGTTTATAAGGTTCTGTTAAGGGTTTAGGGGGTTCCTTTCAGGGTTTAGGGTTCCGCTTCAAGGCGGTCTGTTCTATTTAGGGTTTAGGGTTCCTTTAGCGGGGTTTAGGGTTTAGGGTTCCTTACAAAAGGGTTTAGAGTTTCGGGCTTAGGATTTAGGCGGGTTTAGGGCTCCTTAAAATCAAGGTTTAAGGTTTAGGGTATCTTGGGCTTCTACACCTGCAAGGCGAGGGATGCGGGGCTCCTTAGGGGTAGGTTTAGGGTTTTGCCCTAAGGGTCCAGGTATCTCCTTAGAAGTGTCCGGAATCTCCTAGGGAGAGTCCTTGGGTCTCTTTGGGGTCTCAGAAACCCTCAATTTTGAGGTTCCCCAATTTGTTAGGACCCTTAGGGTGGTTAGGGTTCGATAAGCTGCTACAAGGGGTCCGGCAAGGCGAGGGAGCAGGGGTAAGGCGTAAGGGTTTATAGGGTCAAGTTTAACCTAAAGAACTTATCGTTAAGGAAATCTACCTAAAGTTGGTTCTGGTAATTATGGCCTTTTGGGTTTTGGCTTTGAGAACCTCAAGCCTTTCTTCCCCAAAAAATTAGGGCTATAAACTCTAGAAGCCCTATAAACCCTGCAAACCCTAAACCCTAGTGATTGGGGTTCAGGCCCCTATATCCACCCCGAAGATCTGAAGCCAATATCAACTAAACCCTAAACCCTGAACCCCAAGCCCTAAACCCTACGGTTGATGCTATAAATCCTGCATTACCCATAGTAAGGAATATACCACAATTCCCATAGTTCAGGGTCCTTAAAGGTAATGCAGGATTTATATCATCAACCCTAAACCCTAAACCCCCTATAGATCCCTTAAAGGAACCCCTTAAAGGTACCCCTATAGATCCCTTTAAAGGAAGCCTAGGGATTTATATCATCAACCGTATCAGACCCCCAGCCAAATCCTCGGCCTGGAGCCCTCGGCCCTGGAGAAGTAGAGCCTCGAGATCAGGCTCCATTACTTGGAGGGTCGGGGGACTTAGTACGTATTTTATAAGCAGACTTATCAGTACCCTAAAAGGGAACTAAGTCCCCTGACCCTCCAAGTAGGGTTTGGGGTTTACCTGGACACCAAAAGTATGTCGAATAGGGCTTAGGGTTCAGGGTTCAGGGTTTGGGGTATACCTGGACCCCAAAAGTCTGTAGAATAATAGCCTTTTATCGGGTTTGGGCCATTATTTTACCTATTTTGGGGGTCTAGGTAGGCACTATAAGTTTCACTAAAGCTTAAACCCCAAGCCCGAAGCGCTAAGAGCCCTGCTAGAGCCCTAAGCCTCGAATCCCTTCCCGGAGCCCTGGAGCCCTGAACTTAGAGATACTTAGAAATATCTTTCAATTTTTGGATATTATAATCCCTAAGAAACAGCTAAAATCATAATTTTTGCTAGGGTTCTAAATTCAGTATAGTGAACCCCAAACGCCAGGTCTCCAAGGTCATCTGCATTGAGCGCTTCGTGCGCGCGCGGCTGGCGAAGAAGCGCATCGCCGAGAAGCGCGAGGAGTGGCTGCACCGGAATATGTGTCCCTCGAAGGTCCAAGTACCCGGATAAACACACACATAGGAGGGCTTTAGGTCCCAGTTCCTCTAGTCTGAATGGTTTTTGTTATTTTGACCTAAAGCCTTACCGTCTGCGAACGATCACCCTCTAGGTATAGCGCCTAGGGTTTAGGGTTCGCGGTTCGGCTTCTGTACAGGCCAGGGGCTCGAGAGGCGTTTTCAGTAAGGGGTTCCTTACGGGTTCGTTATTTACTGAAACTGCTCTTAGAGGTTCTAGGGTGGTTTATGGGAGTCTCCGAAACTTCGGGGTACCTTATTCTTGTGGGGTCCCCACAATGAGGATCCTACTATTTAGGGTACTGTGTTAGGGTCCCCTATTTTCGGAAAATCTGGCTTGTGACCGCGAGCACTTATAGTCAGTTCGTCATCTTGATTGCATCTTGTTCCGTGTGCTGCTCCTGAGTTTATGGGTCTTTTAGAGGTACCACTACTGCCTAAGCAGTATCGTGTAGTTTAGTATAGTATCGTATAGTGTAGTATAGTATAGAGCAGTATAACATAGTACAGTATAGTAATTATAGTACTGCCGCTGCTGCTAATACTGCGACGACGACATACTGCTACTACTAGCAACAACAAACAGTTGTGGAGCTCTCACATTACAAACCAGGTAACCACAAAAACCACCAGCACCCAGGTTACCCTAAGGGTCCATGTACCTAAATAATATCTACTTTGTCCTTAAAGTAATCCCTGTATAGGTACATTGGGCCCAAAGTAGATACTATTTGGGTACATGGACCCTTAGGGTTAGGGCGAGTCAATTCAACAGAAACTCTGTCACTGGAGAACTCGCACTGGTTCCACCTTTCGAACCCACGCCTTTCACTTGGGAGTTTCCGAAAATTAGGGGTACCCTTATTTTGAGGTTCTTCTTATAAGGATCCTACTATTTAGGGTACTATATTAAGGTCCCCTATTTTCGGAAACTTTCACTTCAGAAGAAACGCAAACCCTTGAATAGCGGACCCTCAACCCGAAACCGGGACATCGGCTGACACTGACACCATGCAGCACCAGGCTGTTCAGTTGTACATTTTTTACTTTCAGGTTTCTGGGTTCCTATTATAAAATAAGAAGCCTAAAAAAGTAGTATATACTTTTTTTCCCAGTGGGTTACTGAACAGCCTAGAGCAGCTTGCAGGAGTTTGAGCAGCAAAGATTGCTGGACAAGGTGGGTCCTACAACCGGCATGCTGACGGTCGGATTAAAGTTCAGGGTTTAGTGTTTTTTGAGGTTTTGGCAAGGGTGTGGGTGCATATGTGAGGTACAGCAGTAGTACGAAGACAGCTCTAAGCCTTACGTTGAGCCTTCAAGAGATCTTCTGGAGTGCCCGGTAATTAGAGGATCAAGGGAATCAATAGCAAGACTATGACTATTAATCTTGAGGTGCCGCGGACAATCCGAGAAGACAGTTTGATAGACGCCGGCATCATCTCGCATTTAGGGTGGCCTCCGGTGAGCATCTTGATTGGTAAGCTCTGTACAATATGGCTGTGAGGGTCTTGCAGACCCTAAACCCAAAACCAGGGGGAATGACACGACAGGTTCGGAGTTTAGAGAGAAGGCCTGGGGGCATGCAGGGAGCACACTTCAGACAGGCATTCCTTCGGCTTCCTTATTCGGTGTATACTGTAACACACCTCCAAACATCAGTCTAACTAACAAACCATTAAAACCCTTACATTACCTTACTATATGGGTGGTTGTCAATATTAGGGTCCCTTATTGGGTATCCTAAATATTAGGTGCCGTATTATCATAGGGACCCTAATTTGGACAACCACCCAAATGGGAGTTTCCGAAAATAGGGGACCCTAATACAGTACCCTAAATAGTAGGATCCTTGTTATAAGGCCCCAGAATAAGGTACCCCTAATTTTCGGAAACTCCCATATATTGCGCACCTGGCGACCTCCTGGTCAATCCCGCTCTCAGGCCTCCATCGACCTACAGCGCCTCTATCGCGGCTGGAAGGCCCTGGACACGGGAATTACACCGACTTGTGGAAGGTTTTAGAGAATTTAGGGTTTAACGAAGGAACCTGAACAAAGAAACCCTGGCCCTACAACGCCCAAATAGTAATTAGGATGCATATAAGGAACCCTAATAATAAAGGCCAAAAGTTTCTTAATCAGGTTCCGACATCAGGGATCAGGGCAGAATTGATGTTGGGGCTTGAAGCTTGCGCTGCAAAGGACAAAGTTGACAGCCTGTTTTCTCCCCCCCCAAACCCTATTCTAATTATTACCTCAAACCCCTTAATTAAAGAATATACCTTAAGGTATAGTGGCATCCATAAGATGATTTAAGCTATACCTAGACCCCAAAAAGTAGGTAAAAGCATGACCCAAACCCTGTAAAAGGCTATTATTCTACATACTTTGGGGGTCCAGGTAAGGCCCCGACATCAGATGGAGCTTCGGGTAAGGATGCAGGGGTGTAGATTAGAAGCTGCCCCTACCCTGTAATAGTGGTATAATAGGACTATAATAGGGCCGTAATATAATCCTATATAATCCTTATGGTCACTATTACAGGGTGGGGGCAGCTTCTAAGGTGTAGACCAGGAGACTTCGTATGTCGGTTGCAAGGGAGCGTACAGCTACCGCATTTCAGGGTGTCCTTCCCATAATACCCCATACCCCAGAGGGTCCAAGTACCCAAACAGTAGGCTTTCAAGGTCCAAAGACCATTTAGAGTATGGATTTTGGGACCTAAAACCCTAAATCCCTACACCCCAACAGCCCTGCCCTAAACCCCAAAACCTCTAGAACCTTAGAGTAACCTAAAACCCTAGTATTTGGGTACTTGGACCCTCTGGTTACCAGACCCTGAACCCTAAACTTAAACCCAAACCGAAAACCTGGACGCGAGGCCGTGACACCGGTTGAAGCCGTCGCATCTATCTTTATTGTAGGTATCGATTTAGGATAGTTGATGGTTTCCTCATCGTTTAATAAAGAGCCCCAATTCCAAATAATTTTGGGGTCTGTTGAAACCGACACCTGGCTTAGTATGAAGCAGTAATGCTTGGCAGCTGCAAGCTGCTAGACGTCATGCACAGGGTCGGATAACTCCTGCTTGAAAATCCGATCGTTCGAGGCGCGTGATGTCCCTAATCCCTTGAGGCTTTTGCTTACCCTAGGGATCAAAATAGCCCCAAAGCCTTATATAATATAGTATGGTCTTTGGGCCCAAAGCATTAATATATGAGTCCTTAGATCCCCAGGGTTAGGGATTCAGGATCTAGGATGCTCAGCGGAACCCTGAGCCGGATCGGAAAAGGCAAAACTAAGCCTTTTTTCAAGCCCTCACTGACAAACCCCGAACCGCAAATCCTTTTGATTGCTCCAGCTCTACCTATATCCTACGGCTGAAAAGCCTTAGACGCAAAACTTCGCAAAACAAACCATCATAGAAGCCGGAAAGAGACAGAACTCAGAATTTCCGGGACCTCTCTGATGTCGTTATTGAGCTCTTCACATCCGCAGGGCCGCGCGGTCGCCTACGCCCGGTACACGGATGCCATGCAGCACAAGTTGGAGTTCGAGCCTTCGGCTGGAAATCCGGGTTGCCCTTAATTAGCAAGGGCCACTGAGTAAGGAGTACGCGAATCAGTTACAAATCGGTTAAGTTAAGGTACCATGTAAACCGTCAAAAGGGGCAACGCTGCTATGCACTCTGGATGCGAAGGTAAGGAAGGAGTTCTGTTTAGATGCGGTCTCAGCCTGTAGAGACTATGGGCCTTGGGACATGTGACGGTTGTGAGTGTAACCCAAAGCGTCTTATGTACTGTTATGGGGGGATACTTCCCTAATATGGAAACCCTACATTCTACTATATCGGTACATAGGACCCTTTGGGTAAGACTTCGGGTATCTGGGACCGGGGACTTCTCGTGCAGGTACCTTGAACCGTACACCACAGGCTATACCCTAGGGATCTGAGGACTCATATATATATATATATATAAGCGTTTGGGCCCAAAGACCATACTATGTAAGGCTTTTGGGCTGTTTTGGTCCCAGGGATAAGGACGCTTGGCTCCCAGTTTCTACCATAAAGAGCATCGGACTGCCTTCTGTTGCAAGAGTGGAATGGTTCTGAAACTTCCGGGTTGCAGTTGCTCAGGCTTCGAGTGGAGCCGCGAGCGGGGCAGCATTTCGCATGGAAACCCAACGCAATGCAGAATGTCACGATAAGGCCGAACAATTCGGCAGGCTTGTTCCGGTCTGAGCAGTTGGCCGAAAGCCCCGCATTCCGCCTCGTGTGGCGAATGCGCATCTACCTGTGCGAAAAAAACATCGCAGCGGCAAAGCCGCTCTGGTTCTTGGGCTCCGCCTTGAGCCTGCAAGCTGGCCAGTACAAGCGGTTGATCTGAGATGCTCGCATCGTTTATCATACGTACTCTTCGAAAATCGGCCGAACAGTACGACATCGCAGATGTTCTCAAGCAGCTGCACGACAGCAACAGCGTATCGACCGAGGGACCACGAGATCTTACGATCTGGGCTTATCGTGCCCAACTTCTGCAGTACGTCGCCCCTACCTTTTTAAGGGTTTATATAAGGAAATCATAATAAGGGAACCTAAATTGGTAGGCTATTCCGGCTTAAGGTAAACCACGGGCCATAAGGGCTGAGGGTGTAGAGTCAAGATACAATGGGTTAGTTCTTTACCGCAAAACATAAACCCTTGAACCCTCAACCCTAAACTAATAGCTGCGGCTGGGCTGATGAGGGGGCATGCATGCATTCCCGGGATACGTGTTCCATTTGATGGTGTTCCCATGGGGCATAAGATTGACAAGCACCAAAAGGAGGTGCATAGCACTGAGGATCTTAGCCATTAGGCTTTGCATCAAGATCCGCTGTTCTGGTGAGACTTCCGAACAACACTCGTAGCTTTGAACTCTAACCGTCCCAACATCCCTGATCTCTAAGCCCCTAACCCAAAACTGACAATCTGAAACCCTACGGCAAACCCTCATCTCAAAGCCCCCACCACAAAGACCCGAACAATTTAATCTCTGCCTTAAATCCCTATAAGCACCTGACCAAGATCCCTTAAAATCTAAATGCTCATGCCTAAACCTTAATATCTCAACCCCAAATCCCCTAAACTGTGAACCCTAAGGCCGTAGGCTTACGTCTCAGCCCAAGGACAATGCCATCAGGATTGCAAACCCCTGAGACCCTTAACCCAAAGCGGCCAAACTGCTAAGCCCTCAACCCCCGAAATCTCGGCAAAGGACTTTTCAGCCTAAACCCTCTAAACCCTGAACACCCAATCCCGGAATCTCAGCCAAGGAGGCTGCAACCAAATCATTACAGCGACCTTTGAGTAATCTTGAAGCAAAGTAACTTTGGTGGAAGCTCTAAACCCCTCTTCTTTAAACTTCAATCGCAGCCAAGGACTCCGCAACTAGGATCCAGTCACTCTACCGCGCGCGGAAGGCTCGGAAGCGAGCACCTGGGCTCAGCTGGCAGTGATGATATGGGAGTTTCCGAAAATTGGGGGCACCTTATTTGGGCTCCTTATAACAAGACAAGGATCCTACTATTTAGGGTACTATGTTAGTAGGGTCCGCTATTTTCGGAAACTCCCGTTTAGGGGCTTGGCCGGGCTGTGTGAATCGGACTGGGGGTAAAAATGTTCCGATTTGCTTCGGTAATTATGTGCGCGTAAACATGTGTTTATAAGACCAACCAGATTCCGGGTGTGAGGTTCGGGTTCATCCAACCCCGGCATAGGAGCATTTGGTATCTAAGGTTTCGTAGCCCTGAACTTTAAAGACGTTTGCAAGGGTCATGGGATCGGGGGTACAGCCCTACACCCCCTATCTGCACCCTGAGCAACCCACTTCTCTTACATTTGTCACAACGAAGAAATGATGAAAAGAAGGTTACTTAGACCAGGGTTCTAGGAAAAAGGGTTTAGCCATCACGGGTGGGTTCAGGTTTGCAATTCGCGAAAGACTTCGGCACTCAGGACATTTAGCAAGTTCCCCACATCAAAGCCTCCTACGGTTGATGATATAAATCCTGCATGACCTTAAGGGCCCTAAACTATGGGAATTATGGTATATTCCTTATTATGGGTAATGCAGGATTTATATCATCAACCGTAGTACCCCTTTTGGAAACCGTGAGAGGAGCCCTCAAGAGGAGCCTTATTCCAACTACTGGTATTTCATTAGAAGCTGCTTGAATTAGGAGTAAATTGGGCTCTCGCTGGTTTTCTCTGGAGAAACCCTTGAAGGAACCCTTACAGAGGAACCTCCTAAAATGGAGGTAAACATAGGCTCTCGCTGGTTTGTTCCAGGTACCCCCAACTGTGATTCTTGAGGCCTCCACGTCAAAACCCAGGTAGTAGCCCTTATAGTTCACATACTTGCTGTACCTCCCCTATACCCTAAACCCTAAACCCCTAAACCCTAAACCCTAAACCCCTAAACCCTAAACCCTAAACCCCTAAACCCTAAACCCTAAACCCTCTCCCCTACATTAGGGGTCAAATGGGCTCTCAGCAGTCTTCCCCAGGTTGACAACTTGCGCGACCAGCGCCTGAAGGAGATGGAGGGGGCAGCCACCTACCTGCGGAGACCTGGGTGAGCATAGGGTTTAGGGCCGTTTAGGGTTTAGGGTTTAGGGTGAGCATTAGCCCAGAGGGTCCAAGTACCAAAATAATAGGGTGTTAGATCCCAAAATCCATACCCTGAGTGGTTTTGGGAGCTTGAAACCCTACTATTTGGGTACTTGGACCCTTAGGGTTTAGGGCCGTTGAGGGTTTAGGGTAGCGGGGTGTAGGGTTCGCGGTCGAGGAGTTTGGGTTGAAGGCGAAGAGGTTTTGTTTTGAGTTTGTTTAGCTTTTAGGGCTGTTCGGGGGGTTGGATTGGAAAGTTTAGGGGTTTATAGGATACAGGGTTTAGGGGTTTCTGGTTCAGGGTCTTAGGGCTTGGAAAGTCCACATTCTGCACTACCATTTCGGAATTAGGTCCTCAAAAATCGCACTTATCGCTGTTTTTGTCGGCCGAATTCCAGAATCTGACCGCTCTGACTCTGGGGGGCGTTTAGGGTTTAAGGTTCAGGGCTTGGTACGGCTTCAACCATCACTGCAATATGGGGGACTCTTGTAGTGCATCAGTATGCCTTCAACCCGAAAGCCCTACCGCAAAGAGCAGCTCAAAGCCCGTTTCGCCCTTGAAAAGCTTAAACGTTAAAGGCGAGCTTTGGGAATAGGTTTCAGGTCATCCACGACGTTTGGATCTTGGCTTATCCTGAACTTTATGCCCTGCCCTAAAGGCAAGGACAATGCAGGGAGCTGTCCATGAGCATTTTTCGTAAAGGGTCTCAGGAGGTTTCAGTTGTTTTTCATCTTCGTACTAGAATCATAACCGTAGTCATGCCCACATGGCGCGTACTAGCCAGGATAAGTAGGGTTGATGCTATTTCTCGACATATATGCAGTGGCAGCTAGCTACCGTCACATGACCCTAAACCAAAACCCGAAACCCTAAACGCTAAACCCCTAGACCCTAATCCCTAAGCCAGAACCCGTAAACCGCCATGGAGGGCATGTAGGGGTCTAAACACTTTGCCAACACTATCTTGCGGCTCCTTGTGGTAATCATAGTATACTATACCATACCGACTAAAATCCCAAAACCCTGTCCCAGAGGGTCCAAGTACTCCCTATTATAGGACTTTATGGCCTTATTAGGCACCAAAAACCCATAAATAAGGACTACTTGGACCCTTAGGGCGTTATGACGATTATGAGGCCCCTGTAGTATTCGAGTGGAAAGCCCGACTCTCTGAGGCCAGAAGTCTCACCCTGATAAGACGAACCACACTGATTGGGGTCATTTAGGGTTTAGGGTTTAGGGTTTAGGGTATAAGCACACAACCCAAAACCTTGAATCCCAAAAGCTTTAAAGCCCCGCTGCAATCCTTGAAAGCCCTTTTCTCCAAGGGTAAAGGAGGGACCCTTAACAAGGACCCCTAGGTATATACCCTCAATATAGCTCTTATATACCCATTATATAGCCCATTATAGGGTACGGGACCCCATTAAGGGTCCCTCCTTTTCCCCTTTGATATACTGCTCAGGAAGATGTGGCTTGGAGCTCAAACCCGCGCGCAGTACTTGAAACTGAAGCGGGACAGCAGAGGGTCTTAGCAGAATTTCACAAAGTCCATAGAAGCCCTGTTTCCATACAGTAAACTCTGTAAAGTTGGAAACCGGTTTCAGGCCAAATAGTGCTGGGATTCCTTAGCTTCTACTGTAGTCGGTGACGGCTCCTTAAGCCCTACAAAAACTATAGGACTTACAGAGCCCAGTAAACTGATGTAGGCAACTTAACCCATCAGGGAGGGCAGGTTTAGTGTTCTCGAGCTTGGCGGGGGTATACTCTATACGAGGGCATAGATTTGGTTGTGTTGTGAAATAAGGTTGTCGGATTTCGGTTAGTGTTTTCGTGTTCGGGATTCCCCTAGGACTCCAAGTTTTTGCTGATAGTACCTACTTTGGGCGATGTGGAGTCTTAGTGTTCAACTTAGGGTCTAGTCCTAGCGGGTTTGCTCGATTCCCGCAAGTAGGATGTCGACCAGGATCCGCTGATGTTCATGACGAGATGATCGGGCAAAGGGTGTAGACTTTAGAGGTTTTCATCTGATGACAATGATGGTGCTGATGATGATGGTGTTGATCAAAATGATGTTGACAATGATGACGATGTTCATGATGCTGGTAGGAAAATTGCGAACCCGTGTCGGCAATCATTGTACGTTTGCTGCAACCGAAAGGACTTCGAGAGGGCCGAGAAGACGATCATCACGATCCAGCGCTACACCCGAGGTCATCCCGAGTCCACGGTTCTGAGTTGACGCGCATATGGGGCTGTACTGTTGATGTACAAAATCCTGCATGACCCATTAGAAGGAATATACCATAGTTCCCATAGTTTAGAGTCCTTAGGGTCATGCAGGATTTATATCCCTAAACCCTAAAGATCCCTTAAAAGAGCCCCTTAAAGGTACCCCTATAGATCCCTTTAAAGGAGCCCTAGGGATTTTGTCCATCAACAGTAGGAGTCGTAGGTTAAAGGGCGCTAAATCCTGCTCTAAGTATTCCGGCCCCTGAAGTCCGGCTCTAGGGATTTGTGCTTTAGGGCTCTTGAACTCGAAGCCAGGGTTTCGGGTTTAGGGTTTATATTTAGGGTTTAGGGTTCAGGGTTTAGGGTTCAGGGTTTTAAGGGCTTAGAGTAAACCCCACAAAGTTGGAGACCGGATTAAGGCCAAAAAGTGCTGTGATTCCCTATACATTACTCTTAAGGATTGAGGCTATTGGATTTCCAACTTTTGGGCTTCTACCGTAGGTTTGGGGGGTTCCCGGGGTTTAAGGGATTAGACGGGAGCCTGGTTACAGCCCCCCCCCCCCCCCAAGTGCCCTTTGATGGAGCCCTTATTTTCCTTAATAGCGGGTATGTATACAGGAGGGCCCAAAGCAGCAGCGGCGTGTGATGGCGGAAGTCGTCATACCTAAAGAGCCTGTCGTTTCTAGAGGACATAAATGAGAAACTCGTTCCCAAAAAGTTAGCCGATTTAGGGTTCAGGCAGGATTTAGGCTTTAGGGATTGAGGCTTCGCAATTTCCAATGAGTTCATTAGAGGTCTATACACCCTAAGCCACTCGGCCGCCCTTGCAACACTCACCCGCGATGTGAAACTTACGGAACTTAGGGTTTAGGGTTTAGGGTGCGGCCGCTATTGACATCGCCCGGAGTTTGTTAAGTATCCCGCAAGAAAATACCCTCTCCACAAGGCCTCCTAAACTCAAAACCCGCTGCCCTGCCCTAAGCAGTGAACCCTGAAACCCTAAACCTGTAAATCCTATCTGTCTCTGTACCCATCTACCTATCTATCTATCTGCATGAATATTTGTATACATACACACCCTTAAAGCCTCTACCCTAAACCCTCATCCTTTAAAGCCTGGTGGGCATGTGCGTGAGGTTGCCTCTGCAGGGGAAAGCTTTGGCGTGAAGCCGTGGCAGAGGCTTCTTGCTTGGCAGGCAGTATTTGGGAGTTTCCGAACATAGCTACTTTGAAAGGGATCCTTTAAGGGTTCCTTAGAGGGATCTATAAAGGTTCTATAAATGGTTTAGGGTTTTGGAGTTTCCGAAAATTAGGGGTACCTTATTTAGGGGTCCTTATAATTAGGATAATGCTATTTGGGGTACTATATTAGGGTCCCCTGTTTTCGGAAACTCCCATTTAAGTTAGAAATCTTGAACGGTTCCAGTGTCAGGTTCCTTTAGTGGGGATCTTTGAGGGCTCAGGGCTTTGGGGTTTAGGGTTGAGGGTTTGGAGCTGACAGGGTCTACGGCACAGGGTTGAACTATAGGGTTGCAGGTTTAGGGTTTAAGGGTGCTTTGAAGCTTTGGACTCTTCGGTGCTGGGTTGATCAGGCTCCTAGGGAGTAATGCTGAGTCTGTGTGCCCTGTTTCTGATCCCTGAAGGGTTTGAGGCTTAAAGTTTAGGGTTGAGCATTCTGATCCATGTCTCCGGTTATCTGGAGCTGTCGGCTTTGTCTGTAGACATACACCGTCATCCCGAACAAAGGACATGGTCGGCAAAGGAGCCTACCTATTAACACTGGCAGCCACACTTTTGCTGTAGCTTGGTTGCTGAGGTTAGGGTTATCAGTCTAGGGTAATCCAGAATAGTGCCTTTCAGCACGGAACCTTTTCAGCACGAAAAGATAGGGGAATCATGTGCAATAAGATGGGGGATTTGATTTTCTAATTAATAATTACCTATACTAGTTTGGGGTGTTCATTATGATTAGGTTTCGCTCTGTCTCCTCTACGCTTAAACTTGGTCCAAGACCTTATTCTAGTTATTCAGGCCCCTACATCAGTGCTTGTGGATTGACGGGAAAAGCTCGACCCACGAACGTTGCTCATCGCGAAACTCCTCATCCTCGAAATTGAAATGCGACACCCCCTGTTCCAAATACAACGGCCTTCAGAGTTGGTTCCCGCAATCCTGAGCCCTTAACCCTAAACCCCCAAACCCTAACTTTGTTTACAATCCCTAAACTGAACCTCAACATACAGTAGTCGGGGCCTTCCATGTCACTCCCAGATCCCCGAAGCGAAAGACACTTGGCCCCCGTTCCTGATCCTGATTGTACGCTCACGTCCCCTTCTTCGCTCCCACGTAACACCCAGTATATAGATTTATCATAGATGCCTTATAGTAATTGTAATGGGATTTTGGTCTACTATACTACAAATATGGCAAGGAACACCCCAAATAGTAGAGGTACTTATTTGGGCCCCTGTATTGGCGTTCAACGCTTGCGGGCTATCTGTCAACACATTATCGAAAGGCGCAGGGGGATTTAGAAACTTAGTGGGAACTCAGGTGCCCAGTGCCCAGAAGGGGAATCGCTCAAATAAGGAGGGTTTGTCTCCTAAACTTTTAAAGCCCTACTCAGAGGCCCAGGGACTCAGTAAGTAGGATATGAGTAGTAGAGTTATAAGTCCCCTTAATGGAGTTGCCCCAATTATAACACTACTTACTGCCGACGTACTAAGTCCCCTGGGCCTCCAAGTACCTGAACCCGTAATCCTTCATCGGCCGTGCCTTCCCAGGAAGAGCGCGTTTGGGCTGCCATCGCCTCTCAGCCGTGTGCTATACCCTGAACCCTAAACCTCAAACCTTAACCGAAATAAGCGCCAGGATGAGGGATGTCCTCGTTTGCCGGTGTGGTTCTTCAGGATTTGGGTCCCTGAGGGTCCAACGCCCAGTAATAAGGTACTTGGGATGAGGATAGTAGTTATGTTATGTAGGTTAGCAATGGGGAGAGTGTATGTTTATTCGGTGGGTTTTGGAGTGTTTGGGTGCCGGGCACTTCAATCCCGTATCCCGTGTGCTCCAACAAAGGGCCCAAGCTGAACCAAACCCCAAGCCCTGAAGCCCCAAAAAACCCGAAGACCTAAACCTGTATCAACCCGCAACCGTGGGTCTTTCTCTAAGCCTTCAACCTATCGTCTCCAAGACTCCTTAGGAGTCCTTAGGTCAGAATCCCAAGGGTCCAAGTACCTAATAATCGTATACTCTCCAATATCCTAACCTAACTACTATCCTATAACCGAATACCTAATTATTAAGGCCCATATAATAGAACCCAAATAATACCCCTTTTAAAGGAACCTGATAGAACCCTCATTTAATTATTGGGTCCTTTGGACCCTTGGGGTAATCAGGATCCCCGTTTGGTTTGATTTTGGAGTCTCAGGGCCTCCGAGAACCGACAACCCTCAAAGCCAACGCCCAAGCCTTCCTTTGAGGCCCAGGGGACTTTGAAAGTAGGTTATCCCTGAAAATCCGGAAACCCTACCGTTTTTAAGGGTTCTACCCTCCAATTAAGGGGTCATAACCCTGCCATTTTGTAGGGTTTGGGGTCACAGGTCAGCAGAGATCTGAGTAGCGAGCTTCCCCCAAGTACAACCGACTTATGAGTCCCCGAGCTCTGCCGCTAAGTTCCCGAAACCCTAAACCCTAAACCCTAACCCTAAAGACCACCTAAACCCCTAAGCCCTAAGCCTTAAACCCTACAGATCCCTTAAAGGAACCCTTTTAAGTAATGCAGGATTTAGCTCTAAACCCTATTAAACCCCATCAAAGCCTATTAAACCCTGGAGATCCCTAAAGGAACCGTTGAAAAGTACCCTTTTCGAGAACCCGAAAAACCGACCTGAGGAGATCCAGCGCCGGTGGCGTGGCTACCGGGGCCGCGTCAGATGGGAGAGCCCTGGGCAAAAGCTTACCTGTGGTACCTTTGGGGCCGTATAAAGGGGTCCATAATCCATAAGGGTTAGTATAAGGGATCTTACCTTTGGTTAGTAGGGAATGGAGGAATAGGGTGCAATTATAACTACTATGACTACCCTTCCTCCATACCCTACTAACCAAAGGCAAGAAAGGAAGCCGGTGACGTCTCACTGAAGGCCGGTTTCGGGTTCTCTAAAGGGTATGGTAAGAGTTCCTTTAAGGGATCTGTAGGGTTTAAGGGTTTTGGGCTTTAGGGTTTAGGGGTTTAGATGTCTCACTGAAGCGCTTTTTTTGTGGGGGTTTAGGGTTTAGGGCTTAGGGGTTTAGATGTCTCACTGAAGGGCTCTTTGATGTGAGGGTATGAGGGTTTCTGTAGGTTAGATGTCTCATTGAAGGGCTCCTTTAATTAGATGGAGAGTATTGGGGTGAATTGCACCCTACTTGGAGGATCATGGGACTTAGTAAGTAAGGTTATAAGTACCTTAATTGGGGTTATAAGTAGTTATAAGTATAGTTACCCTAACTGTAGCCCTAGTTACTAAGTCCCCTGCCCCTCCAAGTAGAATCTAGAAGGACGGGCCTTCAACCCGAAAGCCATCCTAAGCCTGATAGGCCCGCTGCCCTATAGCCCGAACTCATTAGCAATAGGTTTCCTGAGGCTTTGGGTGGTTGTCAAAATGATGGTCCCGTTTTGGGTCCCGATAAAAAAACTGCACCTAATATTTAGGCTACCCAAAAAAGGGACATTAATTTTGACAAGTGGAAACGTTGGCTGCATCGAGGACATGGAGGACCGGCCGATTGCATTCTTGGGAAAGCTTGTCCATGGCATGCATGTGTCTTCCATCGACAATCCTTGATCCATGTGCTCGCCGCATTCAGGTGGCATGATCAAACGGCTTGTGCATGGCAGGGTACCTAGTGCAAGGTATCCTCCATGTAAGGACGCTTCATCTCCCTCCAATTATTGGGGTCCATGCGCTTTAGGCTTTGTAGGACTGTAGGAATAGAGCTAGCCTATATAAGCAATGGCTGGCTAGCCGGTGGCCGATGCGGAGATGCGGCGACGCCGGCGCTAGCTCGCCTCGACTACATGGCGGCTGTACAAGCACGGCACCCGCGGGCCATATGTGAACTGTACTGCGCCAGAGCTCACAGGCCAGGCGCTGGAGCTGTGTGAGAAGGCCTTGTCCCTAAACCCTAAACCTTCTAAAACCCTAAACCCCTAAACCCTAAACCCTAAACCAAACCCCTAAACCCTAAACCCTACACCCTAAACCCTAAAGACCAGGCAGCATCTTAGGCTCGAGGAACCAGGAGCAACTGGATTCTCGTGCTCCGGAGCACACTCGTCAAGAGTGAGCTGGACGTTCTTGCTGCTGCAATTCGAAAGGCCCACTGCACTTTAACAAACCTAAATCCTAAACCCCTAAACCCTTTAAGTTCCTTAAACAAACCCTGATAGTACCCAGGCCCTGTAGAGAACCCTCAACCCTTTCTTGTGCCTGGCGGGCTTGGCCAGCAGAAAGTCGGCAACCAGACGAGCCTTGACAGCGCGGTCGCAAGCATTACAGACGAAATGAGCCCTAAAAGGGCTTAAAGTTGAAGCTCCAGGCCATCACGCTGTGTAAGATGTTTATGCAGCGTTCCATTGTTAGGTGAGGACTAGGCCAGCAGGCTCAAGGTTAAGATTCGCAAACCATAAGGGGATTCATAGTTTCAGGGTAGTTGTAGGATCCTCACTTTTGAGGGTCATGTGGTCCTCAAGTTCATTAAAGACTGTTCGGCCGCTTTTCTCGACCCCGGAAAGAGTAACACTGAGTACCGCTGGGATAGAACACCCCATTCGCATTACCAAAGCACCGATACCAAACCATAATGAGAATCCTTATAGAAGCTTCAAGGAACCCAAGGCTTCAATGTATCAGGGATTATCAAACCTCCTAGAAAAGCTTACCTAAGTCCCCTAAGGAACAGATATCATAATCGAGGTGTAACCCTCGAGCAGCGCTTAAAGAGCCCTTGAAAAGAATCCGTCAAAGGGCCGTCCATAACTCTACTCGGTTATTGGCCCCTCTTAAGGACTCCATCAAAGCCTTACAGGAATCCGGCACACCGAGAGGTCGCAACACCCCATGCAATCCAAGGAATAGCCTGGAGCAACTCTGGCGCCAAGAGATGGCGGCAGCGATGCTGCAGCGCAACCTGGCTGTGGTGTCTTTGTTGTTGTCCCTCGGGGACCAAGTAACCCTTGAAAGCACATGCCATATACCCTTGTACCTTGTACTAGAAACCCCTGTATGATAATTCAACCTGAACCCCGTTTAGGCCACATTTCGTCCTTAAGGTTCTGTTTGAGTTTTTGTTCACTTCCATATACTGATTTTGGACTCATGATCCCAAAAATACGATGCAATGTCTTCTGTACACGTGTATATTCACATTCGTTGAGGATGCATCAGCATATGTCGTCCTTCGTTTCGCTATTCGTCGACAGGCTTTCGCACGCATCTCCCACAACCCTATCCTAATTATTGAGCTCCCTGTGGTGCCTGCGCCGAGAGCTCTTAGCCGTGGTAAACCCCACCAATGGCGTGAGCAACTACGTAACGCAAACCTGCGACAGCGAGAGAAGTAGAGGCCGAACACCGCCCAAGGTTCCAGTCGCCCTTGTGTGTGCTTGTTGTGGTGCGTGTCTTGCTGTTTCGGCTTTCACGCGTTTTTGGTAAACAGGTGCTACAAACTAAACCTTGCAGCTTCGGGTAAGGCAGTGAAACGCAGTCAGTCTGGGGACCAAAAAACTCTTCCTGCATCTGCGTGTGCATGTTCTAGTACACATGAATACCCACATATAGTCATAGAACTATAGGCAATAGTGACCCCAAACCCTTTCGCCAAAACTCCAAACCCAAAGCGCTGGGTAGACACATGGAGCATCAATCACATAAACCCCTGAACTCTAAACCCTTGCCCTAAACTTTCTGTTATATGCACACTATATCAGATCATCTCAGATCATGCCAACATAGCATAACATGTTATGTTCTGTTCTATTATGTTCAAACCTATTGTAGTCTAATCTGTTCCAATCTTTGCGATTCTGTTCCACTCTACTGTAATATGGCATATCCATCTTCTTGTTATTTTGCATGTTGTACGAGTACTTTTTTGTATTATGCCATATACCAAATTTATGCGAATTTTCTTATATTCTATACCTTACTATGTCATACTAGGTTGTATCAGTCACACAAGCTAAGTTCGTCTTCTTAGGAAACCTCCGCGGTTGGGTCGCGCGCGCGAAGATCGCCAAGCGGAAACGGAAGGCACGGGAAGGGGGCCGGAGGCTGGACATTTAGGGTGTAGGGCCTGGCATGTAGGATTTCGAGGCTGTATATGTTGTTATAGCATCTTAGTTCTATCGTTTTTTTTATATCCCGAAGGGTCCAAGTTCCGATAGCAATCTTCTCCCCAAAAAAACTTGTTTCAGTGCTTACGAGCGCGGGCCTAGCTTTCAGTTCTGGCACAAGAATGCTGCGATCCTATACCCTAAGGGTCCAAAGCACCCAATATTACGGTACATAGGTTTCGGATAGCAACTATTTATGTAGGTTACTATTTGGAGAGTCTATGACTATTTGGTACTTGGACACTCAGGGATACGATCTTATATAAAGGGTTTCCACAGGTGTTACCAGGTGTTGTAGGGTCCGGAGGTTAGGCCGCAGGGTCCAGATAGGGTTTAGGGCCCTTGTCTTGGTTCAGGATTGGGATTTTTGGGACTTGAGGATTTCGGTGAGGCATTTCATCGGTGTGAAGGTAAATACACAGGAAACCCCCCTTGATCTTCAAGGTTGCTCGGCAGCAAATATTCAAACCCTTTTGAGGCCAAGCGAGAATTCTGCAAGAATCTAGTTGACACATCATAGCCCTAATTCGCCCTGATCCCTATACCCCGTACTACGCAGTTTGACGATTAGGAGTTGCGACGTAGTGTGGAGGCACTGTCGGTTCAACCCGGGTTTCGGGACTACGGTGATTGAATTTGGGGGCGCTCAAACCCGTAACTCTAAACCCTAAACCTGCATCCTAGCCCAAAGGGTCCTATGTACCGATATAGTAGAATGTAGGGTTTCCATATTAGGAATTACCTTTATGACTTAGGGAAGTATCCCCCATACCAGTACACAGGACCCTTTGGGTAGGCTATTCACCACGAATTAAACCTTAACCCGGCGCCCCAAACCCGAAATCCGAAACAGTTCGGGGGATCTACCTCATCCTACAACAGGGCCTCATTCTAAACCCTAATCTCTAATGGGTGGTTGTCAAAATTAGGGACCCTAATTATGACAACTGCCCTAATCCTAACCCCTGAACCCGTAAACCTAATACAAGGGCCTAAATTACTAGTACTCCCAGAGGCTCCATATATAGTACCATTATGGAATTAGGTCCCAAAAGACCGTCCATATCAACCCAATTCCATAATGGTACTACCCTAAGGCTCCTGGACCCTCGTAGTGAAATCCCAAGCCTTAGCCCCCAAAAGCCCAAACCCTTCCCACACAAAGCCCATGACTTAATTACTATTAGTTTTAATTACTATTAATTACTATTGATTACTATTAATTACTATTAACTACTATTAATTATTATTAATTACTAGTATGGTCGTTATTAAACGGTCTGGGGATCTTACTGCCTCAGGGCCTTCGGGGGGAGCTAGCAGGAACCTGATAACGCCAAAACAGTATCAACCACAAGGAACCCAAACAAAGGCCCAAGGTTTCTTAATCAGGTTCCTACATTACGGCCCCTCTTGTATAGAACCCGACTATAGAACCCTTATAGACCCCTTTTCGCAGCCGATCCCGCCTCCCATTCCCAAATCCATCAGCAGCCGATTCTGGAGGCTGCCAGAGAGGAGTTTGAGAAGGTGCGGACATATGGGTACTATACTTGGAGGATCATGGGACTTAGTAGGTCAGGTTATAAGTACCTTAATTGGGGTTATAAGTAGTTACAAGTATAGTTACCCTTCTTGTAACCCTAGTTACTAAGTCGCATGATCCTTTAAGTAGGGTTCCTGATTATGATTATGGTATTATAAGCTGAAAAACCCTATTCTAATCTAACCATTGAGGCCCCTGCAGAAACTAATTCTCTGCATGAAGGTTCCTTTTCAGCCCTCTGATTTTTTCGAGGGTGCCGTACTATCTTTGCGAAACTAAACTCTAGTCTCCTTCGGAATTGTTTTTGTTCATATCAGACCGAGGAGAATATTAAAACATCCAAATTTGTATGGTGGTTCTAGGGGGAGTATATCAAAGGGGAAAAGGAGGGACCCTTAAGAAGGACCCCTAGGTATATACCCTTAATATAGCCATTATATACCCCATTATATAGCCCATTATAGGGTAGTAGGGTCCCCATTAAGGGTCCTCCTTTTCCCCTTTGAGTATAGGAAAAGAGATCCTAACCTGAGGTCCGGCAGAGAGCACCAGGTGTTAGAGGGCTCTACATGTCGTAGTTCAACGAGTTAAAGGGAACTCCAGAAAGTTGGAATATGGTTTCAGGGTAGGGTACCTTATAATTTACCATAGAAGGCTTAGGATAATCATATTCCAACTTTCTGGCTTTTACTTTAAAGGTTTGTGGTGTTTGTGGTTCCTATATAGGTACCGCCAACCTTGAGACATTGCTTAGTGTGTTTATAGTTTTCTTTTGGCTTTAGGATCTTGGGGTTATAGGGCTTTAGGATTGTAGGGCGTAGGAATTTCCGGGTTTGGGGATTACGGTTTGAGGGTGTAGGGGCTTTCGGGTTTGAGGGTTGACGGCCTTTGGTTAGGGGGGAAAGGCTCTGCCACTGTAGCGGGCTTCAGTGTGTCAGATTCACGAGTTTGGGGCAGGGCTTAGCGTTTTACGGTTTCAGGTCTAAGAGGGCTTCAGGATATCAGGCTTAAGGGTTCAGAATCGGAACCTAGGGGTTTTAGGTGAGGGTGTAGGGCTTGCGGGCCTCAGGTTTAGGGTGTGAAGGTTGCAGCATGAAGGGTTTGGTGCTTTTGGCGTGTTGGGTGCAAGGCTTCAGTGCTTCGGGTTATGTCTGGGGCGTCTTTTGTTAGTTTCGGATTTAGGCTTCAAAACACGAATCTGAACTGCGCGGTGCACCCGCCTTGGCGACGGCCCTATTAGACCCAAGCCTATGAAGACCAAGTCCGAAACCGAAACCAACCCCAACCGGCCCCCTTCATTGAATCCTTGGCGGAACCCCACTAAAGTGCCCTTTCAAGATTTTAAGGATTTTGGCCGGAACTCTAAACCCTAAAGCCTAAAACCCTATAAACCCTAAACTCCTGAACCCCTAAACCCCCAAACCCCTAAAACCTAAAACCCTATAAACCCTAAACCCCCCCGGCAAAGAAGCCTGAAGAGTGTCAGGCGCGACGCCGCTTCTTCGCGGCACAGAAGGTTCAGGCCAACCTTCCTCCGCATGTGGAAGTTTCCGAAAATTAGGGGTACCTTTAAAGGGATCCTTTAAGGGTTCCTTAGACGGTTCTATAAGGCTTTTATGAAGGGTTTAGGGTTTAGAGTTTCCGGTTACTCTTGAAGGGTCCCCTAATTTCGGAAACTCCCATGGTCCCTGAATTTTGGGGCTCGTGCTGGGTTTGAACTGATCGTTTGTGGCTGTGGATGGCTGCAGTGATTACCTATATATACTATGGGAGTTCCATATTATAACTATAGTATAATTGGCCCCACAATCCTATTCTAATTATTGATCCATATAATAACTATAGTATAATGGGCCCCAAAACCCTATTCTATAATTATTAAGGCCCTTAGCATAATCTACTGTTGCAGGAATGCATGTGGCTTCAGGTGGACTTGGCAAAGGACCCTGAAGCCTGAGGCCCTCAAGCCCGAGCCGAAATGCCTAAAACACCACTTGGAGGATCCTTTCAAAAAGGGTACTATAAGGTTCTATAATAGGGTTCCTTAAAGGGATCTATAGGGGTTCTAGAATGGGGATCATGGGACTTAGTAAGCAAGGTTATAAGTACCTTACTTGGGGTTATAATGGTTATAAGTATAGTTACCCTAATTATAACCTTAGTTACTAAGTCCCATGATCCTTCAAGCACCCCCCCTGTTGAGCGTGAAGTCACGGATCCCGCGAGGCGCGGATGCGGGGCATCCGTACCCGTTGCCTGGCGAAATTGGGTATTGGCTCTTCAGCTATGCGAATGCGAGGGGTTTTCCATACTGATGATGTCGACGTTGCGTGTTCGTCTAGACCCAGACCCCCGGGAGGCCTTTCGCCGTAAACCTAAACGTATTGCCCTAGGCATCTAAGGACTCATATATTAAGGCTTTTGGGCCCAAAGACCATATTATAAAAGGCTTTTGGGCTTTTTGATGCCCAGGGTTGGGAGTCCCTGACTCCCAAATGTAGGGGGTTGAAAATGGTATAAGTATTATGACCCCTTCTTCTTGCCGAATATAAAAAACCCCATGCTAGTTGTTAGGCCCCTATACCATCGCTTTGTAGAATAATATCAGTCGTACAACCCCGTATAGCTTTCCCTTATAGTATCTTTTTAAAGAGCCCTTGAAACGAGCCCTGCTCTAACTATTAAGGCTCACCCAGAGGGTCCGAAGACACTACCAGTATGGCATTAGGCACCGATAGACCATTCTGGTCATGGTTTTGGGGGGACTTAATTACACAACACAAGTACATATGGACCCTGTTGGTATGGTAATTCCACAATTCCAGTATACCTGGACTCTCTTGATCAAATAAGACCCTAAACCCTGAACCCAAGCCCCAAACCGTAAACCCCGAAATCGCCGACCTCTTTATAAGGACTAATACAAGGAAATCATAGTGGGGAACACTAATAAGCTAAAAGGTCGGTTCTTCAGGGTTAACTTACCTTTGGTTTGTAGGGAAAGGAGGAATGGAGTACAATTATAACTACTTAGTACTACCATTCTTCCATTCCCTACTAACCAAAGGTAAGTTTTGACTTGGCCCTACTTGGAGGCCCAGAAAACTCAGTAAGTAGGTTCTAAGTCAACGTATAAGTCCTAAACCCCCCAAAACCGTAAACCCTAAACCCTAACTAAACCCCCTAAGCCTTAAACCCTAAACCATACAACCCCTAAACCCCCTAAACCTTAGACCCTAAACCGCAAACCCGCCTCAATTTCTCCGGTACGTCGACCGAGGCAAAATCGTCCACGCCCGCCTCGCGCGGGCCAACCACGCCGCTGCAAAGATCCAAAGCGTTCACCGAGGCCTCAGGGTTCCTTTAAGGGGATCTATAAGGGTTCCTTTAAGGGGATCTATAAGGGTTGCTTTAAAGGGATCTATAAGGGTTCCTTTAAGGGGATCTATAAGGGTTCCTTTAAGGGGATCTATAAGGGTTCCTTTAAAGGGATCTATAAGGGTTGAGGATACCCAGAGACTCCAATACCCCTTAATTAAGGAATAGTCCTTACATCATATTAAGGATCCTACTATAATTTCATTTAAATTCCTTAATATAGGGGTATTGGAGTCTCTAGGTATACCTTAACCTACCAAACCCTAAGGTTTTTGTAGGTTCTTATTCTAAACCCTATTATGGAATTGATAGGGACCCTACAAAAAAGCAGGTTCTATTGCGGGAAGTCGAACCCAGATAGCCCAATACCCCTTAATTAAGGAAGATGGCTTGAGTTATATAGGGCTTCATATATTGATTTAAGCTATATTCCTTAATTAAGGGGTACTGGGCTCTCTGTATAGGGGTTAGAGGTTTTAGGGGCGAGGTTTTTCGGGTTTAGGGTTTTGGAGTTTGGCGTTAGAGGTTTTATGGGCGAGGGCCTTAGGGTTTAGGGTTTTTGAGTTTGGCGCTTTGGTTCAGGGTTTGAGGCTTAGGGATTTAGGGTGGGTCTAGAGGTCTAGGGGCGAGGGGTGTTAGGGTTTTGGGGTTTGGGCGGTTTGGGGCTGAGAGGTTTACGGTTTAAATTTACTGTTTGGGCCAAGGGGTTTGCGCATGAAGGTGTCTGAGGTTCTAAGGACTTGGTGCTTCGGGTTTGTACTCAGTGGTTAAGAGGTTTGGGGGTTGTGTTTCTGGAAATCATTTTCGTTCCCGTCGGATGGTGACAAGGCTGTATATCAAGGGATTGGCGGGTATGGGCTCAAGGATTCTAGGGTTTGACTTCTCGGAGGCCTCAAGAGGTGGGATGAAGGTAGGTAGGATCAAGGATCCCTTATATAAGGACTCTTATTCGGGAATATCCCACCTACCTTTATCCCACCTTTGAGGCCTCCGAACTTGTTCTACAAGGCTGTAGGGCTTGTATCGAAGTGCAGGGTTGATAGGTTCTCTGAGGCTTCAGGGATTGCAGTTTAGGATTTAGGGCTATGTAGGGTGAAGATGTTTGGAGCCTGAGATTTGTGTCTCTGCGGGGTTTTCTGTACGATTTAGGTGCTCTGGTGGCAGGGCTTGCGGGTTTGGGGGCTTGAGTTTCGTCGGAGTTCGGGTGTTGTAGGGTTTTAGAACTCCCGAACCCTAAACCCTAAATGGGTGGTTCTCAAAATTAGGGTCCCTTTTTGGTTCCCTAATGTCATACGGCACCTATAATTTAGGGTACCCCAAAAAGGGACCTCAATTTTGACAACTACCAAAATATTGCCTAAGATTTAGAAGCTGCCCCCACCCTGTGATAGAGACTATAAGGATTGTAGTAGGGCCCTATTACAACTATTGCAGGGTGGGAACCCCTTCAAACTTATAACCTAAGATTGCATGCCAGGGCGTTGATTAGGCTTCAGGGAGGCATGGGGTGCACATATGCTAAGCGGGATGCAACTAGCCCAGAGGCTCCATATATGGTACGATAATGGAATTAGGTCCCAAAAGACCATCCATATCATGGCTTTGGGGACCTAATTCCATAATGGTACTCTATTTGGAGCGCCTCTAGGTAGCCTACCCCGAAACCCTAAGCCCACAACGAGCCCAAAATGATAAACCCCGAACCTTGAGAACATCTAAGCTCATGTCACCCCGTTACCGTAGAAGCCCAAAAGTTGGACACCCCATAGCCTCAATCCTCAAGAGTAATGCATAGGGAATCCCAGCACTATTTGGCCTTAATCCAGTTTCCAACTTTTTGGGGTTTACCGTATAGTGATCGAGATGCCACCAGGTACTCTTCTTGGTTTGGGGCTTCGGGTTTTTACCAGCTCCACCCCCACAGAATATCGCAAAACCCGTAGCCACCATGCACTTCGACCGATAACTGAATCATCAGGAGACTCAGCAAGCAGGTTGTAAGGGGGTTGCGCACACATATTCCTTGCAGGGTGAAGTATACAGCGAAGGTTAAAACGCCTAAACCCACAAGCCTATAAGAAGCGTCGGAAACCCCAAAGCCCTATGACATACTCTCCACCCTCCAAACCTCTATGTGTAATCTAGGGGCCTTGAAACAGGCTTGGGGGGTATATATTACTATAATTTATGTAACTATAAAAGGCACCCCCCAACATAGCAGGGGTAGTGATTAAGGCCCTTGTGAGTAATCGAGCCTCTCAGGTGGCATGGTCCGTGCACGGCTTTGGGACCAGGCAAACGGGGTGGGAAAGTCATCAGCGTATACCCTACGGTTGATGATATAAATCTGCCTGCATTACCTTAATGACCCTTAACTATGGGAATTATGATATATTCCTTGATATGGGCAGATTTACATTATGCCTAGTCCCACTTTTGGTATCCTTTTCTGTTTCCTATTTCCTTCGTCCTTTCCTTGTGTAGGTCCCCAGTAAAATCCTTTTGCCTTTTGAAACTTTTGTCTGTCTTTATTCTGTGGGTTCCCGTTCAGAAGGCTCCTTTGCTCTTCTTGATTTATGGGTTAAGAGAAGGAGGAAGGGGAATCCCTGAATGAAGGGGCCTGCCTGCGAACTTGCATGCAGGAACGGGCATGGTACTGCCTGGTTTTCTTTGGTGGATGTAAGGTTTGGCCTTCGTGGGGTAGTTGACTGCGCAGTTTTGTTCGGGCAGTTGCCCAGGCTGCTTTTTGCTTTGTTCGGGCAGTTGCCTGGGTTGTTTTTTGAGTGTAGGTTTATATAGGCTTGAACCGTTGAAACTCACTCCCCAAGGGTCCAAGGACCGAATAGTCATATACTCTCCAAAATCCTAACCTACATAACTACGCAGTATTATTCTAGAACCGAATACCTGATTATTGGGTCCTTTGGACCCTTAGGGCACTTGACTTCGGTCCTACGAACTAGGATCCTTTTCAGAAACCTCCCGACGATCCCACCAGGTCGGGTTAAGGGTTTAGGGGGGAGGGTTTAAGGATTTAGGGGTCAGGGTTTTAGAGGTTCAAGGGTTTGGGTTTAGGGTTTTAGAGGTTCAGGGTTTAGGGTTTAAGGATTTAGGGGTCAGGGTTTTAGAGGTTCAGGGTTTAGGGTTGGGGTTTAGGGACCGTAAACCCTAAACCTTCTTCCCACATCTGCTCGTGTCATAAGCAGGACGCTCGACGAAAGCATCTTTCTGCGAATCTTCTTGGGCCCTAGTGAAAGGCCCAACACACCTAAACAAAAGAAGCGAGTCCAATTCAGAGGTCATAATTATGTTGAAGGACCTCCCCTAAACACGAACCTCCGAGCCCTAGACCTTAAGCCCTAGACCCTAAACCCCTAAACCCCTAAACCCCTAAACTCTAAACCCCTAAACCGCTAAACCCTAAACCCCTAAAGCCCTAAACCCCTAAACCCCTAAACCCTTACCCCCTAAGCCCTAAACTCGAATCATGTCCACTGTCAGCCCAATGAGACCCTCTGCCCCTAGCCTCAATCTCCGAAACCCCGCACCCCAAACCCTAAAGCCGAGGAAACGTATAAGCCTCGGGTCTGACTACGGTTGATAATGCCAACCCTGCTTTAATTGTCAAGGCACCTACTTTTGGCACCCAAGCCCCCAAAAATTCGCTACCAGCCAACGTTACTTTGCGCCCTTGTTGCGCCCACAGGTCCGCGGACAGCGGGCGGTGCTCGCACAGGCCAGGGGCAGGGTCCGGGGTAAAGGCATGGGTCGAAATTCCCAAGATATCCGATAAGAAGTGAATGTGACCACCAGGTTTAGGTTTAGGGACATATCATATCTACGGATACTGCCAGACATGCCGAGAGATGCGAGCATGCATTACAGCGTTTCGATATGCGCTCTTTGAATAATCATGGCCGAGCTAGCCAGTAACTTCTCAGTCGCACGGTGAACATTTCGAAGACCAGTGCTTGAGAGTCACAGCAGGTCTTCTTGACTTATTTGTAAGGACAGTGCAGCCACGATGGTGCTACCGGATCACGCTTGTTATGGTGCGACGGTTACGTTGGATTTTGCGTGTAGTCTTCCCTAAAATTCCACACGCCGTTGATGACACATTCGCCCCTAGCCCTAAGCCCTAAACCCTATGCCGTGTTTTCAATATCCAACAAGGGTCCATGTACCCATATAGAGATACATGGGCCCCAATGTACCTATATAGGGACTACATTAAGGCCAATGTATATACTATATGAGCACATGGACCCTTAGGGATCCTTCCAAATCGCCAACACCCCACCCGCCCGAAAACCCTGAAGATCCGAAGTCGTAAACGGCACACCCACCTGGGTTTGGAGTACCATACTTGGATACTTGTTTTAGGGTACCTGCTCCTTAAAGGAACCATTAGGAGATAAAAGTCTATACTTTTTCTCCCTGGTTACTTCAAACCTCCAGCCCAAAAGCCCAACCACATATTTCCCCCCACCCCCGCAAGAAATGTGCAAGAACGTCGACTGAAAAGCTAAAGCCTAGCCCTTGCAGAGTGCGACCGAATCCGTCTAACTACGGAGACATACTGTTGATGGACAAAATCCTGCATTACCCATTATAAGGAATATATAGCACAGTTCCCATAGTTTAGAGTCCTTAGGGTCATGCAGGATTTTGTCCATCAACAGTAGCATACCTGCTTCAAGCCTCAAAGGACTTAGTTACTTAGTTCGCATGCTTTTAATATTCAACTGCGGCTGGCACAACCTTCAGTTTGGGCAGACCTGACCTAACTGAACCACACTTGGTTTCGGCTAATTGCAAATAAGCCGGAATAGTTACCAAATTTGTTTTCCAGGGTTTTGCAATATGTTTGTATTACATCTGTACTGTATTGTACTGTTTTAAACCCCAAAGCCCTATTCTAATCATTGAGGCCCCCGTCATATTCATCTTCGTCTAGAAGGGGTTCTAGATGCAAAGGTACCCTTGTCAACAAAAAGGAGCTACAGTTTGGAGGCTATACTAAGCCGTTCCTGAAGAGTAAGTTGTACCTTCGGTAGACTCAAACATCTCGAGACGGACAAGACGATGTGGACTCTAATCCCTGTAGAACCCAAATCCAAAACCCTTTCCCTAGTAGTAGAGTAAGTAAGCTTTAACCTTTCTTGGGTAGTGTAGTCGCTATATACCCCCTATATAACCAAAAAGGTTAACCTTTAGTTCCCCATGATACCCGACAAGTAGGCCAATATACCCCAAATTCAAAACCCTTTCAACCCTAAACTCACCCTAAACCCCATGCTCAACACCTAACCCTAAACCCCAAAACCCCTAACCCGCGAAGTTCTAAAACCCCTAAACCCCAAAATCCATCAAGGTTTCAACCCTATTAAAGAACCCTATATGCAACAATCTGCAACGTCCCTAAACCCCTCACCCCTAAACCCCAAAATCCTAAAATCCATCAATGCCAGGCCCTCCTAAACCCCAAAATCCCAAACGCTACCCTTAACCCTACACCCCTAAACCCCAAACCCCCTCAATCTGCATTTTTCGTTCAACATCAGGCCCTCGTGCGTGGTTTCCTCGTGCGGCGGCGCCTGCGCAAGCTGCGGGAGCTTTATGGATTTTAGGGCCTTAACCCTTAGGCTCTAAGGACTCATATTTTACGGCTTTTTGGGCCCAAAGACCATGATATAAGGCTTTTGGGCCATTTTGAGCCTTAGGGTAAGGGTAGGGTTTGCCCTGAATGACGTATAAACAGGCAGGTTCTCTATAGGGCTTTAAGAATACTTAGGGTTTAGGGCTTAGGGATGTTTAGGGTTTAGGGATGTTTAATTAGGGTTACCTTAACCATAATAGGGAGCCCTAAGAAGGTAGGTTATTCAGGGTTAAGGTAGGGTTTAGGGATGTCTAGGTTTTATGGTTTAGAGACTTATAGGGCTTAGGGTAGGGTTCAGGGACTTTCGAGCTGAGGGGTTAAGGCAAAGGAAGTTAGGGTAGGGTTTGGGGTATATAGGACTTAGGGGTTTAGGGACTTTGGGTTTAAGGTAGGGTCTAGGAGATCAGGGACTTCGGGACATTGGGATTTAGGGTAAGGTTTAGGGCTTCAGGGGTTTAGGGGTTCCTAGGGGTATTTTACGGGTTCAGGGTCTAGGGTATATAGGTCTTCGGGTTTAGGGCTTCGGGTTTCGGGTTTGTCAGTGCTAAAACCGATGAAAAGGAAAGACGGTACTCTCATCAGCATTACCGGGCTACTGGGGAACTTAAGTGGCGCTCGTTCCATGTTGGATCAATATATTTGTAGAGTTTGGGGAGTTAAGGCATTTCGGGGTGTGTTGAAGCTACTTGCATCTTTTCCTTGGGGAACCCTAAAAATAACCGAATGCCCAATAAGCCCTAAATGCCCTTCACCCCAAACAGCCGGCAAGCCTGCTAGGAGGCTCGGGGGACTTAGTAAGTAGTTGTTTTAAAGAGTTACATGTAGCCTGAAAGGGGCCTTCATTTGGGTTGCGGTACGTACAACTCTATGAAATAACTACTTGCAACGTCCTGCGAACCCCATGCGAGCCCTCTGCAGGAGAAGGTGACCTTCATCCAGCAGGTGCGGTGAGTCACGTAAGGATCAGTGGACTTGGTCTTAGAGGGTTCCACATGGGGATTCAAGGTTTAGGAAGTGGACTTAGGCTGAAAAGGTTCCATAATGGGGTTCAGGGTTTAGGAAGTTCAGGGTTTAGTGCCGTAGGAAACTGACCAAGAAGCCCTGTCTCCCCAAAATATGAGGGTTCATATCAACAACCTAAAAAAGACTCAGGGTTTCTGAATCAGGTTCCTAGAAGGTTCCGCATTTGGGTTGCGTTGTTCAGGGCATTTAGGGTCCTCTTAACGCTTGAAGGGTCGGGGGACTTGTCTAAGCTTGCAGGGAGAGCAGAAGCTTGCAAGAGAATTTGAAGTCACAAGCCCTCAATCGCATTCCTGCTACTTTCCTAAGCCCTAAACCCCAAACCCTAAACCCCAAACCCCAAACCCCAAACCCTAAACCCTAGACCCTGAACCCTAACCCTAAACGCTAAACCCTCGACCCTGAACTGGCCCTGTCAGATCTACCGAAAGTGGCGGACTCTGCCGAAGATGCGGCGGCCGCTGGGCAGGAGTTCCACCAAGGGGCCCCTTCTTCCTTTCCAGGGCACCTTATGGGAGTTGCCGAAAATTGGGGTACCTTATTTGGGGGTCCTTATAACAAGGATCCTACCATATTAGGGTTCCCTATTTTCGGAAACTCCCTTGTGGGTTTTGAGAGCTCCAATCTCCCTAGACCGTCCATCTACCCTCTATTAGACCCTAAAGGCCCATTGTTCGGGGCCATATACCTCTATTTAAGGGTACATGGAGGGTCCTGGTTTTCTTCTGGAAATCTTGAGCCCTCCGCCCTCGCATTCCCAACCATTTGACCCCTGGGTGTCTCGGCGCAGTTAACTCCCCAAAACCTTCTGCAAGACCTGGTACACGCCAGAGGTATATAAATCAAGATGCCGCGACATCCTGCTACTAAGGCCACTCAAGAGATATTGTAGTTTCTAGGACGTCATCACGGCTCAAGAGATAAGCCCGAAACGCGCAAGCTTCAAAGCCAAGGCACGCTGAGCATCTTGAACACTGAAAAGCCGTGTGTTTTCAGCCCTATACATTAAAACACACCCAAAACCCTGTGTAAGGGTCGTTAAAGCAGCACTGAAGCGCACCAGAGCCTGCGACCAAACAGGAGTTCTGAAAAACCTGAGCCCTAAAACCTGAAGACCCTAAACCCCCAAATCCGTTAACTTTGAAGTAGCTCTTCAACGGAACCCTCTAGGAGCCCCTGTATAGATCGCCTTCAGGATTTCAGGAACCGTTCAGGGGAGCCCTTAAACCCAAAGACTCCAAAACAAAAATTTAATTAAGGAATAGACCATAAATCATAGTAGGACCCCTAATATGATTTCAGGCATATTCCTTGACTAATGGATAGTCATATTGGAGTCTCTGGGAAAGCCCCAAAGCCAAGGCTCATTCACTTGCGGCACGCCGTCCTCCGAAAGCGCCAGGCTACTGCTTCCTGGCCCAAAGGAGTAAAGGTCTCTTTACTTAAAGGATCATGGGACTTAGTAACTAGGGTTCCCTACAGGGCTCCTTTAAAGGGATCTATAGGGTTTCCATTATAAGAAGGGATTTGGGGTCTAATTACTTAAAGGATCATGGGACTTAGTAACTAGGGTTATACTTAGGGTACCTATACTATACTTATAACTACTCATAGCCCCAATTAAGGTACTTATAACCTTACTTACTAAGTTCCATGATCTCCATTTTAGAACCCCTATAGATCCCTTTAAGGAACCCTATTATAGAACCCTAAACCTTACTTACTAAGTCCCATGATCCTCTAAGTAGAGCTGAGGGCTTCACTGAGAGATCCCGATATGCTTTATTGAAGGAATAGACCAGAGGGTTCAGGGTTTAGGGTGCCTTAGACCCGTTAACTAAGGATTATCACTCAAAAAAAGGGCTTTAATATTGTGGTTTCAGGTATATTCCGCATTCAAGGTGTATTGGGCTTTCTGGGCAAGGGCTCCTTCGACCATCACACCACCCCAACTACTCTTTAAAGGGCTCTAATATAGGGGCGACAATACAGGGTAGTTGGCGGGTTTAGGAAGGCTTTCAGGGTTTACGCAGGAGGTGTTGCGGCACAGAGTTTGCGGGCTTTAGGACTCCACTGCAAAGAACCCTGTATCATAGTACCCTTATAGGATCCCTTATAGTAACCCCTTTATAAGGCCCCTTCCATTCCCTACCTGAACCCGGTCCTCACAACCCAAAGCCCCGAACGGGTTACTGTTACCCCAGGGTTCCGGGAATTCTGGCTGGGAGCTTTTGGGGGTCTTCCTGTAGTCTCCATTGTAGTTCCTTCTTGGGCCCGGGTTGCGCGCTTGCAACGTCAAGTAGCGCCCAAGCCCTTCATACGAGCATGATTTTGGCGATTGAGTACAGACGCCCTTGTAGCATAGCCTTGGGTTAAGCACAACTCTTGTTCCGTGGGCTTACCTTTTAGGATCCTTGATATAAATTTGGTTAAACCAGAAAAAGGAACTACAATGGAGACTATAGGCTGGGTTTTCGGGTTTCTGGTACAGGGGGGTCTTCCGTTCTTTTGTCTTAGGAGTTTTGTTCTTCGGCTTTTAAATTCGTGATAATAACCAAGACAGACAGCTCAAGTATCTAGACCCTCCATCTACCCTCTGTTAGACCCTAAGTGCGCATTTTTTGGGGCCATATACCTCTATTTAAGGGTACCTGGAGGGTCCTGGTATAAACATTTACGCAGGAGTCCTCCTCAATCCATGTTCCAGGTTCGGCAGCTGGTTCACCGTTTCTACTCCTGCTACTCCCCACATGTCCTACTCACCCGAACCTCAAGACCCAAGACCAAACAGCAAATCTCCTACCCTATCCTCGCCCCCGGGACCCCTAAACCCTAAGACCCTAAACGCCCTAAACCCCTCAAACCCTAAAAGCCCAAACCCCCCTAAACCCTAAAAGCCTAAGGTTATTCAGCGCTTCTGGCGCCAGCATGCTGAAAACAAGCGTGTGAAACAGATCCGAGAGGAGCGCAGCTTGGCCTTGCTTTTTAGCGGCCGGAAGAGCAGGGCTTTCATAATTAGACAGGGGCTAGTATTCCTTAGGGATTCCTTTAAGGGGATCCTGAAAGGGGTCAATAAGGGATCTATAGTAGGATTCTATATAGGGGCCTAAGCAGATTACCAAGACCATTTCTGGGGGCTCCTCATCATGATTATGGTATAATGGGCCCCCAAACCCTAATTATTCTAAATATTAAGGCCCCTAACCTCGGGTTTTGGTGTATATCCTTGTATAATTGTGAAGGAACGAGATCCGTCCGGTAGTTATTCGGTCTTGTACAGTACATGACGGGCAGTATTCTCTGGGTGTTTCGGTTAATTCATGTTCCATTTCCCTAAGGGTCCAAATCATACAATAATAAGGTACTCAGGTTTCGGATAGAAGTTATGTAGGTTACTATTTGGGACAGTATATGTATATTTTCAACAGAAAACCAGAGGAGACCCTGGGTGGCTTCTAGCTTTCTTGGGCGATTCATCATTTCCGGGGTTCTGTTGTGAGGTTCTTGAAGCAAGGACTCCACTCTCTTGGTGTGCGTCTGTGGGTGGATGCATGCATACATACATATACATACAGAAATATATGCAAAGAAAACCTATGTAATATAAGGATATACATGTATGTAGACGGTTGCCTGTTCACTTAAGCTCCATTCTGACTCGTAGTTCTAAGTATCTGCTATCCTGAACTGGGTTCGTCTTCCAGAAAGCATGACACTGCAAGTAGGACAGACCGAGTCAGGTATGGCTTTGGCTTTGGTGGTTCATGGTTTCTCGTTTATGGGGATTTGCAGAAGTACATCTGTTGTGTAACCGTTCAGGGGAATGGAGCCAGCCTTCAAAACCCCAAAGCATCGTTAGGTCCTTGTCATTCCTTTATTTTAGACTTTCTGGCTTGATGTCTGGGATACTCAGTCGTAGCAGTTGTGCGCTACGTTCGTTGTTGGCGTAATATAGGGCCCTTAATGATTAGAACAGGGTTTTGGGGCCCATGTTACTGCAATTGTATTACGGAGCCCCGAAAATTTTGTTGGTAATTATTCAGGGGTTTATAGTATACCCCATGGAAACCTTCATTGAACCCTCTAAGGGACTCTTTCTAGGCCTCTATATGGGAGTTTCCGAGAATAGGGGACCCTAAGATAGTACCCTACATAATGGGATCGTTACTATAAGGGCCCCAAAATAAGGTACCCCAATTTCGGAAACTCCCATATTACCCGGTAAGTCAAACGAGCTGAGGTGAGAAAGAGAGCCCTCCCGCCCCTGCCCCTGCAGCCGGAGATGGAGGCTTTCATTTTGAGCTTCAGTAAATTATGGTTTCGGGTTCAGCGGTTTCGGGTTTAGGGATTCAGGGGATTATGGTTTCGGGTTCAGGGCTTTAGGGTCTAGGGATGATAAATCGAAGTAATTTCTCGATCCTCAGGAAATTAAAACCTTCATATCCTAGAGAAGCGAAGTAGAACGTCCCAAACTAACCCTAGTCGGAATACTGAGGCCCCAATCTTGGGTTACCCCGCAGCGTCAGGACACAGAGGACTTTAATATAGACCCTGCTTAGTAAGGTACGGAAATGGCCAGACTCACGCAGGGGATGCAACCTCTAGGACCTAGAGTAGGCCCGTATTCCCTTTTTTTGGGGCTCAGGTTCACTTACAGGCCCTTGAAACCAAAAAGGGCACCCTTTTTGTTCCTAGGTTACTCTTCTGTCCAGACCTTACTTGGAGGGGCAGGGGAGCTAGAAAGTAGGTTATAAGTAGAGTTATAAGCCCCCTAAGTGGAGTTACTGCAGTTATAACCCTACTTAAAAACGACTTACTAAGTCCCCTGCCCCTCCAAGTAACAAAGATTATGGCTTGGGTACGGCCCCCTAATTGTTGAATAATACTCATAATATAGATATATTAGGACCTTAATAGTAGCCCTATTATGGACTCTTACTGTATGGGGGCCGTACTTAAATTATGGCCGAAGCCCTGCACAGCCCAAGACTGGCAGCGGTCGACCACTGAACTAAGTTCTACAGCAAGTCTGCGTTCCTGCCCCAAAATCCTTGTACAACCTTCCGGACCGGAAACCTTGTACGGCGCGCAGAGTTAGATAGTCCTGCCACCATAAACCCTTGTCAAAATCGTCCAAATCCCTTGATGATACCCGAACAGCTATAAAATCTAAAACCCCTCAGATGATCAGACGGCCTAACCCTCAACCCTACCTTGGCCCTGAATAACCTACCTTTTTAGGGTTCCCTATTATGATTTCCTTATATGAGTCTAAGTCCTTAAAATGGTGGGTTCTTCAGGGTTAAGGTACACCCTAAACCTAAACCGTATGATACTCCGCTTCGCAGGAGATGATTCAGAGCCCCCTGAAGATTTCTGAGGGCGGAAGCAAATGTTCCCAAGTGCCAGGGGCCAGTGTGCAGAATACTAAACGGTTCAGGGGATGTCTAGGGTGTTCGAGACCTTAAAATCTAGAACTCTAAAGTACACCCGTCGGGGGCTACAGGGGGCGTGGGGGGGGGGGGGGGGTTCCTACCTGTGCAGACCCCTGTTGTATACGTGGTTCGGTAGAACAGGGTCTGTTACGGCTCCTTATCAGTATTGCTATTCTCAGCATAATTTATGTACCTAGAAATATGATCATTATTAGTATGTTGAGGTCCCGTATCTTCTGAAACTCACGGGTGAAATTCGAGAGCCACGTGTGCGAGTCGTAGGTCTGCAATTCATTTGGATGAAATATATACTTATATATATACACAGATAATTACCTGTACTATTTTGAGGGTTCCTTATTATCATTATATGGTAAACTGGGCCAACATACTATACTAGCATTTCATACTACATAATCTGAGTAAGGTACTCATCTTTGAGCGGTCCCACGAGCCAATGACCTGCGTAAAGGCAATAGGTCCCACAAAGCAAACATGACGCCAAACATAAGAAATGAAGGCTATCTTAGTAGTAGAGCAGGTAACTCTTGACCTTTTTTGGGGTACTGTAATTCCCCTAAGATACCGAACAAGTAAGTTAAGGAGGCGTTTCTGTGAGTTATAGAGGCGTTTTGTGGTGAGAATGCGTCTTTCATGCTTAGGTTTCCACAGCAGAGCCATAGTGTGACACCCCACGACCCTGCAATTTGGAGGTCGGGACAAATGGCAACTGTATCCCTGAAAGTCCCAATTCCAACACGGTATATTGTTCTTTCGAACAACAACCATATCCGAATTATTGAGGCCCCTGTATCACGCACTCGCGCCGCCGGAGCGGCGGCTTGTTTCACCACAAATCGCCCTGCCCTCCTTCTGAGCTCTGTAGGAAGGCAAGCAGAAATTCGTTCAGGGTCATGGCTTGGAAAGGGGCAGCGTGGTAATGTAGGAACCTGATTAAGAAACCTTGGGCCTATAACCCCAAAATAGTGGGATATTCATACAAGGAACCCTAATGAAGGCACAAGGATTCTTAATCAGGTTCCTGCATTACCTAACAGCGACAGACTACCAAACATGCTATCGTATAATCACAGTTCTAGTTGTGGTTTTCTTGACGTGGCACAACAGTGGATTAGCACAGATTAAGGCACGGTGCTGACTCTGGTGCTGATTACGGCGATGATGATTATTTACAATGATGATGATGATGATGTTGATGAATGATGATGATGATGATGATCTTGTTTTGTTGCTGAAGGTGCAGTTGCACGCAGCTACATGGGCTGAGCCTGCAATGCATTCGAGATGCATCCGCTCAGCATCCAGAGCTTGCTGACTGAGCACTGTAAAGGCACTGCAGGTATCTCCCGGTACTGTCTAGGTCCACGGCACAGTGCCGCAGATCAGCGTGCTATGAAGCTTGTTTTCTGGATGGTTTGGAGCGTCAAGGTTCATCTGCTTGCTACAATCCTGAAAGCACTCGCAGCCTTGGAAACTCTTTCTTGTGTGATAGTCTCGTTCGTGTATGTGGGCGGTTATCAAAATTATGGTCTTTTTGGGGTCCCTATTATAGCACGGCACCTATTATTTAGGGTACCCAAAAAGGGACCCTAATTTTGACAACCACCCATGTGTGTGTGTGTTCGTTCTGCAGTCGTGCGTCAATGATCGTCTCGAGACCTGCAGATATTGCAGTGGCATAACTGACCGTAGCTGTAGCCGAAAAGACCTACCATTTTAGGGTTCCTTATTAGGGTTTCTCTTATTACCTATATGTGCCTTAAAAGGGTAGGTCTTTTGGGCCACAGGTAAGTCTGAAGTGAAACACGGTAATATCTTTGCAGCTTGAGGGTGGGTGATGGCAATTCCCTTGGATGCGCGCTTGCGCTGTGCAAACTGCACGGCAACGGCTGTGCTGGTGGAAAGAATCCTCGTGCTATTTCTGAGACGAATGTAGGCTATTGATTGGTAGCTAGCTCTTGTGGCTTCGGGCGTCGACGAGTGTAGGCTTAAGGGTTTTTAAGGTCCATGCAGGGCTTGAACCAAGACCATACAACCTTCAAGCCGTACATGAGTAGCGGCAAAGGTGAATGTGCCCATGGCAACTTGTCAGCAGATCTTTGCTGACAGCAACTAGCAGACCAAAGCCAATGCATAGAAATATAGGAGCCTTAACTCACCATTGATATTGGAGGAGCTAAGGAGCCAGGGATGACGATAATCCCTATTGAGTAAGGAGCTAAAGAGCCAAGGGATCCGCAAAACCACTGGTTAGTTAATCATGGGAACAGGGTTTCGGAGCAGATTTCAACATCTCGATAACGACAAGGGATCCCAAGTGGCTATACAGTTCCGTGCAGAAGAAGTTGAGCCATCCTGAAGGATCAGGGAATGTGCCAAGCAGGCTTAGTACGGTTGATGACATAAATCCTGCATTACCTTAAGGACCGTAAACTATGGAAATACTGGCATATTCCTTATTGTGGGTAATGCAGGATTCAGATCATCAACAGTAGCACTTTGTAGAGTAGGTAGCCTTTAACGTTTTCGGGGCACTGTAATATTCCTTATAGAATCCCAAAGGTTAACCTTTGCTGACAGGCTCCATGTACCTCGGCAGTCAATCCATCGATAAGGCTTAGGGGCTTCAGGGCCTAGGTTTAGGGTTTTGGGCTTAAAGTTTAGGGTTTAAAGTTTAGGGTTTAGGGTGGGTTTGGAGAGTTCATGTTGGGTCTGTTGGTGAGTGGATAAAGAGATCCGTCGGATGGTTGGCGAGCTTTTGGGTGGTTGTCAAAATTATGGCCCCTTTTCTGTCCCTAATATAGCACGGCACCTATTATTTAGGGTACCCACAAAGGGACCTTCATTTTGACAGCCACCCTTATTTCTCTTGGATCGTTGTTGTTCTGCTCTGTTTGCAGTTGTACGTAGCTCTCGCTGCTGCGTTTATGTGGGCTTTGCGCTCTACGGTTCTTGGATAGGTTAGGTCTTTCTGTATCATTCTGTTTTGCTGCAGGCACGTGCGGTCGCAGTCCCTGCCAAGGGGGCAGGGCACACAGAAACTTCTCGCCATTTCTACACTACCGGCCGGGGCTTTGAGAGTTGTCTCGTCAACTGCTATCAAGCCCCAAGGGTCCAAGTACCCAATAATCATATAGAAATCCTAACCTACAGAAGTTCTATCCTTAAAACCGGGCATCTAATTATTGGGTCCTTTGGACCCTTAGAGCAATATCCTGCTTTAAGAGGATTCTTGCGAACTGGCTCCCAGGGCCTTATCTTGGGTTTAGGGGTTTAGGGCTTTTGGGGAAAACCTTGAATCCTTGAACCCCACTGTTGATTGAGTCTTGAGGAGTTTGGGTGTTGTCGCCTGGGATACCGTAGCGGATGCTGGGTTTGCAGTGTCGGGGTTTTGGGCTCTGGGATGTTTGGGGCCTGAACCCTACCTGGGGATCCAAAAAGCCTACTGTCTTAGGGGTTAGACCCCATGATTTGAGGACTATTAGAGGGTCACAACCGACTATTCTGTAAGGTTTGGGGATACAGGTAAACCCTAAGCCTCAAGCCTTTCCTGAGCATTAGCCGTGGGTTTTTCGCATTCTGTAAACTAAAGTCTAGAGGTTGCGAGCGTGCAACCCAGATCTTCAGTCACGTATCTTAAGTTCTCCTAGCAAGTCCAGATCAGGTATACAATATAGGCGCCTTAATCATTAGAATAGGGTTTTGGGGCCCATTCTACTCGACATATTATGGGGAACACCCAAAATGGTAATCAAGATTCGAGTTTTCGGGTTTAAGATTCGGGTTTTAGAGTTTAAGATTCGAGCTTTAGGGTTTACATCCCAAATCAAGCTGATTTGGGAGCCCAAAACTTCTGAAGCTCTAAAACTTCAACCCATAGTTCAGCCCTACTCTCAGGGTCCAAGTAGTCATTGTTTGTGGGCTTCGGTACCTAAGAAGGCCCTAAACCCAGAGCCTCCAAAACCCCTTAATTAAGGAATATATCTTAAAGTATAGTAGGATCCATCATATGATTTAAGGTATATTCCTTAATTAAGGGGTTTTGGAGGCTCTGGGAAGTCCTAAAGCCCTATAGCTGGGAGTACTTGGACCCTCTGGGCTACCTTGTTAAGCTACCAACACACCTGTTCGGCCCTACCTTAAATCACTGTTGATGATATAAATCCTGCATTACCCATGATTATAAGGAATATGCCATATTCCCAAAGTTTAGGGTCTTAAGGTAACGCAGGATTTATATCATCAAGCTTGCCAACACCTCCTTTTCAAGGTGCCAGGCAACAAAGTAGGTTTGGTAAGTTCAGGTAAACAACCCTACATCCGAAACTCGAAGCCGTGAACCGTTCAACATCTTAACCTTTAAACTCACTAGCTGAGTGGATACACTTTACACTTTTTGAGATGATATTACCCACTATAAAACTGAAAGTGTACACTTTTGGGGGGCTTATGAACTCAGCGACTAAGCCAAACAAAAAGCAATCTCTAAAAACCTCAGAAGCCCAAGACCCGGCAACCACTAGAGGTTTGGTCCGTCTTGGGCTCGGATGAGCAGAACGAGCGATTGCCACAGCTAGCCGGGCACCCCAACTACGGCTTGTTTCAGGGTTTAGGGCTTAGGCTAAGGGGCATATAGCATTCTGTGAGTGCACGGGATGTGCCGTTCGACAAAGGCGGGAACATGGAAGATCTCCAATGCCTACTCCCCGAACCCTAAACCCTAGCCCCTGAACCCTGTAACTTCAAAATGCCTCCGCTGGCCGCGAGTCCCCACGCACTTATAAGTATAGAAACGAAATCCTTCCCAGCAAAAACAAAAGGACGCACCGGCCCCCTGTCCCGAATATCAAGAGTTTCCACACTTTTGGGTTTCTGTAGGGTTCGAAGGGTTCTATCGGTGTTTTTGTATCCCTAAGGGTCCAAGTTCCGATAGTAACCTCCTCCCCAAGACACCAGTTTGGAACATCACTGCCTATAGTGCGTACGAGCGCGGGCCTAGCTTTCAGTTCTGGCACAAAAATGCTGCGATCCTATACCCTAAGGGTCCAAAGCACCCAATAATAAGGTACTTAGGTTTCAGATAGTATTTCTGTAGGTTACTACTTGGGAGAGTATATGATGATTAGGTACTTGGACCCTTAGGGATAGCCTCAAGCTTCTGATTCTTAAGCTCTTTCAACCTGCAGAACCCCCACGAACCCCAACGTAGAGCAAAATCTTTCAAACATCCTTCAAGGAACCCTTACCCTAAGGCTTAAAATAGCCCAAAAGCCTTATATAGTACGGTCTTTGGGCCCAAAAACCTTACGATATGAGTCCTTAGAGCCTAAGGGTCAAAGCAACCCATAAAAGAAGGAGTCCAGCTATAAGACGGTGAATTGTACCAGTCCGCTGCAGGCGCTGATGAACCTGCACTCTGAGGACATGCAGCTTCGCCTGTCCATGCCTCGGTTTTTGTGGGGAGGGGGGTTGCACCAATCTTCACCTAAACCCCCTAAACCCTACAGACCCTAAACCCTATAGATCCTAAGCCCTAAACCCTATAAACCTTAAGCCCTAAACCCCCATTTGTCGGCTCTGTTGTTACCCCAGGGTCCACCCTCCAATGTGAAGCTGAGTTTGGCGTATATGAAGAATTCATGCCTTAGGGGCTTACCTAAACCCCCCAAAGCAGGTAGAATCAGAGCCCAGAACCTATAAAGTGCCATTATTCTACAGGCGATGGGGGTCCAGGTAGGCCCCTTATTATGGGCGTTTAGCCCCTACCCCCCCCCAAGGGCCCCTATGATGGTAGATCCCAAGCCGAAACCAACTGAGGCCTATGTTATGCAAGAGCAGGAATAGGTAGTACAGCTACTTTCCTTAGAGCTCCTTGTCTTGATTCCTTGATGTATTGTGATATACCGTAGGGTCTAGGGTTTACCGTAGGGTTTAGGGTTTTAGGTTTGATATGCCCTTGATGCCTTATTCTGATGGTTCAGGCCTTTATACTAGCTGGTGTTAGAGGCGGCCGGAGGCTGTAGGCTGGATTGTTCAATGGCTCAGACTTTCCTACATGGTTCAGCGTTGTTTTAGGGATTTCAGGGTTTTACGTAAGTCCAGCAGCAGTTTGCGCGGAAGGGCGTTTCATCACAGCCTGTACAGGTGAGCGAGCCCAATGTAGCCAAATAGCACCGTTTTAAGGCCAAGGAAAATAGTATTTGAGCACATGGACCCCCAGCGTAATGGCCGGCAGGAAAAGCGCAAAACTAGAAAGACAAGAGTATTCGTGCATCACAGTGCATAAGCCCTAAGTCCAGAACGCCAAACCTGCCAAGGGGCTGGTGCTTTTCGCCTGGTTACTCTAGTATGGACCATATTAATTACCAGGTTCCTTATTCTATTTATTGTATAATGGGCCCCCAAAATTAGGCCTTTATACTAGCTGGTGCTAGAGGCGTTCCTTATTCTATTTATAGTATAATGGGCCCCCAAAATTAGGTACTCTAGTTGGGCGACATGTGAACCAATCCTAGCATAGTCCTGCAGGCCGCTCTGGAGACCTGGCCCTTTGAACAAAGGTTACCTTTCTAGGTACTTGGAGGGTCGGGGGACTTAGTAAGTAGGTAGTAAGTAGACTTATAAGTACCCTAAAAGGGACCCTAATTGGGGTTATGGTACTTATAAGTCCCCAAAATAAGCAGTTACTAAGTCCCCCGACCCTCCAAGTAGTATTACGAGGGAGACCCCTTAAAGGGTACCCCTTCTGAACCCTACTTCTGGCTCTCTTAACAGGGGCCTTGTTGCGAGGGTCTATACCCCCAAGGGTCAGCTGGCGCCCTGTAAGATGAAGGGTGTTTGAGCTGCTTAGGGGACTTATATAGTAAGGGCTCTTAAAGGGCTCCTTAAAGGGATCTATAGGGTTCCTTAAAGGGAGCTATGGGGGTTTAGGGTTTAGGGTCTACTTAGAGGCCCAGGGGACTTAGCAAGTAGGTTATAAGTAGAGATGTAAGTACTCTAAGTGGAGTTACGCCAATTATAACCCTACTTATAAACGACTTACTAAGTCCCCTGGGCCTCTATGTAGACAACCCAACTGCCGCCCCCTAAGTAATCCCACAAACCCAAACCTAAATTCTTTTTCCCCCAAACACCACAACTCATGCCCCTGAACCCTTGATTACCTATACTATTTTTTTGCTTTTGGCTTTTGTTGAGGGGGTGGTGGAGTCCTTCTCATAATTGTAGTATAATGGACTTTAATGGACCCCCCAAACCCTATTCTAATTATTAATATTAGCCGCTTTCAAAGACAACCTACGAACCCCGTATATGATTGACGCGATCCGCCAAGGTTAAATGGCTGCTCAAAGTCAGTCTCAGGCGCGGATGTCTCCGGGTCTATGGGGTTTAGGGTTTAGGTTTGTGGGTTTAAGATTTAGAAGGTTTACGGGGGGGGCCTTGAACGAACCAGGGACGCTAAAGGTACCTATAGTCTCCATTGTCGTACCCTGTGTTGGTGCAATTAGGATCCTATAAGGGACTACAATGGAGGCTAAATGTAGTTTACAGACCCTGAACCTCAATTATAGAACCCTGGTGGATCCCACTTAAGGAACCCCTTAAGAACCCTTATAGAACCCTTTTCGATCCCCTCAAAGGAGCCCTCCAAAGGAACCCCGCGCAACCCGAAACCAGGATGGCGAACCCTAAACCCTAAAACCCTAGACCCCAATGAACCCTAATCCCTAGGCCCTAAAACTCTACCCTAGACTAGACCCTATAATGAACCCTAAGCCGTAGGCCCTAAACCCTAAACCTTAAATCCCAAGCCCTAAACCCGAGTAAAACCCTAAACCTTGCAGGCCCAAAACCCGAAACCCAAGAAAAACCTTAAACCCTATAGGCCCAAAACCCTAAACCCTAGTAAAACCCTAAACCCTATAGGCCCTAAACCAGGATGGGCATTAAAAAGGAGTTTTAAAAAGGGAGCTTATACCCTTACTATAGCTATTACATACCCATTAGCCCATATAGGGTAGGGGTCCCCATTAAGGGTCCCTCCTTTTCCCCTTTCGAAGGATGGGCATGGTCTGGCCGAAGTGGTGAGACGCTGAACGCCTGGCGCGACGCTCAGAGGGCGCATGGCTCTGGGGCTCCTAAGGTAAAAGCCAGAAAGTTGGAATATGGTTATCCTAACCCTTCTATGGTAAATTATAGGGTATCCTACCATGAAACCATATTCCAACTTTCTGGAGTTCCCTGTAGGCTAATATACGCCCAGAGAGCCCAATACCCCATAATGAAGGAATATAGCTTAAATCATATTATGCGTCCCCCTTGTAATTTAAGGTATATTCTTTAATTGAGGGGTATTGGGCTTTCTGGGCGGGGGCCTTCATAATGAGAGTAGGGTTCTTGTAAAGAGATCTATAAGGGCTACAACAGAGCCGGTATAGGGTTGAGGGGTTTAGGGGTTTAGGGTTTAGGGTTCACCTGGAGGGGCTTAGTAAGTCGGTTATAAGTAGGATTATTTTTTGGAGGTAACTCCACTTAGGATAGCCCCTCCAAGTAGTGGCCTTAATAATTGGAATTGGGTTCCTTTAAAGGGGTCTATAAGGGCTACTATAAGGGCGGAGCCCCTAAGCAACCCCCGCACGAAAAATCCCAATAGTATCTTGGGGGACGGGAATATTTATGTAGTATAAGAAACCCCAAGCAAAACCTAACTCTAATTACATATGAAGGCCCTTATAGCACATCACCACTGTACTATCGAAGCCTCAACAATTAGCCGTAGCATTCCTTTTGGGCTCCCTACTCTAACTGTACTAGAATGGACCCCAAAACCCTGTTCAAATTATGAAGGAAGCCGATGACTCTGACGCCACTTGGCTCAGCTTCTCTCTCTCAGCTCCGCGGGCCATCCCGGCGAGATTCTTGAGAACTGCTCTAGTTGAGGGTTAAGGGTTCCTTTAAAGGGATCTTTAAAGGGGTCTATAAGCAATCTATAGTTTAGGGACCTACCCAGACCCCCGGGAGTATCTAGAAAGTAGATCCCGTAATTTGGGCCCTACACTACTAAGGCTACTGTATAGGAACCCCCATTAAGGGATCTATTTTTTGGATCCTCCAAAGGGGGTCTGGGATAAGAGGTCACAGTGAAGAGATTCTTGAGAACTCTTCCACAGAGGAGCTCGCCTCAATCGAAGTGCCAGTCTCCAAGCTGATGGACAAGAACATGATGCCATTGTCATACCGTTTGCACCGATGGTCTACTATGTCGTGGAACTGCGGGAGGTGAGGCCGCTCGCAACTCAGCTCTACGACATCGGCCACGGCACCCGGGCTACATCGTTTATGGTGTTCCGATTGTTTGACGGTGCCGTCCGTGTATCAAGTCGTTGGCCTTTCTTGGATGTGGCCCGCCACCGTGGGCTCTCAGCGGACAAGTCTTGTGGCTCTTTTGAAGCATCCATCTCTCGCCTCTTGCTCTGGCATACTCAAACGAATTCAATATGCTTTCATTAAGGAAAACCTATCTATCTATCTATCTATATATATATATATATATATATATATATACACCTTAAATTATAGCGGCCTTAATATTATGGTTTAAGGTCTATTGCTTGATTAAGGCGAATTTGGATCTCTGGGCATGCAAACGAATGTCAAGCGATGACGAGCACCCGCTGTCAGCATCGGCCCGTGCAAGGAGGAAGCCTGGACTGCGATTTCGAGAAGATTCACAGACCCAAAGGGTCCTATGTACTGGTATGGGGGATACTTCCCTGCTAGGTCATAATAGTAATTCCTAATATGGAAACCCTACATTCTACTATATCGGTACATAGGACCCTTTGGGTCACAGAAGCCTTCTTCTTCTGCCTAAACAGCAGACCGGACGCAGCCTCCGGCCAAGCCACGTCTTACCCTAAATAGTCCCAGACCCCCTTTGGAGGATCCAAAAAGTAGATCCCTTAATGGGGGTTCCTGCAAAGTACCCTTAGTAGTGTAGGGCCCAAATTACGGGATCTACTTTCTAGATCCTCCCGGGGGTCTGGGGTAGGATCCTCATCCAGGCTGTTCAGTGGTACATGCATGTTTTTTACTTTCAGGTTGCTGGGTTCCGATTTCCCAGTGGGTTACTGAACAGCCTAGTCATCATAAGGACCCCAGAATGAGATGCCCTTATTTTTCGGAAACTCCCAGGTGGGGTACCGAAAAGCCGCCTCCCGCAAAGGACTCAGTCACTGTTCGTTGTCTCTAGGTGAAGAGGGACGGGAAGAGCTCTGTTAGTGGGCATTTGGCGGGTGCTGGCATATCTTGAGGACTAGGCTTTAGTGTTTGCGGTTCTGGGTTTGCGAAGGGTTTGGGAGGATGCTGTACTCTAGAACTGTCAGAGAACACAAGAGTAACAATGCGGAGTTTCGGCACTAGGTGTCAATATCATGCTGCTTGTGAGTCTGCAGACACCTAGATGCTGGCTGTGAAAAGTCAACCCCAGGGGTTGGGGTTGTTAGGTAACGAACTTAGTAGTTGAGTGGATACATTTAACACTTGTTGGGACAACATTACCCACTATAAAACTAAAAGTGTAGGCTTTTGGGGGCTTATGAACTCACCAACTACCGGTAGCGAAAGTACACATCTATGTCCAGGCTACAGCACATCTTCCTAGTAGAGTAGGTAACATCTTCACCTTCTTGGGGGTACGAGATTTCTATCCAAATGGTTAACCTTTAGTTCCGCTAGGACGGTGGAGAAGTAAGACATTGAGTAACGAATTCAAAAGGGGGACCCTCTGAAGGAGCCCTATAGGGCCCCTTTTAAAGGAACCCTCAGTTCTCTCCCTGGGCCCCTTGAAACGGAACCCTAGGTTCCCCTTAACAGGACCCTCAGCCAGGAGCCCCTGAACCCCCAACCCCCCAGGCCCAACACTCCTAGACCCCCGAACCCCCGAACCCCAACCTCCTCAAGGCCCAGACCAAAAAAAACCAGCCTCCTAAATGCCAAGACCAAAACAACCCAAATTCCTAAACCCCTAAACCCTGAACTCCTAAACCTCCTAAACCCTTAAACCCCAAACCCTAAACTACCAAGCCCCCTAAACCCTGAACTCCTACACTTTAAACCCCAAACCCTAAACTACCACGCCCCTGAGCCCCACACTCCTAAACCCCCTACATCCCAGAGCCCTGCAGCCGCAACCGCTGAGGTTGCAGCAGAGGATGGAGGCGAAAATGCCGAACCGGCCTCTTGGGCCTTAAATCATGGGTTCCTTTAATTGGCAGTTTCCGAAAATAGGGGTACTGTATTTTGGAGTCCTTATCATAATGATCCTACTATTTAGGGTAGTATATTATGGTCCCCTATATTCGGCAACTCCCAATTTAAGATTTAAATAGGGCCTTTCCAAAGCACGGGTTCCTTTGAGGGTTTATAGGATATCTGAGGGTTTCATAAGGTTTTAGGGCTCCCTGAAAGGATTTCCGGGCTCCTTCAACAGGTCTCAAAATAGGGGGGGCCTGATGGTTTCGCTTCAGTAGGGTTGCTTCAAGGGTTCTTAGAGGGTAAATCGGGGTTTAGGCTTCGGGGTGTTATCACACATGGGTGGGATTAGGGTTTAGGGTTTAGGGTTTAGGGTTTGGGGTTCAGGGTTTAGGGTTCAGGGTTCAGGGTTCAGGGTTTAGGGTTTAGGGTTTAGGGTTTAGGAATGTATCCACTCAGTGCTCTTCTAAGGGTGCGGCAGGGTTGAGGGTCCAGGGTGATTGAAAGATGCAAAGGGTTATCAAAGATAGAAGCTCATTTGTGCTATGCCTATAAACCTTTCGTGATCCCCAAGACCTTGAATAGTAGTGTTGGACCACAGCTTCACTGCTGAGACACTTTAGAGCTTTCTTAGATCTCTTTGCCAAGCCCTCATCGTAGAGAAGCCGAAATCAATTAGTTGCTATTCTTACATATTTCTATTCCCTCTTATAGTTATTATAGTTTCACGGTAATAACCCCTGACCTTGCCTGAGCTCCTCTACGCCAAGCGCCCGCTCAAATTCTGCTGTTGTCGTTTCGTTGTCTGGCAAGCTGAGTACATCGTCACGGTATTGATTGCGGTTTCACGATGACATCGAACGCCTGCGCGGTCTGGTTTCTCCACTGGCGAAGAGCTTGGTCGCATTGTTGCCACGTGCTGATACCAAGCATGCTGTTTGTCGCATGTTGAAGCGGCCGACCTGAAGAACTCTCTGGCGTGGAAAGGATCACAGTACGGTCCATGGTGTCACGTGTCTCCAACACCCCATTTCAAGTAGTATTAAGGCCCCCCATGCCATCTATTGAAGGACCTAAACCCTAAACCCCCTCCAGCCGGAAGGCAACAGCAGACACGAGCGGTGTGCCGAATAAGAGTTTCGCATTTACCGGGCCATGGTTGACAAGTCTGCCAACTATTGGGGCATGCTGGCAGATGTGGACTCGATGTCAGCCGATGATTCACCAACACGGCTTCAATTGCTCGATGCAGCGAGGTATTGGTGGACGAAGGACCGTCTGGAATTTGGCGGCACGATGGTCGTCAGCTGCTTCACAAGCGAAGACAGCCGGCGTGGATAGCTGCAGTTGGCTGAGGATACACACCGTATCCGCCAAGCCGGTATGCGCCCATTTCTGTGTGTTTTCTTAGCAAACCTCCGAGGTTCCTCAGGATGTAGGTTAGAACCCGACACTCTTACGCAATGCTTTATTGAAGCCCCTAGACTGAGGACATACCCTGATAGAGCCCTTGAAAGGAGCCCTTTGAAGGAATCCTGAAAGGATTCCAACAGTTCGTTGACAAAAAAATGGCGGTTGTCAAAATTATGGTTCCTCTTTGGGTCCTTATTATTATACGGCACCTATTATTTAGGGTACCGCAAAAAGGGACCCTAATTTTGACAACCGCCCGTAAGAAGAACGGAGTTAGAGCACGAGGTCGGCGAGGAAACAGGCTGGTCGCCTGCGTCGGGGACCGAACTTCGGTGTTCGGGGGCCCCGGGGTTTACCATAGCCTCCTTCGCAGTTGCCATTATTAAGGTCCCTATACTAAACCCCCACAATCCCTTTAGAGAACCCCTTTTAAGGGTCCTTTTTTTAGGAACCCTATTCTAATTCTCCTAGAGGCTCCAAATATAGTCCCATTATGGAATTAGGCCCCCCAACGCCATGATACGGAGGGTCTTTTGGGACCTAATTCCATAATGGTACTATATATGGAGCCTCTGGTATAGCCCCCTCCGGAATTGCTTTTCATTGAATATTAATTAATGGTTTAGGGTTTAGGGTTTAGGGCTTTTCATTGTTGTTCTTATTTAGCCCAAGAGAATATTAATGGTTCTAAGGGGGGTTATAGTTTAGGTTCTTTCTGTAGGGTCTCGTGGGCTTGTGCAGGATTTGGGGATTCAGCATCTTCGCGGGGTTCTAGATTGCGGTACCTACAAGAGGACAGCTTTGGGGACTGTTGGTGTTCAGGTCAGGTTGTATGTGCGTTGGTTTAGGATAAAGGCTTTTGGTAGTGTGGTTTGGGCTTGGGGTTCAGGGTTCGCTTGCGTTTATGTCAGTGTGTTTAGCCTTATGCTCGCGAAGACGAGCTCCACAGATTCCTTCTCCTTTCGGTTTGTTTTGATTTCAGGGGTACTAAGCTGCCCGTGAGTTTTGCGGACCTCCACATTACTACCATTCTTCCATTCCCTACTAACCAACGGTAAGGGTTTTGGACAGTCAGTCGCTTGGGGGCTGTTGCACCAGTCTTCACTCCGTCACAACTCTGAACCCATTTGCGTTGGAGCCTGTGGCTTTCTTGTAAACCTACTAAGCTGTATAGTTGCAATACTTCTGTGTTGTTCACTGGCTTTGGCTTATAGGTTTGGAAAGGGTGCGGTGGTTTTGGTGTAGGTGTCCGGTGGGAAAGTTTGAACTTTTTCGGGGAGCAGGCGTTAGAGCGTTCACGCATTTACGTTTTGCTGCTGCAGAGGTCTCGAACATTCTTTTGCAGCCCATCAGCGCTGAAGGATAGCAGAAGGTCAACCAAGCAACAAACAGAAAAATGACACTCATGGTAACAAAAGGATTATAATCATCGCATGCTTGGAATAATATGGAATAATCGTAGTCACAACAAAAGCTCCATGAAATTGCCAGTACTATTTCATTGAATACAAATACTCAAGAAGAGCCCTAGCATCATCAACATGCTAACTGTGACCATGATAGTAGCAAGAGTCATGAACATGAAGGCCTCTTTGGCAAATCGTACAAAAACACAAACCCCACCTTTAACCCCAAACCCCCAAACCCTAAATTCCCAAAAACCCTAATCCCCAAAAGCCCTAAACCCCCAAAGCCCTAAACCCCTACTAAGCCCTCAGCCGCTGCAACTCTAAGCTTTCGAGGCTCAGCGTGGGCATCCTCGGTTCGACGGGCGTGGCGCAGCTGCCAAAGAGCGGAGGTGGGACGCTGGTTTAGGGTTTATAGGCGGGCGTAGGGTTTAGGGTTTAATTACGGCTTCGGGTCTATTTTGGGCTTTAGGGATTCCTTTGCAGGCTCCTTTAAGTTGTCCCTTAAGCAATTTGTGATGGTTGGTTGCAGCCGTCCTGCACAACAGCTGCTCCGCATTTTGAGTTCTGGGGTTTGGGAGTTTGAAGTATAGGATTGTGGTTTAGTATTAGAGTTTGGGCTTTCTGACGTTTCGGGTTGCTGGTTTCAGGTTGTGCGCTTCTGTGTCAAGATACAAGGTGTTGCACTCAATGTCAAGGGTTGAACACTTTTTTCGTCTTGAGCTTGTAGTCTGAATTCTTGCCGGTGTGGGCGCACAGAGTTTAGGTGGCTTCGGTAGTGAGTTTAATGTTTAATTAGGGCGTTTCAGGGCCTATGCCGAACCACTAAAACGTTGAGGAAGAAGCTTCTTCGAGCCCGGGTTGCATTCCTCTCCCAGGTTCTTCTGCTGATTCCTGCTCGTGGCTGGGGCTACCAGTGATACTGCTGATGGACAAAATCCTGCATGACCCTAAGAACTCTAAACTATGGGAGCTATGGTATATTCCTTATAATGGGTGATGCAGGATTTTGTTTATCAACAGTACTGGGATGTTCACTGATTACTACCCGTTGTTCCAGTTCCAGCATTGAGGCTCCCGATCTGATCGCTACTAAGCGCCGCTTTGAGGCTTGGGGCAAGGTCGGGTGGCCGTCGCGTTGGCCACGACGGTAAAGGGAACTCCAGAAAGTTGGAATATGGTTTCAGGGTAGGATACCTATAATTTACCATAAAGGGTTCAGGATAATTATATTCCAACTTTCTGGCTTTTACTTTAATGGCTGCACTTGGTCACCACCATGGAATTGTGCTAGTCGGGACACGGCACTTCAACACAGCAAGCGACAATCTCAGAGTCAAGCGCGGCACTGGTGATGACCACAAAAACCCTTGGCTCGCAGCAAGGCTGCACGGAGATTCACAAAGCGAACATGGGCAACCATGAAAAGCTACCCGTCGCGGCTTGCAACAGTGGCATTCGCTAAGGGTCCATGTACCCAAACTGTATATAATTTGAATTTGGCCTTAGCTTAACGTACTCCGAATATAGGTACCTTAGACCCAAAGCACATACTATTTGGGTACATGTACCCTTAAACCCCAGACCTTAAACCCTTATGGTAACCTTAGAGAACCTTTATAGGAGCCCTCAAGGGAACCCCTATCTTTGGGTACATGCTTAGGCATTTGACCCGTGGAGGATTCGCGATAAGGCGAGAGGATGCGATAGACAGCTCGCGGCAGCACCACGCATTGGACCCGACCCATGCTAATATAGGGGTCTAAATAATTACCAATGCCATGGTGGGGGTTCCTTATTATAGCTATCATCTAATATACCGTATAAACCTCCTTTTTCTAACTATGAAGGCCCCTATATTATTGGCCCAATGGCGGCCGCATCGAAGGATTACGGATGCCTTCCAACCCAAAGATTCGATCTCTGGTCGGAAGGGCCAAGGTCGAGATGCCCTTATGTGGGGGTTTGCTTTAAGGGTTCCTTTAAGGGTCCCTTTAAGGGATCTATAGGGTTTTAGGGTTTAGGGCTTAGGGGAGGATCCAAAAAGTAGATCCCTGGATGGGGGTTCCTCTAATAAAGTACCCTTAGTAGTATAGGGCCCTAAATTTAGGGGATCTACTTTCTAGATCCTCCCGGGGGTCTGGGAACGACCCCGGCGATTGCAAGCATGAAAATCTGCTACTACCTTCGAGACCGCGTAGGAGTTATATACGAGTCGAAAAAATCACCAATAGTGTTCCCTAAGGTAGCTATACTATAACATACCCCGAAAGCCCCAATTCTGGGTTGGTTTCTGATTTCGGTTCGGGTTTGAGGCTTGGTGAAGGCGTAGTGTTTAGGGGTTTGGGGGGTTCGAGTTTGGTTGCTGGGTCCGGCCGGTCCTAAACTAAACAGTACACACCAAGCCCTGTAAACCCTCGAAAGGTGTGGGTATAGCGTTGAAGGATGGGGGTTCACAAATTTCATTTCGGACCATAATTAGCAATCCCACACTCACCTGGCGTAAATTCACGCAAGACCGTACATGTTGCATATCGTAAAAGCCCCTTTACCCTAAGCTTGCGCGTCTTTCGTCCAAGACTCTGAGCTTAGATGAGCTCTAAGAGCTACAATGGCAGTACCTACTCTCGGCGATGTGGATTTGAAGAGATAAACCCTAAAACCTACAACTCTAAGCCCTAAACCCCTAAACGCTAAACCCTTACACCTAAACCCTTGGACCATAAACCCTTAAATTTCAAACCCTTAAACCCTAACAAGAAGCCAGAGAAGGTCTCCTCTCCTCGATATCTTTGTCGGGCCCTCCTGCGGCCGAAGTTGGCCCCTTTTCCGGCAGATATTGTGTGTGGGTTTGGGGTCTCTGGGGCTTTAGGGGTTTACGGTTCGGGGTTTAAGGGTTTAAGGGTTTAGGTGTTCAGGGTTTTAGGGATTAAGGCTGTTAGGGAGTTAGGGTTTCAGGCGTTTTGGGTTCAGGTTAGGGCTTTCGGGGTGTAGGGCTTAGTCTTGCGAAGGTCTGGGGCTTATATATATATATATATATATATATATATATATATATATATATATATATATATATATATATATATACATACATATACATATATACATATATATATAGGGTTTTTGGTATTATAGCGCTTAAGGATGCCATTTGGAGGGGCAGGGGACTTAGTAAGTCGTTTCTAAGTAGGGTTACAATTGGGGTGACTGCATTTGGGGTACTTCTAATTCTACTTATAACCTACTTACTAAGTCCGCTGCCCCTCCAAGTAGGGCTCAGGAAGGTTCAGATATTGTGTAGGGTCTTGTATTTGTTTATGCTTAGCCTAGTAGTAGAGGAGGTAACGTTTGAGTCTTTTTGCGGTATTCTCATAAGTATAACACAATAATGTAGTAACCTGATAAAGAATCCTTGGGCCTTTGTTAGGGTTCCTTGTTTGAACTCTACTATTTTGGGGCTATAGGTCGAGAATTTATTAGTAGCTGAGTGGATACACTTTACGCTTTTGGGGATAATATGACCCACTATAAAACTGAAAATGTACACTTTTCGGGGCTTATGAACTCAGCAACTAAGATTTCTTAATCAGGTTCCTACCTAACGTTTGCGACTTATTCTCGTGATCAAGGCCCCTACCCAGGGACTCCAATATCCCTATATTGAGGAATAGAATAGACCTTAAAGTATCGTAGGATACCTAATATGCTTTAAGGATATATTCCTTAAATTACGGGGTTCTGGAGGGTCTGGGTATATCCTAGGTTTGCAGGTGGTCGCCTGTTGCCCTTTTTCGTTTCGGGGTTCCCTTACTCAAGCTTGTAGGAAAAGAGCAGACTCATTTTGAAGGTGCTACTGGGGAGTGTCATCAGACTCGCAGGTACCGCTGCAGGGCTTGGGGCTGCATGCTGGCCCAGGGCAAGAGAGTGCTCGGTCTGGGTGATCTTCAGAAGAGCTTCATGCTTATGGCAGCTAGCGTTGCGCGTGTTTTGGGGCCAAAAGGCCTAAAAGGTGGCATAAAGCAGGTACTTGCGGGATCAGGGGATGTATAAGTTAGGGTTATCAGATGATCAGCTATAAGACGTTACATGTGCATACAATCCAGCTCGCTACCTATGACCTTTCTTACTAAGGCACCTGTTCCTTTAACTAGGTCACAGCATCGAAGCAGCGGTGTGGTTCAGAGCTTTTGGGGCTCCCTAGGGCTTAGTTGTGAGTGTTTCGGGTGGAGGAGGGATCACGATGTGGTGTTTCGGACCATCAGGGTTCAGGGCCGTACGAGGGTTTAGGATTCAGGGCCTTCCGACTCTCCTTTGCCGTGCAGGAGAGACCGAAACGACTGACCCCAAAACAGCCCCAGATGCTTTAAACACGACCCGAAGCAAGAACAAAGTACCCTCACCCTTGAATCACTTTAACAAACAATAGCTCTTAAAACGCTCCAACAAAACACAGTGTGTGTATGTATGTATGTATATATAAATATATATATATACATATACATAGCAACATTCAGAAATGTACATACAGATATACCAAAAGCATGTACATATACATGTACATATGCATACACATGTATGTGTGTATATATATACACACATATCATCTCTCTCTCTCTCTCTCTCTCTCTCTCTAGCTCTCTTTTTGGAACCGCCGAGGTGTGACGGTCGCCGGGCTTCCGGCCCCCTTCGAGCGGACGAAGCTCGTCCAAGTGGCAGCCTGGCGGTTGATACCCGGAAGGGATCTATAAAGGCTCTCTCGGGGTTCCTCCTTAAAGGGATCTATAGGGATCCCTAAGGGTTCCTTATAGGCTCCCTACGGGTTCCTTATAGGCTCCCTAAGGGTTCCTTAAAGGCTCCCTAAGGGTTCCTTATAAGCTCCCTAAGGGTTGCTTATAGGGTTCCTTAAAGGGATCTATAGGGATCTGTAAGGGTTCCTTAAAGGGATCTATATACAGTAGAAGACAGAAAGTTGGAACATCACTTTAGGCGGATTAATGCTAGGATCCCGTATACTTTACCTTAAGGGCACGAGGATAATGATGTTCCAACTTTCTGGCTACTACTGTATACTTGGAGGGGCTCGGGGGACTTAGTAAGGGTTCCTTAAAGGGCTCCTTACAGGGATCTATAGGGTTCCTTAAAGGGATCTATGGGGTTTAGGGTTAAGGGTCTACTTGGAGGGGCAAGGGACTTAGGAAGTAGGTTACAGGCAGAGATATAAGTACCCTAAATGGAGCTACCCAGAAACATAAACCGTACTTATAAACGACCTACTAAGTCCCGTGCCCCTCAAAGTAGGCTCGCTGAAAAGCCGCCTTAAAGGGCTTCTTTAAAGGGCTCCTTGAAGGGAGATCCGCATAGGCGCCCTTTAAAAGGCCTCTTTCAAGGGTTTCTTTAAAGAGCTCTTCACTATGGTATCCTTATGATTTTTTTGATTTTTGTTCATATAAATCCCAAGAGAATATTAAACATATTAGTTTATTATGGTTCTAAGGGGAGTATAGTATAGTATAAAGTGTACAAGGTTTCCTTGAAAGGATCTCTGTCTGTAGAGAGCTCTCTTAACGGCCTCCTTAGAAGCATTGACCAGGGGCTTTTTCACAGGGTTCCATAAAGGGATCTATAAAGGGCTCCCTTAAAGAGCTCCTTAAAGGGGTTTAGCGTTCCTTCAAGGGTGTTGCCGGGGATCCATAAGAGATCAGCTGCAAGGCGAGGCCGGCATACTACAGGGGCCTAAATAACTACTTTTAAGGGGATCCTGAAAGGGGCCTATAAGGGATCTATAGTAGGTTTCTGTGTTAGGAGCCTAAACAATTAACTATACTATTGAGCGGATTCTGTATTATAAGAAATGGTATAATGCACCCCAATACCCTATTCTAATCATGAATGCCCCCTGTATTCGGGTTTTGGAATGAGAACTAAACACTGCTGGGTTCCCTAAGCCTGAACCCTAAACCTTCGGGGCCTTCTTTCGGGTATGTTTATACAGTCCATGACATGGGAAATTTTAGAATCAACAGAGTCCGCATGGAACTCTCCATTTCGACCCGTTAAAGGAACACTTGCCTAAACCCTAAACTGTGTTGTCAGCTTGACTGAGGTACCCAGATACGTCGTCGGGACACCGAGCTGGTGTAGATGAAGACTACGGCGAAGGGTGGAGCCTTGAGATTTACACTTTTAAGTTTTCAGAAGCTAACTGACGCAAGCCTTCTTTTGAAAAAGGTTTCAGGGTTTACGGGTAAGGTGCAGAATATGGGCTAGGGGCTAGGGTGGGAAGTTGGAGTTGGGTTTGGAGATTGGAGCCTGGCATGCCCGATGTTGTCAGATTCTGGGTGCAGACAGTTTTGTGGTTTTAGCTTCAGTAGGTAGTAGGTAACCTTTATCCATGTTCGAGTACTAGAACCCCCAAAGTTAACCTTTGATTCCCCTGAGACAGATACAGGACACGTCAGAGAAGTATCATGGGGAATAGATGTCCGTATACTGGGTTCGAGCTGAAGCGGCCTTTGGCCCTACATTTTCGCCTAAACCCTCGAACCGTCAACCCTAAACCGAGGGTTTGTGCTGAAAAGGGAACCTTGGCTATGTCTATGTCGGGCACAAGTATGTTGAACAACTGCACGGAGAGCCCAACTCCTGGCAATCAAGAAGAACATGCCCCAAATCCTAATGTGAAGTCCGACCAGCAGTAAATTCAAGGTGACATCCTTAAGCAAGGGGTATCAGAATATGGTGGCACCAAATCGTATGTGAGAGGGCCGGAACCTGCTATACCGTATGTATGCATTACAATGTCCACCATATGCTATCTATTGAGACCCCCGTACCCCCGTAAAGCCACATAAATCTTACTCTGAGCAGGCCTGTTCTAGTCATTAAGGCTCCTACCAACCTCTATAAAGCCGTTTACAATGTTGCCATGAAAGCCCCGGTAGAGTAATGAAAGCCCTTGGATCATCTCGATCTCCTCCCAGGTCCGCAACCAGCTGTCCTGTGTTGTCGAGATTTGGCCAAGCCGTGGACTAAGAAGTGTCTTTCCGTAGACCTTTATGCAATTAGGAACGAATGGCCTGAATTTTGGCTTGTTGGGTTTCATGGCATCCGAAGCGTGAAACCTGAAGCCCCAACTGTCGACCGACGGATTCTGCGCTTACAAAGTATCCTAACCCAAAACCTGGACCCTAAACCCGAAATCCCACTGGCTTATAGATAGTACATGGATAGGTGCTTGCTATTCAGGTAGCTATTTTGACCTAAATAGCAAGTTAATTTCTGGGTTCCATATCTTGTGAATAGCTGCAAAGTTGTTGCTATCGCAGAAGCCCCTTGCCGTCTCAAAAGCCACTAGATGTATTGATCCAGTGTCCTGGCTAAGCTAAACTCAATTCTAGACCCTGTCCCCCTATGCACTTACCCCCCCCTACCGCTAAACTAGACCTTGCACCGTTTAGCCTTAATCCTAATCTGAGCCTCAAACCTTCCAAGATGTCTCCCCAAAATCGCATGCTTGACGTACAGCCTTGAAGACAAAAGCCCTAGGCCCTGAACCCCATCTAAGGCCCATGTAAGAAGCGTGGTTTCACCTCGAAGCTCTCAGGTACAAGGCTGTATACCTGCCTCTACCCCATCCATCCATACATACATCCATCTACTATCGAAGAATCACTCAAACAATCTGTCTATCTATGCGTCTACTTAACGGCCCCGTGTGATTATAGGTTAAAGTATGTACATATGAAAATATTTAACGATATGCACGCATGCATGTATGTACGTATATCTGTCTATTACGGTACATGAACCGTATGCCTTTTGGGGGTACACATCGTCTTTACCCAACCTAACCCCTACCTTGTTTCGGGTTTCGTGTCATGGTTTCTACATACGTTATAGTTCCTTGACAAGGTAGGTCTTTTAGTATTTAGGCCACAGGTAAGCCCTGAAATCCGTAAACCCTGAACTCCATACCCCAACCCCTATACCCTGCACAAATGCCAGCGCTGCTTTGGAGAAAGGGTGCACATCAACTTTAAACAAAAACCTTCAACCCTATACCCGCCTAAAACCACAAACACACAGGTTCGCAGAATGCGAGAAGCGCCTTGCTCAAGCAACTGAGCGGTGCAGCGCAGTTATTTCTTTGTTTGTGCTACTTCCACACGCGTTGTAGCTTCTCTGAGCATAGTCACCCCTGAGCTTGAGCAGGAGTAGTAAGTCGCAATTGGTCGTGGTAGTTGTCGTCGTCGAGCGGTGCCATGGCGCAGACGGTGAAGGATCCTGGGCTCTGGAGCACCATAAGGGTTTAGGAAGTTTTGGGTTTAGGGTAACTAGAGGCTTAAAGGTATAGGGCTTAGGGTATAGGGTTTAGGTTTCAGGGTAATTCTAGGGTTCAGGGTATACATAGGGTTTAGGATGATTATAGGGTTCAGGGATGTTCAGGGTTTCGGGTTTAGGGTATTCTGTTCCTTCAATACGAAATACAAAAACGGTCATTATAGATTTTTCTCCCTACAAAGCCCAGGATTGCGTTGAGGATCTGCAAAGTTTTGCCGCATCACTGCTCAAGTTCCAGAGGCCTGCGCCGATCCTTTAGTTTGGAGTCGGGTTTCAGGGTCTAAAACACGTCGGCTTAAATCGCTGCCAATACTATTCTTGGGGGATCCTGATTAGCATTACATATGTGTATATATATATATATATATATATATATATACATAATCTAAAGATGTGACAAATATTTACATACATATACATATCTATATATATATATATATACAGATGTGTATACACACACACTACAAACCCTAGTCTAATTATACAGGCCCCGATATTCGGGCATTTTGGTGGTCGTGGCTAGGCAGTTTCGAGCGTCGAGTTCGTGGGTTCTTTGGTTTCAGATTGCTGGATGTCGAGGTTTGGGTTGGGCATGGAGCTCAGTTTAGGATCGAACTTCGGGGCTGGTCCCTAGGACCCAAGAGTTAGGTACTGTGTTTTCATTTTGATAGTAGTTTCGTAGGTTGGTATGCGTTTGGAGAGTATAGCAAGTGAAACTGTGGCGAGGGATCTGGTCCTAGGTGAACAAGACTACCGGGGCGAGGGTTAGCATTCCAGCGTTTATTCAACTAGCTACCAGGCTGCACGGCCTGTACAGCTCATACCGTAATCCGGAGCTCTAAACCTTCAACCACTTCAGGCCTTGGGACTCAGGCTTGGAATTAGGTAGTTTACCTTGACACCACACTCGGCCGCAGGGTTCGGTTCTCGACGTGGCCATGTTCGACCAAGACCCTGAGCCCAAAACCAGCCAGCACCCAAGGCATGAAAGCATTATCTGCTCCGTATCTTCGGCAGAAGGCATCACGGACTAGGCTTTGGTCCATGTTGCGATCCAAGACTATGGATGCTGGATGTACAGGCATACGACTTGCGGATAGCTCGATATACTTGTTCATCATGTCATGGCCGAGAGCTTGGGGCCCCAGGGCCACGAAGCCTCCATGGGCCTTAAGCCCGGGTCCCACAAGCCCTAAGTCCGAAGCAGGCAGCTGGACAGACAGCGATGGGACCGGCGAACTCTGCAAGAAGCCCTGACTGCGCTACGTTGCAACAAGTGCCGTAAGGACGGGAGGATGAAAAGCCTCGTATCAGAACACTAAGTCACTTAGGGTCCAAGTCTAGCAACAATAGTTTCTTCGGAGCCTGAAGTATAGTGCCTACTCTGGGCAATTTGGAGTGTCAGGGCGCGGAGAAGCCAGAGGCCTTGCATCGAGTTAGAGGTGCAATTGCCTCGTACATGGCAGGCTTGGAAGGCTTAAGGGACCTCCAGAGGCATCTATAAGGGATTTTGGTGAAATAGGGGGGGCTTGAATTATTACGACTGCCATCCCTTAGGGTTCCTCCAGTATCCACTAATCTCACTGACACACCCCAAAACCTTATTCTCATAGTTTTTGGGCCTTGTTTAAAGGATCATGGGATTTAGTAACTAGGGTTATAATTAGGCTAACTGTTCCTTCCAGGTGTTGTTGTACTCATACCTATTTATTATAACCCCAATTAAGGTACTATGACCTTATTTACTAAGTCCCATGATCTTCCAAGTAATGGTAGGTCTGGGAGCGGCACACGATGATGCCAGTCCATGTTACTTGTGGCAGGGGCTATGTGTAGCTGTCAGTAGGGAATGCAGCATCAGAGGTTGTTTTCGCTTTCGAACCCAGAGGGTCAATAATATGTGTGTATATATATATATATATACTATCGTTATGGAAGTAGGTCCCAAAAGACCATCCCCATGTATGGTTTTGGGGACTTATTCCATAATAGTAGTGAGTATGGATCCCCTTGGGAAAGCCCTTGCAAGATTTCTTCCTTGAGGATCAGGCGAGAGAGCGCGGAATATTGGTCCTCCTGAAGATGGTGGAGTGCAATTGGGTGGCTTTGAATTGAAACTGCATCGGTGTTTTGGGACCTGAGACTGTTCAAAGCTGCTAGGATGGATGGCATGTCAGCTGAAGTTTAAATCAATCATCTCGCCTTCTGCCAAGGACGACTGGGAGCACCCGTGCCATTCGGAGCTACATCAGCTTCTGCATGAATGGTCCAAGCGCCCCCAAGTACCTGAAGTGGTGAAATGTCCTATCACCGCTTTGAGGTTTACGCAGCCTGGCTGTTTTGCCGCACAGTCGAATCTTTGCCACAGCTGAGCCCTTGAGGGTCTGGGTTTGAAAACATGAGCGCGATGTTCACAACAATGCTGGGTCATGTTGGTGCGCGGTAGAGTTAAATGTGAGCCTCGATAGGCGTGGTGGGCCATGTTGGTTTAAGTAAATAAACGTGAAACAAACCCGAAATAGACGTGATTGTTCTATGTTGGAAAACGTGATTGAAACTCCCACATAGCATCCATGCCTCACGTGGTTTCGCGGTTTACTACGGAAAATACATGCTTTCCGGTTTCTACCACAGCTCTGTTTCACATGTACTTTACTTGTCTTTTGCGTTTTGGACACCCGACCATGACGTTGGTTTCACGTTTGTTTCACGTTTGATTGAACAAATGGATCCAGCCACCCAATTCGAGCCCCACTTATAAATCCAAGTACCAAATCATTAGGGCAATTGGGCCCTGCTTTGCCCAGCGGATGACATGTCAACATGTGCAAGGGGCTGCCAGAGGAGTCCCCTAGCAAAACGCGTATTTTGCTGTTAAACCTAAGGTTGACCCTTGGGCCTTTTTGAGGGAGTTCTAGGTAGGGACCCTTAAGAGTCCATGTAGGGTACATGGTAGGTATTTAGGGATCCCAAGGTTAAGGGCCCGTACTAGGGGCCCATGGTTTCAACCCCAGATTAAAGTCGGTGCCAATGGTAGTTCGATCTCAGGCACCGTCTGGTCCCTGAATCGTTTGTACGCTTATGCTGAGATAGCCGTAATGTGAGAACATACAACTTTTTTTGCATGGTCTGTATCTTAGAAGAATTTGAACGTCTTGGGAAGGGCTATTGAAGAAGAGAGTTTCGAGATCCAAACCTGAAGTGCTCATCAGGCATCGTTCTAGGGCAGCCTTTCAGAATCGAGCCCAGCGGCCGAGGTTTGCCGACAGTAAGGCGCCATGTACATATATAGCATTTACTTAGGCTTTAAAGGGATTCCTATATCGGTACCTTAACGCCCAAGTATATACTATATAGGCACGGCGAAAGATATTGACATATTGTTCAGAAGCCATCTCAGAAGCGAGGGTGAGGACATTTCTTCACCGTGGATTTCAGAATAAGAGACTTTGGCCTGCTTTCTTGATTGTGGGTTTGGGACGGGGAGGCCTCCACAGAGCAAGATGTGCCTAGAAAGCTGTGCTAAGCCGACTTTGGCTGGCTTCCATGCCTTTTGGGAGGAGGAGGAGGAGGAGGAGGAGGAGGAGGACTCAGTAGTTGAGTGGATACTCTGTACACTTTTTTCGGATAATTTTACCCACTATACAACAGAAAGTGTAAACTTTTGGGGGGCTTATGAA